CTTTTAATTATACAGTTATGTCTGCTAATAGGGTACATATATGTGCTTTCATTGTATTTTTACAACCTTTCGCGAGCCGATTTACTGATAAACTCAAGAAGTATCACCACAGTATGTTAATGATAATAGTTCAAAGATAACCAGTGAAATCATATAATCTGTATACTACATCATTATTACCAATTTTCATGCACCAATACAAATATTTGTTAACTTTTGACCTACTTATAGGTCAAAGACTTACACGCATACTTGCTGTTAAATTATTGCACGTTCCACAACCTATTTTCGTTGTATTTCTCAATTTGTTTAAAAAATCATTTTTAATTCCTCGAAATTTTGCTATTATAAGTAATAAATAGACTGTAATTTCGACTATTAACTAATTTTTTTTCATTTGTACATTTAGCTTGGTTTATTGTATTCACAAGTTCATTCAATGAATAAATACTTGTTGTGTGTAAAATTCTACTTGATGTAATTAATGTGTTAACTGTCGTTTCTTCTATTTGTTACTTACTTACTTACTTACGCCTGTTACTACCAAAAGAGCATAGGCTGCCATTCAGCATTCTCCAACCCACTCTGTCATGGGCCCTCTTTTCTAATTTCATCCAATTCTTGTTCATTTTTATCATGTCTATCTCCATTTCCCGGCATAATGTGTTCTTTGGTCTTCCTCTTATCCTTTGGCCTCGAGGACTCCAAGTGAGGGCTTGTCTTGTGATGCAGCTCGGTGCTTTCCTCAATGTGTGTCCTATCCACTTCCAGCGCTTCTTCCTGATTTCTTCCTCCGCTGGGATCTGGTTTGTTCTCTCCCATAGTAGGTTGTTGCTAATAGTGTCCGGCCAACGGATCCGAAGTACTTTGCGTAGACAATTGTTAATAAACACCTGTATTTTCTGGATGATGGCTTTCGTAGTTCTCCAGGTTTCCGCCCCATACAGTAGAACTGTCTTGATATTTGTACTGAAAATGCTGACCTTGGTGTTGGTTGGCAGTTGCTTTGAGTTCCAGATGTTCCTCAGTTGTAAATATGCTGCTCTTGCTTTACCGGTCCGTGCCTTCACATCTGCACTGGGTCCACCATGTTCATCAATGATGCTGCCCGAATATGTAACGGTTTTTGCATCTTCCAAATCTTCTCCGTCAATTGTGACTGGATTGGTGCATGCTGTGTTGTATCAGAGAATCTTGCTTTTCCCTTTTTGTATATTGAGACCTAGTGCTGCTGAGGCTGCAGCTACACTGTTCGTTTTCTCCTGCATTTGTTGTTGCGATTGCGATAGGATCTTCTATTTGTACACTGAGTTTATTTCTTTGGACAGATCAAATAATGAACTAATTAAACAGTAGTGGTTTTTATTGGATGAAATAAAACTGGCTGAAATTGTGAACTTTCTTTAAACCTCACTTTGTTGTCCTAAATACATTATAATTAAAATATTTAAATATTTCATACGAGATTTATAAATACAGTGTAAATAATATAGATCTATCTGTAATGGCAAATAATTTTCGGAATTTACTAATTAGTGTTATAACAGAGAAAAATTGGTAATTACTACTGTAAACTGTGAGATTCGTATAATTCATAGGAGGGGACAAAACTTATCATAGAAGCAAATCTTCTAAAAGTATGATAACCAGTTTAACTGAAATACACTTATCAATGTATCGATTTGACTGACATTTGATTATTAGTTAGTAAATAGTACATATAACGGAAATAGGAGAAAATAGAAAAAAAATTTACACAGAATTCATAAGAAGCTGCATTTCATACTGAATGAAATTCACACTAAACCAATAGAAAGAATATTATACAGAATAAATCCCAGACTAAAATAAAACATTATATTGGGCAAATATCATATTGAAATGAAATAAATGTTGTATAATTACACTTTCGTAAAATATGCTTACATGTTCTAGACGATTTGGGGACCCATCATTTCATAAACTCTATATTTATCTGGAATAAGGCTATTTAGACCCCAAATGCCCTGGTACGGCCGAGATTGGGGAGAGTCCGCTCTCCCTCTCCGAATGCTCTCACATAGCCACGCGTATACAGCATCTACCAGGGAATTCCTACACACTGCCTTCTCTTGGCGGGGGTGTCGTTTACGAAATTCAGAGGATGAAAAGCGAATATCCGGCGCTTTAACCGGGTTGGTGGATATGGAGGATCCACCTAGGGGAGTTTAAAAACCCTGATTCCAAACCAATGGGTCACATGGGCTCCAGCATCCTGAAGGAACAAATGGCGTATGAACCAATCGTCGGTCACCAGCTACCATGGGACTGCATCTCCTTACATCGCTCCACTGCCTTGCGGATTAGATTTCTAGGTCAAAGGCTCAGGGTGTGGTCCCCTAAGAAAACCACCTGTTTTGGTTTGGGCACCCGGGTAGTACCCCAGCCCTCACATAAATCGAATGGTTTATGTGGCGCATATGTATTTGGTGCCTCCTTGTACCAATGTTTATGTGTTTAAATTAATAAATAAAAACTATTTAAAGAATTCGAATGTTTGCGTCCCAATCATCATCTAAGGTTTAATCCATATACGTAATTCATTGCTGAAAACACAATCGGATTATAAGAGAATCAGTTCATCAGAACGTTTTATCGTTATAATGTTGGGATATACATAGCTTCGTACTGTTTCGATGAAATTCTGTAAGGTAGAAGCTTATAAAAAAATGTCTGAGGTAACAGAGAAGAATAAAGTACTGGATACATCAATTTATTATTAATTATCTAAGATTATAAAGTTCTGTAACACTGATCAATATAATCCTCCCTAGTGATGTAGTTGTACGTTATATGTTCTACAATGTACATATCCATTATAATTGAATTATAAGACTGGGAATTTTAATATTTTATAAATAAGCTAATGGATTCGGAAATATTTGAAGTAGAAGCAAACAATCACCTGTTAAGATTCACAATAATCCAACGTTTGTTTTATTTGATTTTTTAGACTAATAATATGAAAATTATTATTTAAAAGTTTTATGGAAATTATCTATAAAACATGTATTTCTGATTGTGCGTCTTTTTTTAAAATACTGTTTCTTTGGAGGTGGGGGGGATCGTGAGTATTAGTCACTGAATAATGATTTACATTGTTTAATTTCTTTCAAAATTTTCCCCAGCGTTTATTCTATATGTACAGACACTAGGACACACAAAATGAAAATGATTAATTTATCATTTTAAATCATTATGAATACTATTTTTTTAATGATTATTATCGTTGTTTCCCTAAATTGTTCTAGTTTCATTAATGTTTTGTTGTAATATGAAAATAAAAGGTCTGTTTAAAACAAGAAACAATTAGATGAACCTTTATTCTCAATGATATACTATAGATTATATAAACGTAAATTAACTATGTTAGGTAAAACTCTCGTTATATATAATCGTTTAAAACGAACATATATTAAAGTAATCATAATTCAGATTATGAAAGAAGTCGTCATCATCGTTGTCGTCATTATCATCCTCCTCATTAAGATCTCTAATACACTCTTCTGTTTCGTCATCCTTTGGTCCCATTGATTATTCTCACTGTCAGTTTCCGAAAAAAAATAAATTAAATTCAAAATAGAATATCTTCGTATAGTTCCAATTCCTCTTTACCTATATATATATATATATATATATATATATATATATATATATATATGTGTGTGTATGTATGTATATGTGTGTGTATGTATGTAGAATGTATGTTTGTAGTGTATATATATGTATGTATGTATGAATCGACATATATGTGTATGCTTGATGATGGTGGTGACAATAAGTAAAATGCTAATTTAATTTGAAAGAGTTGTTTTTATTTCTAGAAAAGGTATTTCTAAAATAATGACATAAAATTAATTAATCGCATACAATTAGTGTAGACAACCAATTAACTAATGAATTAATCATCTGATTAGTTAATTAATTAATTAATCAATTCAATGATTAACTAATTAGTTGATTAATTAATTAATTAATACTTTACATTTATTTTTCTCTAAATAAACATAAAAATTCAATTAATTTAAACCAATTCATTTCATTTATATTCTTGATGTTTGTTTGTTTTTTTCTCTTTGAGAATAAATAAAAGGCATTCACAAGAATTGTTGATTTGATGTCTTTCATGTTGTCCCTTAATTTTGTAACGGATATATGAAGAATTTTAACGACTGAACAGTATCTACTAAGTACACAATTCATTATCTTTTTATGTATAACTTTACTCACTACTAATGAGACTGTTTGATAGTGCAAAAAAGTAGAAAACTGAAATCAGAGAATATTATATAGTCATGTTGAAGTATTAAATGTGAGGTAAATACCATCATTTTCATTATCATTATATTTGTGCGTGGGCCGTGATACTACCGGGGTGCCCAGACCGAATCAGGTGGTTTTCTTAGGGGGCCACACCCCGAGCCTTTGACCTAAAGGTCTGACCCACAAGGAAGTGGAGCATCGTGTGGAGATGCAGACCCATGGAAGCCGGTGACCAATAATTGGTTCATACGCCATTTGTTCCCGCAGGATACTGGAGCCCATGTGCACCATTAGTTTGGGTTCCGGTTAAAGTTCCGGACATTCGCTTTTCGTCCTCTTATTTTCGTAAACAACACCGCCGCCACGAGAAGGCAGTGAGTAGGAATTCCCTGGCAGAGGCTGTATACGCATGGCCGTATGAGAGCATTTCGAGAGGGAGAACGGACTCTCCCCACTCTCGAGCATACCAGGGCATTTGGGGGCATATATATTTGGTGCCCTCTTGTACCAATATTTATGTGTTCAAATAAATAAATAAAATGTAAGGTGATCAGTACTATGTTCAAAATCTTCTTAACATACCGGAATAATTTAACATAGTTTCATAGAGACAGTAGTACAGCAGTAAATTAAAAGTACAACAATGTAACAATAACTGAACATAAATATTTAAAAATCCCTTCATGTTTGATACTTACTGATAATGGTATTCTGTTGATTAGATTGCAGTCTAAATGAAAAAAGTATCAATGTAAACAATGTTTTAATGTTAATCAATCGAATAGTAGTCAGATCATTTAATATAAATAAAATTACATCCCATACAACATCAATTACTATCTGAATAGTTTTGCAACAACATCTTCAATTATGACACTAAATAATGAAGTTTTCATTAAACCCAAGAAGTTAGAATTTTCTTAAAACTCTATACGAATATCAACTGATATGATGTATAGATTTAATATTTTATGACAACTATATCAAATCACTTGATGAAAAGCCTATTCCCTAATTTCTTTTTTTGTTTGTTTAAAAAAAAAACAAAAGGAATTCACTCAATAAATCAAAATCTAAAGATGCTTTATTTATTTCTTAAATACTAAATTATTAATAATGATTATGAGTTAAAATTCATAGCTCAATGAAAAAGGGGAAATATTCATTTCTAATAAATTAAAAAGAAAAAAAAAGAACAAATCGAATAGGAAAAATGTGTCTTATTTGAAAAATTCTCAGTGTCAACATTTTACCTACAAAAATTAAAAAAAAAATAATTCAAATCATCAAAATTATTTTTCAATTGATTTCATTAATTTAAAGCAATTAGTCCCTTTTATAAATTTCGATAGAAAAAAATTATTATTTTTTTCATTCTTTTTTTTTCTTTAAAATGATCTTCAAATAAATTCAATTTAATGAAATGAAAAAAAAAAGAATTTAACTAATTATAAATTTTTAAAATTTTAATTGAAGGAAATATTTAAAATATGAGGAAATTATGTCTTTTTTTCCCTATTTTTATGAACTAGTATAATTTATACACAGATATTAGATTATCACACTAGAAGGTAGTTAATTACGTAATTAGTTCAGTTATAAGAGAAAATTTTGTAAGAACATGAACACATAGGATGAATGACTGGGACTGTATTTATCTTTTTAATAGAAATTATTAAGGAATATCTGACGGTCTTTCCACTTTATGTGGTTATATATATATACATTACTTATTTACATACTTACGCCCGTTAGCCCTCATCCAGGAGAATAGGCCGCCCATGACCACTCTCAATCCAAACCTGTCGTGGTCAAGCCTTTCCAGCTCCTTCTAGTTGTGATTCATCATTTTCATGCCTACTTCCAATTCTCAACACAGTATGTGCTTTGGCCTTCCACTTTTACACTTCCCATCACTATTCCATTTTAGCGATTGCCCCGTGATGCAGTTTGATGGTTTCCACACTGTAAGTCCTATCCATTTCCATCGTCTTTTCCTAATTTCCTCTTCAGATGGCAGCTGTTTGTCATCTCCCATAGAAGGCTATTCCTGATGGTATCCGACCAATGGATGTTGATTATCTTGCGTAGACAACTATTTATAAATACTTGTACATTCGTGATGATGGTTGTGGTAGTAGTTTTAGAAGTTTCAGCGCCTTACAGTAGAACTGTCTTGACGTTTTTACTGAAGATTGCGAATTTGATATTGGTCGACGGTTGTTTTGAGTCGCATATGTTCTTCCAGTGTAGGAATGTTGTTCTTGCTTTGTCAATCCTCACATTTACGTCTGCATCACATCCTGCACATTGATCGACGATGCTGTCCAGATAGGTATCAGGTTCCATCTCATTCAGAGCTTCTCCATCAAGTGTGATTGTGTTGGTATTCGCCGTATTGTATTTGAGGATCTTGCTATTTCCCTTGTGTAATTGAGGCCTACTGATGCAGATGCTGCTACTACACTAGTTGTCTCCATGCGCATTTGTTGGTGTGTATTGGCTAGAATGGTTAGGTGATTTGTGATGTCCAAATCGTCTAATTGGTTTTGAGCTGTCCAATGTATTCCGTGTTTTCCCTCACATGTCAAGGTCTTCATAATCCAGTCAACCATCAGATGAAACAGAAAGGGACACAGAGAGAGTAGACAGTCTTGTCTGACACCAGGTCTCACTTGCAATGCATGTGTCAGTAGTCCTACATGCACGACTATGTACTGTATTCCGTCATATGAGTTCCATATAATGTTGACAATGTTCTCAGAAACTCCATAGTATCGAAGATGTTTCTATCATGTTCTCCTATCCAATGAAGTTGATGTATAGTGACGAGTTGCATTCAATTGATGGTTCAACGATGATCTGTAGTGTCGTGATTTTGTCTGTGCATAACCGATCCTTACGGAATCCAACCTGTTGATCTCGAAGTTGGGTGTCTACTGTGTCTTTCATCCGGTTGAGCAACACTCTGTTGAGAACCTTTCGTGGTACTTATAGTATTGTTATTCCTCTGTAGTTCTTACACTTGCTGTGATCTCCTGTCTTTGTTATTGTGATGAGGTGTTTTAATTTTCAGTCTGTTGGTGCTTGTTCCTCCTCTCAAATCTTCTTGAATGGAAGATAAAGCATGTTTGTTGGAGTGACATCTGTAGGAATATCTGTGTGTGCTGCTTCGATGTTCGGTGAATTCTGTGGAGCCGGTCCATTCAAACGTTCATCGAAGTACTTTACACATCTGTTCCTGTGTTCTTGAATAGCAGTGATTGGCTTGCCTATTTCTTGTCTGCTCTAATGCTCCTCTCCACCTGCTCGTTTGCTTCGGAGTACTCAACTTGTTTCTTGACTTTCTCAGTTCTTGTTCGGCTATTGTTAGTTGCTGTCTTCTTGCTCTTCCGTTCCTTCATCTTGTCCAATGTTTCTATAGAGATCCATTCCTTATGATGATGCTTGCTATTTCCCATAATCTCCTGACACGTTGAAGTTAGTGCTTCTTTGATGTCTTTCCAATTGTCCTTCATAGTAGTTTATTCTTGTTTGAGTTGACCTCGTGAGACTTGTAACCTGTTGTCGAGAGCTATCTTGAATTCATTGAGTTTGTCAGTATCTCGAAGGAAGGCTTTATTGGACATTTGTCATTCTGTTCCCTCAGTTGTCCAGTGTTTTTTTATTTTCAGTTTCATCTTGGCCACCACTAGGTGGTGATCTGAATCTATAGCAGATCGTCATTTGGTTCTCATGTCTTTCATTGACCTCAATATTTTATTGATCCAAATATGATAGATCAGATTATCTGTAGTGTAATCCAGCGAGATCCATGTAGCTTTGTTTGTGCGTTTGTGGAAGTAATTGATGCCACCTACAACTATTTTATTGAATGCATATAAGTTCGCAAATCTGTCACCATTCCCGTCCCTTTCTCCTATTCAGTGTATGTCTATCTACGATATCTTTATACCCTGCGTTGTCCATTCTGACTGTGGGATTTAGGTTCTGCATCCGAATGGTGAGTTCTTTTTCTGTGCACTTTGTTATGATTGATTGCAGCCTCTCATAAAACTGATCTTTATCGCGTCGATCCTGGATGCATGGGATTCTTACCCAAGAATTGCATGTCGTGCTTGTTTGGATAACATCAGAGCAACTATCTGAGTGTGTGGATCATTTTCCTCTTCGTGACCGAGGCACAGCAGCATCTCTCTTGTATCTAGATTTTGCTTCCAAGATTGGTTCCAATGGGTTTCACTGATTTCGAGAACCGCCAAGTTGTATCTCCTCATTTTCGTAAATATTTGACTGATCCTCCCGGTCTCTCACATTGTCTGAACTTTCCATGTACCTATAAAAATTGTTGCTCTGTTTGTTAGAAGGGGCATCGGCCTCAAGAATTCCGAAAATTTTCTGCTTTTACAATAAGGCGTTGTAATTCCTCTGGATAAAGATCCTTCAACTCAGAGGACAGAGTTTAAGTGGTCTAGTTCGTTTATTCCGGTTGGCGTCTTTTTAGCAAGATTGTTTTCTACGTGATGGGGTTTCTGACCCCATATCCATATATATATCCATACGTCTTTACCCTTTTAGAAATGTGTGTCTTCTTGGTCTGTTGAACTATCGAAATAAATATAGTGTAATGTTTCCTAAATGTTGTTTCAACAGACTCGCCAGGTAGAGCAAAGCAAAAATGCAATATATTGTTCTTAGATTCCTCTTGCTGTCAAAAGTCGAATAAATGTACCCTTTACATTACTGTATTGGTATTAAAGTGTATTTATTGTGTTCGAATTTACCGAAATTACCTCAGTGAACATACCGATAGAAGATTTGAGTATAATCCCTTTTCTGTCTAAAATGTTGGTATATATAAAGATACCAAGTTTTTTCGTACTTCAATGGTAGTTTGACTGCTCTGTTTATTTGCATCAACCGCAGCTGACAAGATTGTTGTTTTAAACACGAATAGTGATAGTTATTAGTTGGAATATCTTGGCTTTACAAATAGATAACCATGTCTGTAGTTTAGAGACCACTGATTCAAGTCTATTAAAAAATGTCATCCATCATATTATACATATCACAATATAGAAAAAAGGTCTACAATTCACTGTAAGTTTCTTACATATTTCCCTGCGAACCCAACGATTTTTGTACAGATAAATAAGGTTTAATATGAACTAATTAAATTGTTTCATACCAAAAAATATATATTACTGACGCAATTGAGAAATAATATTTTTCTAATCATATACTGGAATTCAGAGATCAATAAATAATCTTCTATTTCTACTTCTCAAATTAAATTTTCTGAAGGTATTGGTCAACCTGAAATTTAACATTCCGAATATAAATTCATAGGAGAGAGAGTTGAATTCAGTTATATTGACTAATGAAGGAAATAAGTAATGGTACCAGATAATATAATTAATTTTGTAAAGAATAGAGTAAGCTATACCAACATACAAAGTGAACTGATGAGGATTATAAATACTGTGAGAAGTCTAAATTAATTTGTACATCATCTAATACTTCACAAATGAATGTATACAATTTAATCATTGATTAGGACTACTAATTCTTTATCTCATATAACCCTCATCATGAAGCAGTGAAGTAAGATGAAAAAACTATTCAAAATATATTTTAAAAAAACTGATACGAATTACCATTGGTTGCTTTTTTCTTTCTCATTTTTATTGTTGATCAGTCATTTGTTAATGTAGGTTGTTGGTGAATTTGTAGTTTTGCATTACGGACTGACTTTGATTACAACCAATGAAAGTCAGGAACTATCTGGCAGTTGTTTCATTGATACATGAAACTACTTAGAAGTGTGCATCCGTAACCCAACAGGTGATAGAACCAAAAACATTTGGGTTTGACGGAAAATTCTCAACATTCAGATCACTGAGTTGGTATCTAATGATTTTCTTACCTAAATTTAGCCACTCAGTGTAAATGCGGGATTTTACTATTTTAAGTAAATACTATGTATGTTATCAGATGGCCAATAATTTCACTGTTCGGTTGGGATATTGAAGTAAATTTGGTGTGTATATTACTAAATCGGTGATCTCAGTGACCAGGCATAAAAAATACTACATTCTGACTTTTAAAAGTAGAAAACTACATTTGAATACTAACCAGGTATTATTCACCATGTAATATATGACTTCTTAAATATTAGTTTTCACAATATACTAATTGTAAGACATATTTGTTACCGACTGATCTCAGTTGGTTTTCAATTGGTGAATGATTCAGTAGACAGAATATCAAATATGTGTGATGATCATTGGTTGAAATTCGACTTTCATTTAAACTCATTGTTTCAATAATATTTCACAGATTGAAATCATGATTCAATTGAAGCTAGACCACCATGGAAAACCTGGAAGCACTGGACGGCCGTTTCGTCCTAGTATGGGATTCCTCAGCAGTGCGCATCCACGATCCCGCACCCACGAGATTCGAACCCAGGACCTATCAGTCTCGCGCCAGGCGCTTAACCAAATAGACTAAATTTATCAGTGTATTCCTAAGCTACAAAGGAAGATATATATATCAGTTAAAGTATCAGACTTATTATGAAAATATAATGTAAAAACAAAAAAATTAATGGATGAGAAAAAGACAAACTCAACAAAGCACTGAATAATAAAAATATAAATCAATTCTTTTCTAATATTCTACTTTTCTTCATTTACTTTAACAAATTCAGTACAAAACTGTCATGTCATGTATAAAATTTTGTTCTGACAACTGATGAGTGACAGTTGTTTTTGTTGTTGTTTTTTATTCTTTTACATTGAAACCAATAATTCCTAATGGGTTTATTTTACGTATTTTCTATGCATGTCTATGTATTAGAGGAGGAGAGGTGGTAGTATAGAAATACGAAACAAATACACAAACTGCACTTGTGTCAGATAATTTAGCCCATCTAATGACAAACAAATTCAACACTATCATAATCTATCGAAATGTTAATTTTAAAATTTTCACTACGTACTCTTTACATAAATATTTCCTTCATCAGACGATCAATGTTAGGCTCCAAATACAAGAAAAAACTGAGAGGATAGACATATCAAATTAGTGATAGTGTTGAGCTATTAAGCTTTGGCTGAAATGATACTTTTGTAACTTCAGTAATTGTCTCTATGACGTCATAATTTAAAAATACTAAATATTTGTCTACTGATTTAAATGTTTTAATAAAAATTGTTTAAATAAAGACGAATATTTTAGAAAAGAGTAGTTTTCTGATAGCACTACTATCACTACTAAAAGTATAGCATACTGAGCTTTGATTTCATGATATATTTACACTTTACTAATATTAATTTATTAAAGCTTTTTTCGGTTTGATATCACTATCAATACGTCTCACTTCTAGAACTAAACGCTCTAAAAAATTTAAGTGTTTTTTTCTTGATTTTATACAAAATTCGAGTTCGTTGTAAGTAGTATTAACAGTGGAAATGGTAAGAAGATAAGTAATCTCAATTTGTAGCATAAATAAATATTTGGTATGGTGTTTTGGATGATTTGAAGATAATTAACATAGTTTATTCAATGTGATCATTTTTCAGATCATTTATACTAGAATGAAAAAAACCAGAAACCCAAATTACAAATCAGAGGGCATTGGAGTTTAAAACTTCTAAGGAAATGGACGAGCAATGACACCCTCTATGCATACGACGGACCTAGGACAGATGAGCCTATGTCAAAAGTATAACACCATTCACGTATTGAACATAGTAGGTCTTCAAACATAACAGCTTTCATTAACAAACAAAATATTTTCTATTTAAGTGGCTTTATAAAAGAAATGCTTGATTTTTTGAAAATCATTCGCATCATACTCACATTTAGTTGAGAATCAGAAAGCATTCAAGGGTATTTCACCTTAGTACTAATCGCTTTTTGATGTGATCAGTAGTTGTATTGCCCTAATACCATTAAAAATTCTTCAGAAAACTAACTAATTAAATGATGATTTTGCTTTCAGTGACAACTAATTTTGGAGATGTATTTCCTTATGTTTCTGTGAAAAGAATATCATCATAACCTGAGGAGTTGATACACTGGAAGTCGACTTAGTGGTCCACAAAAATGATATTAGATGAGGAATGCAGTATATTAAAAGGTATCTGAGTTTGGTCATTTAAACCATCAAATTACTTTCAGCAACCAAATTTAGCATGAAAAACTTAAGTACTTGGGTTTAACTTGCGGATGAGTTGTATTTTCAAACTTTAAACAGTCACCAACTAAGACGATATATACACATATATTGTTAGATAGATGAATAGACAAATAGATCAAGAAATTGATGAAGGCGATACCATGTACAACTTCTTGACAGATAGGTGTATGTATTAACATTATTTTCTTTATATGAAAAAGAAAACAAACTGTCATTCAATAAAAAACAACTTAGAATAAAGAAGGAAAATATTTCACTATATCTAGTAAATTTAGCTGAACAAGTAAATGAATTTGAGTGTGTATACGTGAATAAACTCATAATACATAAATACAAGAGCGGAAAAATACTTTAACATAATTAACTGGCAGAATATAGATTGACACAACCAAAATGATATAAATATAGACAACTTATAGACGTTCACAAATTGTAAAAATTAAATGATATAGTACTTAAGAAATAGACTGTTCTTTTGTCAATAGTTTAGTATAATAGAGAAAATGTTTAGTTATATACATATATACTTGTAATATAAATTAAGTAAATTGTACAAACTGATTAGTCTTGTTTTATATGAGCTTTCAGGTATCATTTAGTTAATGTCAACATAATCCCGATAACTAGTGAGATGTCAAGAGTAATTTATATTGCACTGGATTGTTTTCTCTCTCTAGTAAATGTTGCTTTTTGCTTTTTTCAAAAAACATGTATTACTGATTATGCTCCGGAAAACGCATATTCAGAAAGAAGTAATATTACTTATAAACGAGATAACTGGCTGATTGTTTGACAATCAACATGAAACGACTGTTTACAAAGTTGAGCTCACTTAGTTTTGAAGAAGTCTCTTCTATCAAAAGTTTTCGATCTCAATTATGTAAACAGGAACAAATGTCGATTAAATATAATTTACTTTCAAGAACTTTCATCTATTATAGTAACTATGGTATTTCTTTAAAGTTCTATTTACTTTATTCGTTGAGTTAATTGTTTTCAAATTGGATTGCTTGATATTTTGTATTTTATTCTTCATTTTACTAATTTTCTATGTAATTTGTTCTTTAATAAACTTTTGTAAATCAAGGACAATAAACATTGCGGGATGAAGTGAATTGATTTCATTTCGTATACTTTAAGTTTTCAACATACGTGCCGCTTTTTCTAAGTAAAGAATACGTTATGAGATAGTAACTGACTGAAGACAATGGTGGATGTGTCACTCAATTTCGTGGATTATTTAAAGTTAGACATTCACACCATTGGATGCCAGATTAGTGGTCTAGAGGTTAAGCTTTCGCGCGCGAAACTGATAGGTCCTGGGTTCGAATCTCGTGGGTGCGGGATCGTGGATGCGCACTGCTGAGGAGTCCCACAATCGGACGAAATGACTGTCCAGTGCTTCCAGGTTTTCCATAGTGGTCTAGCTTCAATTGACTCATGATCTCAACTACTGAAATTAAAGAATATGTATTTAAAATGTAATTTGTGTGTAATGTGCAAAACACTATGCAGTGAAAAATATTTATGATAACTTTTCATATTCATACAAGTTCAATTCATAGATGAACGGAATAAGCGAGAACGAGAGATCATGACCTAGATGAACATAGGAAATATATCATTTGTCATGATTATAGTAGACAGTATGAATAAACTGGTAGTTATTGCCAAAGAACAACCGCAAATTAATCATACCAATGGTAATAATAATAAAATTATTTGAAGATGGTATGAAAAAACACAATCTCTTGAACTGATATTGTTAAACGTTTTACTAGATAATATCAGCGTAATTAGAAATGAAAACTTGATGAAAATGAACAATCAAGGTGTTATGATCAGGAAAGACAAAAATGTTTGTAACAGTTACAGGTTAAGAAAACATAGGGGAATCGAATACCACGGTAGTGTCATATGGGTCACAAGTCATTTTTGTATACTTAGATTCGGTTTGAGATTACATTGAAGCTGTTGTTTTTGAGTAACGTAAGTCTTCCGTTATTCCGTCTATTTGTCACATAGTTTTTATGAGTGCTAGAAATAGTAAAGTTATTTAATTAGGGTTAATCGGGCTTGCAGTAAACTCTAGCAATACATTTTGTACAATATAAGGGCACATTTTCATCAAAATAAGACATATACTAGGAAATTCATTAAAGATGAGAGAAACCGATTTTTTTTCTTGGCACAAAACTCAATAGTGTGCATCAATAGCTACAGACGATAACAAATCTATGACCTCATGGTTCAGTATATATCACGAAAACTTTAAACCATTAAATTAGAATTTAATGTTTAAATGTTCACGATATATCATCACCTCATTTCCAATCCTTAATGCCTACTATATTCTTTAACTAGAATAAAATATCTCCTTGAGGTCAGATCTCGGGCCATTAAAGTGGAGAGTTCTTTCAACAACATCGTTCGATCTAAACAACGACAACATTAAAGGGCCTCACAATTCCATGTTAACCCTACCTATGTTTCAAAGATTATTGAGTTACTATCAGTTTATAATGAAAAAAATTACCATTAAATTCATTTATTTTAATGAATATTATTAATAAAACGAAAATTTTCAATAAAATTATTTCATTGAAATTCATTTGTCTATATAGCATAAAGTATTACGTAAATTCATTCAATTAATATTACTTGACCGAATAATTTCATAATAAGTATTATTACATCTAAATGACGTCATACGAAGTGACGATAATAAATAGAAAGATTGATTTCTGTATCAAATTAAGATAATCCCATATAATAATACTAATAATAATAGTAATAGTAATAATAATAAGTGATTGTAATAATAATATAAAAGCCAGTCAGTTTACTCCCACCTGGTTGACTTATATTGTATAGTTTAGTTTTTAGCAAGCATAAAAAAAACGGAGTAATGTAAATTAATTTCCCTTCAGAGATGTTATTGTCAGCCAATAGAATTTAAAAGAAAACTTTAAGCAGATAGATGATAGAAAAAGTGGTAATTTTAGATAAAAAAGAAAAAGAGAGGATTTTCTCATCTATACTTTGTGTATTTAAATACTAAAAGTAAATGTGATAAACAAGAAACTAACATTTGACGAGATAGTCAATATCATTGAATTATGTCTTGTTTGGTGATCGAAGATAGTTGGGCAGAAATCTAAGCTAAGCAGAGTTTCTAAACACCTAGCATCTTAAAATAATTCAATAAATGACTAGTCATTCAGATTAGTGGCCACATTGAAACTTGAATAGGAGAATTCTACTAGGCACTGGTGATTATTTTGGTGTTATAATCTTTACAGTAAAAAAGTATATATCTCCTAAACATGAATTCCTCATAAATGTATACACCTATGATTAAATACCCCATTAAACCTAGAAATTTTGGATTTCATGCTTCGTATAATATCATTTGAACTATCATTAGATTATACAAAACAAACATAATATTTATGCACTCAATTACAGATAAAGATAATTAAACTATAAAACCGAACCTAACATCTTATTTGCAAGTTTAACGTAACTTGTTTGAAAAGTACAAAGTTTGTTACTTCGGTCTCATACAGAAAAAAAGCCATACATTGAATAAAAACCAAATTAGCTACTCATTTGATCATCTACTTGTTTGGATGAAAAATAACAGTAACTAAATTTGATGAAATATGATATACAGTAACAGAAACATCTTATATAATTTATATAGTTTTAAAAAACTCTGAGATCAGTTTTGCCTACTGTCATAGTGATTTGAATAGGTTCATCACTTTATTTCATCTGATTTATATGTTTATTTGAACACTAACTAAAATGTAGGTTTACGGTTCATATTGTATAGTTGATCCATGGAAATCCATCAATGACGATAAAATTATGATTACCAATAATTGACGAATTAGCCAACACAAATCTATTTTCTAGAGTATTGTAGCAATTAGAATGAGAAGAACCGCTTCATTCTTGACACTAAACTTTGAAATCCAGAGCTTCTAAGGGACAGTGAACTTTAAAGAAACGGCAAAAACACTTTACTGATGTATACCACCAGTCTCATAACTTATATTTAGAGCATCTTAAGTCTTTATTTTCTTGAAAATGTCAACTGAATATCAGTAAATAGAAAATTTATATCAGTGGCTTTATTTATGCTAATTCTTTTCCTGTTATGCGAGTCCATGGTTATTTTGAAATATTCAGAATTCGTAATCATTGACTTGGAGAAAAATCGATAAATGACCCTAGATAGCTACTATACACAACTCAAAATTGATTAACCCCAATATTTTTGCTTTAAGATAGAAAACAAGGTTGAAGTTCGATTCTAATCATTCGTCAATCAGGATACTGGTAGATTTTATGCTTATGATTGTTTGAGACAAAAGTCATAGCTCTTACCTAATAATACTTCAATTTTTAAATAGTAACTGTATCAGTGGTTATAGTGTGGTGTGCTACTTATATCGACATAAGTAGTATATGACGCTAGTCAGGAACAGAATGTCTGGCAGCAGAGTGACAAGAGGATCGAACAGTAAGCAATGGAAGGAGAATGCAATTTATATGAAAATACATGAACAATGAAGTCTGGGTCATGTTGAGACAATTGATGGACATTGCAAATTAAGCATTTACCATATGATTGTTAGATTTTATTAAGCTCTTTAATTTCCTACTAAGCACACTCGACTACCACACCCGTGTTCTTATTCACTACAATAGGAAAGATTAGGCATCGAATGTACGACTTGAAAATATAAATTGGTGAAATAAAAATAGAAAGTTATTAAGAATTTGGAATCTCAGGGTTTAAGATAAGACAAAGAACGGATGCGCCTTGAAAACAATTTTGAGGTATTTCATACAAAATCTCTAACCACTGGTTACGGTGATCATGCGGACCCTACCAAGTACTCTACAACTACTAACATGGCTGGGTCCAATTATTACTGACTTCATGGAATGATGCTATGTTTTGTTTTGAGTCAGTTGAACTGTTCACTAAAGTCTTCTGCCCATCTGTTCAATCTCCTGGATTGAGAGTGAATAATAGTCCCGTCTTTTTCCGAGATAGTTTTACTAACAGCTGAATATTTAACACACATTTCCTTGGTAAGCTTTCGCTGCTTACCACTGCTCACAATCATTAATAGGTTAGTGAGTTGTCGATTTTATTCTACTGGGTTTTCAATGGTAACTGTATTAATTAGAACGACCTTTGAGTAAAGTGATTAGATAAACTTTCAATTTTCCTTGAGACCATAGGTTAGATCCCGTGCGGTGTAGTAGTTACGCAGTAATACGAAACCTCAGAATAAAATGGAGCAGTTGTTAAATGTTCCGAACTTTTCAGTGACAATCTAGTTAGTGTCAGTGGTCATGATGTAAGATATCTTGTAAATGGAAAACATCCCTGTTAATAACCCATTAAAATTCGAATCATCAATTTGAAGGAAGGTTTCACTAAATACGGAGATACCTTATCTAGTTATATCGATGTGGCAGTTTAACTATTGGATTAATTCAGCTAGTGACCATCTTTAAGCTGAAAAATAACTGAGATACACACTAGGTGCACTACTTTTCCGTGACCCACTAGACGTTGAATAACCACGCATCCTAAAAATTTCAATTTTTTTTCAATAAAATAGATTACTTAGCGTTTAATGTGGAAAGAATTTTCCGCCTAAATTTCAAAAGAATAAACGAATATACCTAAATTTCAGACAATACATAATACCTGTCACACCGAAAATCATTGCCTACGGACGTTAAAAGCTAGTGGATGAAGCCTACAAAAACTTTAAACAAGCTATTATTTTAATTTCATCATACTATTCTCAACTTTAATAATCATTAGAGACCCACCATCAACATTCATTTAAAGAATATAACCTGAAACGTTTTGGAAAATATACAAGCTATTATTCTGGTGAGAATTTCATCTTCCTAGATGACTGAAATACAATCACTAAAATTTATGGAAGAGGGGGATCAGAAACATTACCTAATCAAGCTCAAATAATCCCATTTCACAATAATAATAATGTCTCAGTCAACATTTGTTAGGAAACTGTAAAATAACTCTCATATACCTGCAACAATAATACAGCTTGTTCAATAAACAGTAATATTTTCTCCAAAACAAAACATTGTGAAAAATTAATGCAACCCGGTTGGTTACACAATACATTTTACAAGCTGAAAAATTCACCTGATTGTTAAGATTATTTACAAGAATTCAGGCACAGTATAATGATTGTTTTGTTTTTTTAATTAGCTAAATGTTATTTAGATACACTTATAGGTTACACACATATATAACCTATAAAACCTAACATAAATAAGTAACAAAACAACAACAACAAAAAAACAAAACGAACAAGTGATCACACAAAAATTTATTAACTACAAAAGAAAAGGAAACTAGTATGAATAAAATGCATCTATTATTATTATTATTATTATTTTCATAGAAATTTTTATCACATAAACTTTTAACTAGTCATTTGAATTATTCATGTCTGTTTGAAATGAACTTAGTTGGATAATGAGTTTCAATTTAAAATAATTGTCAAGTTAAAATGATTACAATCTGACAACATTTTGAATTAATCATGTTACATACATAATGTCATTGTGTATTGGTCTTTACTTTTTTATTCACTTCTTGATAGTTTAATGGATAATAATTTTTGAATTAACTTGACAGTAAACGAATTAATAATTGGGGTGTGGGGGTGGGTGGGAAGCAAACAAAACAAGGGGAATAGTAGGCTAAAACAAATCACTGTATATATACCATATTTTCAATCATTAAATATGAAATATACAAAATGGAATAATGAGTTAATAGTAATAAGATTTTGTTTTTTTTGTTTGTAAAATCACTCCATTATGTATACGATTCATCTAGTAACCGTAATGACGCTAGTAAATCACAAAAAATGATAACAATAATTTGAATTTCTTTGAAATGTACTTTACACAATAATACATTCCAATGTTTGTGTTCTTTTAAGAAAATGTAAGTCAAATTACAAACAATGCACCTTTCCTGTCTGTATATGCTTTGCATACATACGGACGAAATAGGAAAGGAAGGGTGAGATGGAAGGGAAATATGAAAGAGTTGCGGATATGACACATTTTAGGGTCTTAGCAACGGTGATAATAATAATTATAAATGGATAGCAAAAACATAATGACAATATCTATGTAATCAAGACAGAAAAATTAAAGATAATAGGCTTTTTTCCCGAACATAAAAACATTCTCTTAAAAAAAACCGAAATCTGCATACTTCATACATCTTGAAAAATAATTAATATCGTTATCATTATAGCGAATAAAAGAATTTGATTTGATCATTTGCTTGCTTTTACTTGTTTGTTTACGTGTTTTTCAATAACAAGAAGTTAATCAATCAAGGGTAATTTAATAGGAATGATGATGATGACGATTTGATGATATTCATGAGATGATAAGAGTGATAAACAAAATTTCATGTGCATCAGATAAGTAATAATTAGAAGAAGGGACAATGCACATAAACATTATCATAATATAAATAATGATCATAATGTGAGTTTATTTAGAAAGACACAAGAAAAACATTGAAATATGGTTATTTCTGTTGCCGGTTTACTGGTTTTATTCTTAAAAAAACAAACAATAAAACTCAAAAGTGTGTACAGTGTCATGAAATAGTGCAAAACATACGAAAGTATGATTGTGCGTATTATTCTCAATGTATCTGAATACAATTAAACACACGCACGCACATACCCACACTTATTGAGGCGAAATGTAAAATGAAAACCAAATAAACAATCGAAAAAATACCTGAAAAAACTCAAACAAAACAAACATTCCAATGTGAAACAAAAACATAACTCTCCCAAAGAAAAGAAAATTTCCGAAATATTTAACCTGTTTGTTCAAGGTTTTCATTTGATGTTGATGGAGGCACTGGTGAATTTGTGTCAACTGTATTAATTGATTCCGGTCGATCTGTGGTAGTAGTAGAGTGTTGTTGATTTTGTCGACGTACACGATGACGGTGACGATGGTGACAGTGGTGGCGGTGTTGACGTCGACATCGGTGGCGATGTCGATTTTCCCAATATCGTGGCAAATTAATCAATAATGAGTTAGGTGACGTGCCTGTTTCCATTGATTCTTTAATTTTACTTAGAAATTCACTTACAGTAATATTATTGTTATTATCATTACTGACAGATGAAGACTGAGCTATTTCAGGTTGTAGCGTTTGTATTGTAGTTAAATTTGGTATATTTGTATATAATCGTTGCCATGCATGAAATAAACTATTCAAAAATACGGGTTTACCATCTTTATTAGCGCATAACATTAACCAATCCCATGTACTACGTAATATCTGATCTGAATCTAATTCTTGTAAGAAAGGTAATAAAATTTGACAAAATCCGGTTTCCCAATCTCGACGAGAATTTGACGTTGAAATGGTAGAGTGAGAAAGGTGATGAGAAGTAGATGGGAGATTTCCATTATTAGCATTATTATCATCGTTTTTATTATTGCTATTGTCCGTATTATTATTAAAAATATTCTGTGTTGTATTGTTGTTAATTTGTTCTGAACTATTCAGATCAAGACATTCTGTACTTGAAACATCATCTGGATTTGAACCTATTTCACATTTTTGACTAGATGAAGATAATGGACTAAGCAAATCTGAATCTGTCATACCTGAATGTTGCATTTCCGCTGTAGTACCACGATCTTCGTCATGTTCTTCGTCAGCTAATGGAGCTCGATCACTTATCGTTAATGTAGGTGATAGAGAACTTAGTGTAACAGCGTGTTGATTTATATCTTCCACATCTTCATCAGTACAACTAGGCGATGACATACTACACATATCAACTATAACTGATTGATGTAAATTTGTCAATTCAGTACCAACACTGGTTTCACCTACACATGATGAGGTCGAAGAGGTACCAGATGACGATGATGACGATGATCTTGAATGTGAAGATGGTGATCGAGTAATTTCAGTGGATGGTTCATTAAGTTGTCTTTCTTGCTCATTTATTTCTAATAGTTCGTGATTATCTGACATGGAAGGTGAAGTTGCTTGCCATGATCGATAATATCTTCGTCTTCGAAGTGTACGTAATCTAGATTGATCAGTGTTGTCATTATCATCATTTTCATCAATATTGAAAGATATAGCAGTATCAGAAGTTTGAGGTATAATAGAAGTTTGTTCAGATGATGTATTTTCACTGATAAAATCATCACTGGCTTCTACAATTATGTCTTGATTTTCATTTTCTTGCTGTTGTTGTTCTTCTTCCTCAACTTCTTCTTCTAAAGCATTTTGAGCCATACATGTTGATGTTTCACGACGATTTATACTACAAGATACTAAAGATGTTGATTGATTGCCTAGATCTTGTTTTTTTCCATGATGATGGTGATGATGATGAGTTTCATGACGATGATGTTGAACTCTTAAACGTCTACTATGCGATAAAATATATGGTTTATGTTTCACCTTAAATGCGCTCAATAATCCACAAGAATCTGGAATTAAAAATAACCAACATTATTTATTAAAGTATATAAAATTGATGAGATATTTGAAGTCGGGAAAACGAACGCTAAATCTGAAAATGAATGACTTTTATATTATTTCACATAAGACGACCAGTGTAAATACATTTGTATTGTGCTCTTTCTATAAGCTATCCACTTACAAAAACTGTCTTCTGATCGACTAAGAACTACACAAAACTTCATTGTGAATATATTAAGTTCATACTATAATCTACTTTTAACATACTAGTTATTAAAATAAGAAGTGAATTTTTTAAAATGGAAATATTCTATACTCGATATGAATAAAATAAATAAACTTGTTACTATGATTATAATCTTGTTCTAAATCTTGGAAAAGTCAGTATTAAAAATGTATTCTCATCTTAGAACTTTTCTAATTTCTATTAGCAGGGATTTTAATCCTGTTTTTATTTAAAAAAATTTTTTTTTAGATTTTATAACTTTTGTAAACTTTAGTAAACGAGGAAATTTATAAAATTAAAAAAAAGAAGTTATTTCTGTCAATCTCACATGGAAAAAAGTAATTGGCGGATAGTAAATTTAATCACTTTTCATAAATAGAATATAATAAAAAGTTTATACAAAGAAAAAAAACGCAAAATTGAATCAACTGGTAGTGATATATCTGATCGAACGAATTCAAAATAAATAATAATAAAAAGATTCACAATATGTTACAACTAATGGAAACAATGATGTCATAGAAATTTCACTTGATCGTCTATTGAAAACTATTCTAACATCATTAGCTTTGTTTCCTTGAAAATATAACAATATTGACTTAAACAAGAATTGATCAATAAAGCTGATTAGAAAATTTCAAAACTTGGTTATTCTAAGAATATTTAAGGAGCAAATAGAGATATAAATGTGTAGTGGTTCAACTTAACATAATTTGTACACCGGTATATCGAGAGATGTGCATATAGATGAGAACAACAACAACACGAAGAAGATCAAAATAACAATAAAAACAGTAGTAAGAAACCAAAGGAAAAGTAGGATGAGTCAGGATGTGAACAAAGAACAGTAAATTTAGGAAGAGATAACTAATGAATTCATTCATATTCTTAACCCACGTGCAATCTCACATAGGCCTTATCCTAGATTATGTCGTGAGGGAACTGAGTTCCTTGGGTTATTTCTACAAGACAACTGTGATTTGAGACTAAGAACCACATCTGGATGACATTGCTAAAAAATACTTACTGTATTATAAATTTATTTGTTTCCGCTACTTTCTCTTAAATATTTTCCTTCTACATTCCTCCTTGGTTTTTTTTCATTATATATATATATATATATATATATATATATATATATATATATCGGGTGAAATTTCCACAGTTATTTGAGAAAATTCCCCACAATACATATTGCACAATACAACCATAACATACTTATTATTTCATTCTGATACGAAATACAATGTGACGCGCTAATCATAATGAGCAGCAAAGTGCATCAACCTCATACATGTACTCCAATTAAATACTCCTGGTTGAGCGAAAGCTCGTGGAGAATCATCGTCGAAAATGCCAAACGGTATTCAAAAAAGCTTCCCACTTCACCAGCTTTTAGTTAACTTTGTCATAGAAATTTTTTCTGAGAGAACACTCTTGTCAATCAACCTTTCAAGAGTTGATCTACCAGGAAATCCACTTGTTGACTTAAAATATCCAGGGGACACTTTCTTTTAATGAAGACGCTGACAAAATACACAATATTCTTACCACCTTAAACAACAATGCAAGCATGCTTGGAATATGATTCTCTCTCAAAATGCAAAATATTGCCTCCAAACTGGTCTATTTCTATGCGTGTCGATTACTTCTTTTATCTTGGAAGTTTCGTTAGGTCTTGTGATTGGTGTCTGATAAAATCTCAGCACAGATTCAGAAAGGTCAGCCAACTATTCCCAGCTTGCATGGCTAGTAGCGTGGGTGCGATATCCATCTGCTAACCAAAAAATGAGTATAGTGGTCAGTAGTTCGTTCCGTTCTACTTTATGGGTATTAAACATGGCCATTAAGAATATAGGTTATTCGTAGGTTACTAGCATTCGACCATAGGTGCCCTCGAAAATTAAAGAACGTTGTATATAAACATATAGATTAATACATAAACCCGAAGAAAGTATAATTAAACATTTGTTTAAATTTATATTGTCAACTAAACAGGACGATAACTGAACAACTGATGTTTCATATATATATATATATATATATATATATATATATATATATATATATATATATATATATATATATAAAGAAAATAAGACATTATTCATACAGTAATATATTTATACTTACCGAGACATTCAGTTTGTAAGCCTAAAAGATTATAAGTTGCAGTCAATGCAGCAGCTTTTGTGTAACTATTTTGTGAACGCTATGAAAATAAAAAAAATGTAAAACTGAAATTAGTAAAACTTGATCACAAGAAAAAAACGGGACGACATTTTGAAGAAATCAAGGGAGGGAATAATAATAATAGTAATAATCCACATATATAAGTTTTATCAACCGAAAAAAAAGAAAACGCAGGAAAAATATACGGATAAATGAACATTTTGGTTTATAATATACACAGGAACTAGGCTGATTCCTTTATGTATTCATTTTTTTGATTCCGTTCCTATTAAATAATAATAGTTGACTTATTTAGAGAGTTACACTCTTAGGCCAACACACTAATTCACACAAACACGGTTTTTTTAACCATTATCTACTATCATCGGAGACTAAGGAAAGAAAAGAGTATGGTTGAATAATATCTTCTAAGGATTTGACATTTTGATAATAACAAATAAACTATTTAAACTTAACATTTAAAAAAGTCATACAATTCTAGTCAGCAGTAACAGGACTATTGTATGACAAGAACCAAGTGAAAATTGAAGTTCATCAATCGATATTAGTCTAAAATCTGCAGAAAGGATATACACAGAATATTCGACTTTTAAAAGGGAAATGCGCTAGACAAAAGCACAATGCAAGCCTTTGTAATAAGATTAGGCTGCCTAATACAGTTCGTAGTTAAACAAACATAGAAAACTGGTAAGTATTAAATAGCTGTTTCCTCAACTATTTCCAAAAATCCCACCAAACTAACAATCATATACTCACTAATGGTCAATTTCGAAAGTGATTCTTGGAGTTCATGTGTGAAGCTATGATTCGGGGAAGTATAATGACATCTATAATCACCCCTACCAACGGCATGGGATGGTGCTGATGCGTCATTGCAAATTGAGTGTAGATTATAAACTTCGGTAAGAATTTATTTATTAGTAAGTATTTCGTTGTGATTAGATTATTTAAGAAATATCTTATTTTTCAAATCAATTTCAAAGTAAAGTTGAGTGGTTATTTTTAATTCAAAAGTACAAACTTAATGTACAATACGTGTACAAAAAAACTGATGCTATACAAGAACACGAAAAATTTTATTATTTAAAAATTGATAAAGTGTTTTCAAGTATCGAAACGATGACACTAAATGAAGGTAACGCTTTAACTTTATGTTTATATGTTGTTCAGTTCGTTTAAATAGCCGGCTCACTGAAACGAAAATAGTAGTATGATGTAAGGCTCAGAAATTTTTACTCGTTCATCAGATGATACTTCAATTTCAATAAGAAACAACAACACCACGTGATCAGTTACTTTTAATTTTCGATAATTCTGAGGCAGAATAAAGCATCATCATCATTATCCATACCAAAAATTCATTCAAAACATATTAATTTTTATAAACAGAGATGGATGGTGACTAGCAGTGGAATCCAATACACGCATTTCGTTCAATACAAAAATGAACCAAAGTTCACCGCATTACACAAGCTATTGGCCATCTGGACTCAGTAGTTAGGTGGATAACGTGACGGCGTTTGAAGCGAACGGTACTGGGTTCGCCTCCCCGAGTGAGCATCAATTCTGGTATGTACGTACACCCAGCTGACGAGATAAAAATAGGACGAAACGCGAATCCTGGATTCCACTGCTAGCTACCATCCATCTCTGCCTATGATGCTTGTGACTTAAGGCAGTATCGAGGCAACTCGCACAGGATGCACATATGCCAATAAGTGACTGGTCTATGGAATCCTAAGCATAGCTGAGAGGAGTCAAAAAACAACCAATACGTTTTAATTTTTGTTTCTCAACACACTGTCTTCCAACTCAGCATTACCTATTCATTAATTATTTTCCATTTGGAAACAAAACTTGCCTTAAATAGTTGATTTCGTAGGAATATAGGATATGAAATTGTTAAAAATATCGGTTAATATATTCAAAAAAATAAACTGATATGAAAAATACATCATTTATTTTTTGTCGAGAAAGTGATGAAGGTCGGGATAAATATAAACAAATTTCAAACAATAATTCACCAGACTATATATATATTGGCGAATATACTATGGTTTTTTTGTATCGGCAATCAAACACAGTAAGAACGAATGTTTAATTTACTAGCGGAAAATTTAATGTTTAGATTCTAGCGAACATTGCACGAAGTTTTACAGAAGATTAGACTAACGCGGTTAAGAAGAATATAACCGATTAATCGCTGATTAGTGAACAATACTCCGTTTTTCTAGTCCTCTAGTGTTGATCGAATTTTATCGATCAAGTTGCAATGTGGCTACTAATGTAACTGATTTGACAACAATTTTCAAATTCTCTACTCATTAGAAAATAATAAATACACTTAATAGGTCGTAGCAGTGGTCTATAGGTTGAGTTTGATCCCCTGGGTCCGAACCGTGCTGAACTTCCTTCGGTTTGAACAACAGGGTAGTATCACTAGCCCTTACAACTAGAATGTGACAAAACAACAAACACGTAGAGAGTTTATCAATTAAACTTGTGAGATAAAATAAATAACTTGATAAATTTAATACCAACGAAAAAAAGAAAAAAACTGAAGTGATAGAAAAACATTGAAATAAAAGAAAGAAATTACCATAAATAATGTGAGTTTTTCAACTAAATCTCCATTTCTATGAACTTCGCATCGTGCAGTTCGACCAGTGGCAATATGTGCGATCACAAGTACAGCCTGTAATACGAAATAAAAACCAGCATTTAGATTACAAGCAGTTCGAAATAATTTTGTTTAATGAGAATAAACAACCAACCAGGATAAATTGTCCAACTGTACACAAAATAATTCATCAACTAGGGGAATCGCAGTTAACTATCAAAATATAAATTGTACACATAGTGAAAACTAAACTTTTGACCTTTATTTATCTTGGAATAACATTAAAATAAGTATGTGGGATTTACTACTGAAATAAAATTTAATTTAAATTAAAAATATTTATGAAAATGCTGTGAACTGATGAATTTTAGTATTGTGCAAAAACGGTATCATGGAGGCATTCACCTTCTTAGGATAGATTTTTAAATTTAGGTACAAATGATGTACTTTGATCCTCCATCGCAGTTTAAAATTAAGAATAGAATAGGAACGGAATAATTAGGGATAAAAATTTATATGGAATTATAATGTAACTCATCTTACAGGGAAATACAATGAAAAATTAATAATCAACAAAAAATTGTAAATATCCTGGACTTCAATAATTTTTCTGGTGAACTGAGCACCAGCCCAAGTCTCCGAGAAAGAAGAAAAACAATTTATTATTATATAGAATATATGATAGATGTTGACATAGTAGTTTCACATTATTATCAAGGTAAAACAGAAGAATTACACTGAATCCTAAGAAAACGTAGTCCGAAATGATTATTCTCGGATATAAAACGCAGTTAAATTTATTTCAACATACATCAGTATATCTGATATGATGTGAATACAAATGGCGGGGGCGATGGGATTTTAGAAAAAAAAGCCACATCAAATTATTTTAAATTTACATTTGTTGGGCGATGATCTAGAAAAAGTGAAGCAGAAAAATAAGAGAAATTTTTACTATTGCGGGTCAAATCCAAACACTTTTGCAGCAGCAACAGCAGTTTTTTAAAAATCAGTTGGAATTAAAAGAAAAGATTACGAATGAAGCCGCTGAATCATTCACGTTTTGGAGATATGGCGGAAATTGGTGAACTGATTTCTAAGTTGCATACAGAAACGGCAAATACCTCCGGATTGAATAAATATCTCAGTAAACGGCTGTATGAACCCGTGACAAGCAGTGAATTAGACAATATGATATTCATACATGATCCTCTCAGTGATAGAGTAAAAGCCATTTTAGAAACAAAGACCAGAGCTGGTTCCAGTCCAGAATGTTGGTCTAGTGAATTGTTCGTTTTTTTAGCCGCTGTGATCTTGTCTGGTTGCGTAGTTGTATTCTAGGTTTCTGTTGAGCTTTTATTTTGTCAGCTGGAAATTCTATTAATATATCCTAGCAAGTTTTCCAGACACAGCGTCTTCACAATCTTGTCTTTCTGTATGATTACTGTATCTCGTTCACATGAGTTCACCCACGTTCACTTCATTCATACTGCCACTATTCTTCTTACCGTTCAACTTGCCTATCGTGGTTTGTAATCATGGAAATCTCGCACTCAACTGCTTCATCTACATGAGAACTTCTGGTTTTGACGTCACTGTTAATTAAACTGTGACTTCTTTATTTTCACTTCCTACAGACTGAATTAAGGAGTAGTATCGTGAAATACCAGGTGGTACTTTGGAATCCTAAGATTACACATAAAATCCGTCTAATAATAGTGTAGAATATGAAAATCTATTAATAAAAGCCAACCACACAGCCTCTGATTATCCACCGCTAGAACCTTCGGTTGTGTTTCCATTACTTTAGTATTAAGTGTAAAGTGTGGTGCATTTTCGTTGAAAATTCCACCTCAAACCCGAAATTTTACTGTATCGTTTTGATCCTTTACCTCGAGAAGAGTTACAATGGATATATCTACAACAGAAAGTTGTGGATATATCCAGTGGGTCTTTTCAAGTTTAAGAAAAACGAAAATGCTGAGGATTTGAATAGGTTAAATCATCCAGTTTTACTATTTATCAGTGGAAATTATTCAGAAAATCATATCCAACATAATGAAAACTATGATACCAATGGACTTGTACGCACAATAAATATCGCGTTTTCTCATACCTACCACTATACATTATAAAAAAAATTGGGAGGTTTGATAGTAACATGTTTAAACGTGTTTATATTTACTAATTACTCAATAAGCTTTGTTTCGTTCACTACTTAAACCTGTTTTAACGTGTAAATAATATATATTTTCAGAGTCATGAAAACGTTAGGAATTCACCTTCCTTTTCATTATTATCGGTAGTAGACCGTAGATTGATTAGTTCACTTAGAATCATAAAATAAAACTCTTCTGATAGTAATATTCACAAAATCAAGCTTCTGTTGAATGTTGCCTACACATTTATGGAGATCGAATATATATAAACAAAATGGTCCGAGTTTCTGTTACATTTTTTTTCTACTTACATGCACAGTACGATTATTCGGATATGTGAACATAAACTACTTCATGCTCCAGTGATGACTGATTAACTGGGTTATATTTCCGAACTGAAACTTGAAAAATGCTTTAAAAATTGACTCTCCATGTGATTCCAAACTTCAATGAAAATCACCATATCGGACGAATTTTCATAAACTAAATAACTAAACAATATTCATATTTACACTGGTGATAAGTATTTAGGGGTATGTATTTCTCATAATTCCAAACAATGGACTAAACCATAACAAAGAGTGAGACAGATACTCACGTAAGATACCAGAAGGTGGTCATATTATAAACCTAAACTTACTGTAATTGAAAGCGTAAACCAATAGATCACGACTCAATACTCCTTATGTGACCTGGAGTAGGTCAGGGGTTCGATCCATTGGTGGGGTCACTTGTACATGTTATGCACCAGATTCAGACTAGAATTAAACGAGCTATTTTATATTCCCTAGTTTTTAGTTTGTGACGAAAAAACAAACAGAGTAACATATCTTTAAAAGTTACAATCTAACATACTAAGAAACATTATTTTATAAACTGAGCTAACCTGTTCTTTGACGGGCTGAGGATAGTTCGACTCCAATACAGCAATTATAAATTGAGTGATATTCCACCAATGCTCACTCACTATAGTGTCTATGAACTTGAGGAAAGATTGAGCAAAGATAAAAATGCTGGATATATATATATAATGAGAAAAGATAAACAAAAGTATTTCGATGTTAAGACTATCAGCAACTGATAATTTTCGACTGCTTACACTATAGAAGTTGACATTTTCGAGTAGTTAAGAAAGAAAATTAATTTACACTGTACTTCCACAAACCTTAATGTTTATGCGACTAAACTGATTGTATAGTATAAATATTTCAAAAAACCACACTTCTATATGATACATATTACTAAGGCTTTAACTTCAAAGTGCGTTGAGAAGAGACTAGACAATAAACAGGGATAAAGTGAAATAGAAGAGTAACGATGTTTTGTAGGGGTGATTGTTGTGCTTCTGTATATGTATCAGTGATCCTGAATAAAATCTTATAATGAAAATCTTTATTTACATGAAGAGTGAAAGTCAAGTGGTTTCCAACTTGGCAATATCAACACAGAATGTGACTTTATTGCCCGAGAAGTATAGGAGACTAGTTAGATAAAAAATATTTAGTTTAAAAAATTCAGTGGTTGAAGCATTCTGCTCTTAATCGATCACAGATCCTTAACCCCATTTCATTTAATACAGTTTCGCCGCCCTTTTACTAACATCAACACTCATACATAAAGAGTATGGATTAAACCCAAGTATGTCTGTACCTGGTAAATTATTCGAATCAATTCTTTCAACCAAGTTAATTAGTATTTAGCACTATTAAAAAACACTATTAATAAGATCATTATTATAATCGATTCAACAAAATGGACATTATGAAACTTACTTGTTCATCACGAAGCAGATTACGTAAAAAGCTCAATGTCTGATAAACAATTAAAATATGAATTTGTGCACTATTTTTAGAAAACTTAAATTTAGATTGTGTATTATTCGACAAAAATAATTGATGCTGATTATAATGATGAGTAGTATTGGAACGATTTAATAAATTTAAATTTGTTTGGTATTTTTGTTTCGAATGTTCATCATTGATTTTTTCATTGCTTTGATTAAATTCACCAATATATTTAATTTCAGTACTTTGATGTGATACCATAATTCCTGGTATTACAGGAACTCTGTAGAGAACAATAATAATGGTTTAAAAAAATGAGAAAATTATTCATAGCTTTAAAAGTTAGCTTTTCGAGGAGATTGTTTTGTCACCAATCGACATCAACTGAAGGATCATTGGAAACCAGGGAGTTTTGGACAGTTGTTTTATTTTGGCTTCAAACTTTTCAGGGAATGCTCACATACAATCTCCGCCAACAATCGAATCTTGAATATTTTAAGTCCTAAGCAGTAAGTGAGTTACTGCCAGATTATAGTGTGAAAACACAAAGCTATAACACTGGAGCATTCATCATCCAAAGGTCCCCGATTTCCAGTGCTTCTTCAACTAACATTAATGATCCATGATGAAGACTATGATCTTTTTTACTGAACCAATCTCTCTAAATTTTTCTATAAACCACCAAACGAGAAAAATATATCAGTTTACTGTTTACTTGATTCAACTGTACAGAGTACTATTTTTTCTACTATTTTTGTAACACTTGTTTGACAGAAGAGGAAGAGTTATCACCTCTTCCCTCTGTCAACATCTCATGACAATTATATTAAGACAAATACAAAAATGAAAAACAAGTACATATATTCACTTCTAAACATGAAGTTTGATTTTCTTCTGTAATTGTTGTATGCATTCTATATGTATGTCTCTCGTTACACAGATTCACTGAATAGTGACAGTTTAAAATAATGGACATAATTTGTTTTATGATTTGTAAAGAAAAACAGAATGAAGAACAAAGTGTATTACTCTTTCCCAATATTAATGTATCAGGAAATATATTTTTTTTAATTGACTAATAAATAGTTTGAATAAGGGTGGTTATTTGGAGAGGCTTGTGCAGATGAGTAAAGTAAATTTTATTTACAAATAATTTGTGTCATTATTCGTATTTTTTATAACTTCATTTAATTTGTTTAGGTTAACTCTAGAAGTTTCTGTACACTTTAAACATGTCACACTGATTAACATTGATAGAATATACATATTACCCAAATCACTCATTGTTCTAACTTTATCAGCTGCCACACCTATAGGTTACTAATACACTTGTTACATACCTTTATCGCTTGTACTTTACAACGTTGCCTTGGCAAAAATATATTAGTATGTAGGAGTATATTTCAAACTTTGAAATGACCTTCACCTCACCATCATTGTGGTATCAATTTTGGACCATGGGAACACCAGAATTATTTAGTGAGCTAACGTTTCATTTTGTTTTTCATCTCATTTCAATATCGTGAGTAACGGTTTATTCTGACTGACATCAAAAACCTGAACGGACATTAACCACTATTAATGCTGTTTCTGAGGTCAGATTCCCAGGATACGTAGTAAAAGACTCAAAGTTCTGGTTTACCCAAATTGAAGCTCTGTTTTAAGCATGAGAAATTCGATAACAGGCGACCAGATATGCACAAGTAGGAGGTGAGTTACCGATCGAAATTGCCGCACAAGTTGAAAAGCTAATTGACCAAGTGCCGGAAGACACCCGGTACGATAAACTCAAGGCAGCAGTAATTTGACGTAATTTAGTCTCCGATCAAAACAAACTAAAACAGTTAGTAACCGCGTGGATCCTTTCAAGTAGGAAACCATCACAACTATGATACATAAAACAATCAGTGGGGTCATATAAGTTAGATGAAGAGGTATTACAGCAAATGTAGCTCCAACAGTTGCGTACAACGTACGGCAGATCCTAAGTGTATGAGGTCAGTCAATCACTCTTGAGGACCTGGTCTATATGATGAACAAGATGATGGAGATGTACCCAGACCGTCGTAATCTAAATACGTAAAACTGTCATTGGAACAAGCACATGTGGAATGGCAGCACCTCAACAACAACTGCTTGATTTATCTAATAAATCACTAGTTTTACAAGTAATTGAATCCGAAATCCACGGGAGATGCATTAGGTCATCATCTGGAATGAGGTCATTCTTCAGACCTCATTTCAGAAATGCCCAAACCAACGCCAGGAATTTGTTTGTTGAACAAAATCAGTCACCCCCATTACTGTATGGCCGTGGAGAGGAAATTGCTTTTATCAGAAAACGAGATTAATTGAATGATTACTGGTACTTTGAAGAGATTTTGATCGTTCTTCTGTGAACTGTTCAAGTAACAAAAAATAACCTAAAGGCAGTAAATCTTTGTTCAATAGAAGAGACGATATACAATTCGAAGTAGTTACATAATGTACATTACTAGTATATATATATATATATATATATATATATATATATATATATATATACGTTGTTTAATAACTGGAAAACTAGTAAACAATGTTATACTGCTTATTTGCAATACTAAACTGTGTGAACTATTATTTGGTTCAATCTAATACAACAGGAAAGCGTACACTTTCTTTCGTTATCATACATTTCTCTTTGGTTTGTGTATTGGTGGTATCCTACAATTGTTTAATGTTAAGTGATATATGATCAGGATTTTTTACAATAAATATTTTGCAGTCATACAAAAACAAATGACAGAGAATAAAAAGGCCAGATCGAGTTTTAATTCTGTGTGGTATCTGTTTAATATAACATTGTTTTGTAATAATTCAGTGAAACATTCATTTTGTACTCTCACCATTTCAGTTAAGTATAATATTCATTAAGTAATCATAAAATGTTAGTTAAATCTGTGTGTAAATGAGTGTATCTGGCTCGCTATACCAAATCAATACAATGAAATAAAATTAACGAGTGAACGGGAAGCGAATCAAAATAATTGCAGTAACAACAAGAACAAGAAAGACCAGTGACTAAGAAGACAGAATGCAAAATTATATATGAATTGGAATACTGGAACTAAAGATACAGAAGAAAATTATGTGAATGCATAATTCAATCGTGAGTGATTTTGAGCCATGTCACTCAACGTCTACAATTACAAGCCTCAGTTATCCCATTATATATATATCACAGACAGATTCTATACTAATTTAATGTACGTTTTGAAAGGTTTATAGAATCTATTTAAAGAACGGTCGAGCAAACACATGCAAAAACACATTATGACTAAATAAAATCTAATTACACAAAGGAATAAAAAACTAGAAAAATCAGCCTACCTATTTCCTGAATTCATATCGAAATTAGTTATTTTCATATTACCTTCCCATTCATTTTTCATAGGAAACGAAAAATTAAATTCATTATTTGGTATCGATGACGCCAACTGTAGTAATTCTAACCATACACCTTTATTAACTAATTCATGAAAGAGATTTATACAAACACTTGAATTAGCGGTATGTAATAAATTACTTAATCCCCATATTCCATTCAAATGTAATACTGGTATAATATCATGAAACTGATGATTTGTCATTGTTGTTGCTGGACTATTTAAGTTAGATTTTGTTATTGAAGGACGAGATAAGTTATCATTAGTACTAGGATTATTACTACTGTCATTAATATTATTATTAAAACTATCAGCATCGTATGTATTGATTGATTGACTGTTTGATTCAACTTTAGTTATTAGCAGAGAAGATGATGACTGTACATTTCCAATTGTCAGTAAACGGATGAAAACACTGATAAAATCATCAATTAAAGTCTGGAATAGAAATATATATATATATATGTACGTAACAATAAATGGACATATACATAAACATGACTAAAATAATTTCCTTGATCAAAAAGGAGATTTTTGTACATAATTTAGCGTGAAAATAATAATAATAATCGTTGTTTATCAGAAAAGAAAACAGATCAACCAGTTATAATCAATGTCTGATCTGACATGTGTAGAAACAACAGCATGAAATACAAACTATAAAATTGAATCATAGTGAACTGTACAAAAAAAGTAAAAATGATGTTTCCAGCGTATAATCATATTAAAGTATATCCAATACGATAACAATATTAATGAAACTCAACTTGGTCGTTACAAATCGTATAGTCAGATTAAGAGATAATTACTAGCGTTGTGTATTATACTCCGATAATTATCGTATATATCTTTCAGAATGTTACATTCTTAAAATGGTATAAGTTTGCGAATAATCCATGTAGTTTTCGCAGTAAAATGTAGCTTTTATCTTTGAAGAGGTATATTACTTGTGTAAATTGTTTAATACTGTTTTGACTGTGAAAATATAGAAAACGTTTGGTGGCCATTATGCTAATTATGACAATAATAACAGTTATACACACATTCATATCATATTACAATATCGTCCATCCAAGAACACATGTAGGAAATTAATTGGTTCATTAGGAATAATTGTACGGAAAGTTAGAACTGATCAATAACAGCTTGTGATCTTAAAAAAAATCACAGACGATGACCCCCTCCCTAATTTCCTTGTAATTATGATACGCATAAGAACACTATAATGTACTAACAGTTACTGACAGATGTTTTAATTAGGTATTGTCTTGTAGCTAGAAAGTACATTTTAGTTACTAACCTTACCGTTATTATCATCAAAAATAATCAATAATGTGAGATTATTTATGTTCAAGGAATAATATATACATCAAGAAATACTTTCACCCGTTAGAATTTTTATAATGGAATGATAGTTTGGGTTTATTTATTTATTCCTTTTGAAAGAAAAGAAAACAACTAACAAAATATCGAGAAACTAAACTAACAATAAACTAAACGAAATAATTTTGATAAGTTATCATTTTACGATTCATTTAGATAAGTAGTAGTATCGTAATGCATTATATATGTATTCATTGCCAAATTTCCCTATTTTACTACATTTATATGGTTTTGTTCACTTTAAAAATTTCCTCCTAAGTAAGCATTACCATCAAATTGTTAGAGCTGACCTAGTAGTTAATAACTTGTATTCTTAAACATATTTCTAATTAAGACAGTTGTACAGATTCAAATAATCTTTAAGAAAAACATTTAATTTAATTTCAGGTAGTTTATTTATTGAATTTATGTATCTAAGTAAGAAGTGATCGGTTTTACTTCTCTTATTTTTTTTGTTTTGCAAAAGAAACTTGTTAAGATACTTTGTGTTGAGAATTCTATATTGTAACAAAAATATAATATTGAATAAAGCCATTATTAAGAAAAAGAGAATTCAGCGGAGAAATTTTTCGTTTCGATGAAATCATTTATTTAAACTGTACATTCGTATATATAGTTATCTGGAAAATATATGTCTTTAGAAGAATAGAAAAAATTGTATGATAAAATGGATTCGAGACTAAATAACAAATCTGACCCATAAACTATTTTCTTCCTTACCCCTTGATTAGTACGTAACCTCATTTGTTATTTAGTCTCGAATCCATTTTATAATGCAATCTTTTCTATCCTCCTATAGACATATATTTTCCAGATAACTATATATACGAATGTACAGTTTAAATAAATGATTTCATCGAAACGAAAATTTTCTTCGCCGAATTCTTTTTTTCCTTATCCAATGACACTATGGGTTATTTTAAAGCCATTGATAATAATGATAATAATAAGGATAGTTAAGTCACAATAATTTTGTTTTGAATGTAAATAATCGGAAATACCAAACAATTTGTTATGTATGAATAAAGAAAAGACATTTGGAGGTTATATCGTGAAAATTCGGAAGAAAAAATCAACGAATAATTCACTTACTTCTTTCAACGGACACATTGGGAGTACTTGGTTGATTAAGGTAGATGAAGCTGCTTCGACTAGTTTCGCACTTAGATAAGAACCTTTAATTGTATTCGGCAAATTATCATCAATTATCTAACAAAATTTCACATGGAAAAACACAGTAATCAATATATATATATATATATATATATATATATATATATATATATAACTTTTCTCATATTTAAAGCCTTTTGTGAAGTGATTTAATATATAGATTATATTCTTTAGAAGTTGATTCTAGTTGAGGGTACAGTTAAAAGTTAGGAAGCATTGGACAGTTAAGTTGACCAGAGCAATCATATACTTAGGATGAAACAACTATCCAGTATCCATTGATTCCCAATAGATACCCCCAATTGTGACCAGTCTGTACGGAATATATATCCTAAATATTTTTTTCTATAGATTGTTGTAAAAATCTTATTTGTATGGATAAAACAATCCAGAAATTTTTTAATGATTTTCAGCCTAGAAAAGATAACAATACAGAAAGTTCAACTCTCTAGAAACCAAATACACTGATCTGTAGGTATCAATGCTAAGGTTGGACTTGATCGTTTCAAATAAATTTAGCATTGTTTAAGAAGTTAATAATAAATATATTTTTGTTATATCCCGATGAATAGAAAAATTGTATTTCCGACGTTTTGTGACTTAATGTAAGCCACTTCTTCAAAGTAAGTGAAAACACACTTATTTTCATATATCTATACAACTGAATGGTAACTTATAGTTGAACAGAGTTACAAGAATTCAGGTGAAATTTAACCACAAAAGAAGAGACAGTGTTTATCGACTGTATTAAATTAATATATTTGAATAATAAACACTTCATTGAAATCGTAATTGAGAAAGATTTTCACCTAATAAATCAAACAAACTTCAATGACAAACAGCGGATTCAAGATGATTATTTTGTTTGCTTATTCCGTATAAACTTGATAATGTATATCAAGAAATCAAATGTATAGGGCTTTACATGAAATATATACGAATATACACAACCTTATGTTTAAAAATGGTAAGTAGTTACTTTCTAACTAGTTGATAAAAAGCAGTATTAAAGAGACATATCGTGCGATAATAATCATAGGTAATATAAAGCGTTGAACAACTGGAAGTAGTGTTTTAAATATGCAACCAGTTACTCAAACGGTAGCTGTCATCATGGATTAACATTACTTGAAGAATGAATGAGTGGGAAATATTTACAACTAAAAAGTACATCACACAGAATAGTGTTAAGAATCTCTATTGAAGCGCTACCATTCTGAAAATAAATTTTTAAAAAATACATTTCACACTTTCTAACATTAGTCTTTTTACAATATAACTGATCTGATAAACAATCTATAAGTCGATAATGGTCATTTAATCCATCTGTTTTCGATAAGTAAAACACTGGAATTGAAGATTGTTCATTCGACATGTCTACGTGTACAATTCAATAGATCACTTCATTATTACTAATTGATTTAACTTCAAGAATACTAGAAGTAAACACACACTACACGTGATAAATAACACTTGTTTGATTGAAAAATGTTAATTCAACAGGTATACATACAAAACTTGCTCCACTTCATTTAGTTTATCCAGCCAGGTAGACAATTTATTAAACTTTAAATAAACAATAGAACTAAAAATCGAATAAATAAACTCTTTCATACTTGACAAATGAATTACAATAAATTTCAAGTTAAAATGAGATCTATTAATTGATGTTGAATTGAATAAAATTCCCCCTCTTTAAAATAATCAAAAATACCCAATAGGCTAATCCAAACTATAATAGAAATAAATTTTTCATCACATGAACCTATTCTTCTATTATGATAGATTTTAGATAATAATTCAAGTAAATATGTATTGCCGATAATCTCTTTATAAGAGATTTAGTTCATAAATATACAAATTGTAGAATAATAATGTTCGATTGTTTATGTAGAAATTTCGAGAGAATTTCTTCCTTTCGTTAAACAATTAAACTCATAGTATGAATAGAATAGAAATTAATATATTAAAAGAATATAATAAGAAAGTATTACATAGAAACAATTATGTAATGCTATTTGGTTTGGGATAATTTACAACTAAGATTTAAAAATATTAAAACTATATCAATAATAATAATAAACTAACTTTTAGTAAATATCGTCCAATTGTTTGATTTTTAAAAAGTGTATGATGTAAACTGAATGATCGAGATAGTACATGTAATAGGACAACAATAGAATGCTAAATATATCGACGAGAGAAGGAAAATGAAAAAAAAATTGAGAATATAATCGTCTATCAATTGATAAAGGGAAATACTAATTTTTAAATTCATATAGATGTTGTATTAAAAGAAGACAAAGATGAAAACCGCTGTAAATAATTTACCCTATATATTTGGTCACATCTTTGTATGATTAAATAACAAATATAATGACCTATAAACATTTGAAACCTGTAAATACTACATCGAATTTACGCTGGTGTCGTGAACTGATGTGACAAATTAATACAAACTATTATGCGAACTTATCTAACCTTCACATGTGCGATTGTAACGTTACTGGTTACATTGTATGCATGTCTATCTCCATTTACCTATATTATTATTTGTCTATTTTCAAATATAAACTGATTCATACTTAACTACGCGCCTTTTGACTCACAACAGTCAAAGGCCGCGCTACGTTTATTTATTCATTCTCACCGTGTCTAACATCATATGTTTTACATATGTACACCCGCAACACTATTCGTATTCTATCTTTTATTTCTACGTTGTAATAACATGTTAATTAGCAAAAATATGAACAAAGTTAGCAAGAATATGTATTACATCAAATAGAGTAACCAAAGCAGTGAGGTCTTTGGTTAAGAAATATACACATTTGATCTACGGGTGGTTAAACTCATTATTAATGAACTAATCTGTAAAACAGGTGAATAGGAAGACTTAGAACTTGATTTATGTATTGACTTAAAAACACTGGTAGATTGTACTTTGTAGACCTGAGAAGACTTATACGCTATAACATAAAATATTCTGGAAACACACTTCACGATCGATGTGTTTGACATTGTTTTTATGGGTTTTCCAAGAAGACGATTCTTATTCTTTGCAAAGTTTATAACCGCAACTGATGTACTGAAATAGCTTATATGGCCTCTCGCCAAAATTTGAATAGAGCGTGATTTTAAAAGTGGCCGCCAACTATAAAAAAGTTATTATCTATCAAATATTATAGTTTGAAATCTCAGAAAGTGAGACTAAACAGTTTTAATGTTTCACTATACAATGTGATGCCAGCTTCTTTAAGAAAACAACTAGAATGAAATCTTAAATCAAACAACACTCACTGTGCAAACATAAACAAGGTGCGAAAATAATTAAGCATTCATTGAGTGGAGAATAACTTCTGACTTTATATGCATTCGGTAATTTCGATTGTTTCCCTAAAGAAACTCAAATCTAATTGTCAGACGAAACGTTGAAACAATTTACTTTCAAACATTGTTATTGTTACAGACAAACTTTAATGCTGAATTCCCTTGATATTACGTAATTGGAGATGAAAATAAAGTAATCTAACAGTGAAATATCCAACTATCAAAACTTAAACAATATGAAATACCTACTAGTTAATGCATTTAACAATAAACACGCTCTATTAGACTCTAAAACTGTTGTTGAATAGTATATATTAAAATAAAGTGTAAGATGTCTTTTGTCGAACGAGGTAAGGTTAATGAATACGATACCACACATAATATTCGTTTTATTACAGTAAGTCAAATGTGGTGGATAACTGACATTTATATCATATCTATCGACTGATACAGTTAATCGCTAGTTAGCATTTAGTCAAAAAATCGTTCATATTTACTATGACGCTAAAGTAATCATAGTTTAGAATAACTGAATATAAATGAGTAAGAATTCACTTGATATTGTTTTACTTGAATCTTCCCATTGATGTTTTTGGACTGAAATTGATCAGTCTCTTAAATGAGTAAGGTTACCGAATGGAAAACATGAATTTCATACCTGAAATTGCAATACGAGATTTGCATTTTCACTACCCAATGACTTTAAACGCATCGCAAAGTCTATAAGTTTTTTGCACATCGTTAGTTCACCAACCTACAATATCAAAAGATGGGACAAAGAAAAGTGAGTTGAAAGGAGAAATTAAAACTACGTAGTAGTTTGTAAAACAAAAAAAGCAGACGTTCTAATCAACCCTAGTTACATAATTGTGGATTTATATATGTTTACCGAATAACTGAACTGGACACATCATATGTTATAAGTTTTGTCGGAGCAGGTGGGTTGATGATGAGTGACAAAATCTCAGTAGGAGAAGAGAAAAGGTCGACTGAATTTTAAAAACTTGTGTCACAATGGAGACAAGATATCTATTCGTTTATCAAGTGGAGTATATTGTGCAGAATTATGCAATGCATTCTTTTATCATTACCGCAAACCGATCTGAGTTAAGAGTCTATTGAAAATCAGGAAGCACAAGACGACTGTTTCGTCCTAGAGTAGCATATATTTACGACTCGACCACTGGGGGATCGGGCTCAAGACCCTAAGGCAATGACGTAAGGTCATAAAATAAACATGATGCTTATAGACTATTAACTAAACTATATCACAATTAAACGATAAAACATTAAGATGTAACGAATTAGATTTTGAAGTGAAATTGATGAGTGTTTTCTTCTTATTCTGAATTCATCAGTACAACCCACTTACATTTCAGTGTGCTGATATTCGGAATAAAACTCAGAATTCATGATCATTGCCTCAAAACAATAAACGCTTATACATAAAATGACATCATCATAACTAGTAATCGTTGTTATCATGATACGCAATTTCTAGTTTTACATCAAAATACTTGCACACTGAGATCATATATATATCAAAACGTATGAATCCAGTTCAATATATACATTTGTAACACAATAGCACAATTCGTGATTACAATTAAATAAACATTAAATATAAAAGTAGAAACAAAAAATCGAGAAGTCAGTTCAAATCATATTAGAAAAGACAAAAAGAATATATCAATCTTTGGTGCTATAAGAACATAGCAAAAAAAAACAATAAAATTATTGAATAAATATAGCTTTAAGACATTAGAGATGTATCAAGCATTTATTGTCAAATATGATTCAATGTATGTAAGTTGTAAAACTATACTCTATAGGTATACTTTTTTTCTCTAGTTAAACATGATTATATTAAAGGGAACAACACATAAGCAACATATGACAATAATGTTCTTGAATGTTAACAACACATACTCAAGTTTTCAAAGGTATCTAGATAGATAGGAATTATTTTCATAAAGTCATCATATGATTTTAAAAAATGGTTGGCTAAATATGATTACCATGAGATTGTTTAGAAATAACTTTTTACAGATTTGAATTTCTGTTAAACTTGGGTAATCTTTCCCCCATCTAGGGAGGTGAAGTTGTCTTTCTCCTAGTAGTCAGTCAGTATTTCAAATGTATTTATCGGGAAAAGTTGTTTGTTTAGTTCAGTATTCTTTGGTCTATAAAACAATATTTATCGTAGTTGGTGTTACGAAGTTGATTCTGTTCAGTAATTAAAGAAGTGAAATTGACAGCAATTTACAGTACAGTCAAGATCTATCATCCTTCATTTACGATTTACATTTAATAAAGGTGGATATATTTCTTTATTTTTTAGGAAGGGGGGTACAGCAAGCTTCATTCAATCAAGCTAAAAAAACATTATTCGATCTGTCTATTCATAATATAGTGATAAAATTGGAACATTGAGTAGATGAGCACAATGATCATAAAATTTCCTTAAAAATAGCCATTCTCTATGCTGAGGGTGAATTACATATCAGCTATATGTAATTAGCAAATGTTTAATTCAGAATGTTTAGTAGCTCAAACAACAATCTAGGTAGATGACGATTAGATTAGACTGAACACGTGTTATAACTGTGAAAAATAATGCTGCTGATTAAGGGTAGCTAATTATTTATCGGACTAAAGACGCACAAACACGTAGAACGGCCTAGGGTTCTGATTGGTCTCGCTTCCTTGTCTAACCCAGCCAGTTGAGTCCAGAACACAAGTTTCAGCCTCGGATTTATGAATCATTATATTTCAAACATACTTTGTTTATATACCAGTCAAGCAGGCCACAACGTACCATAAAATAGAAAATAACATTGTACAATAATGGCCAGTAGGAAAATGACACGTTAAACAAATATTGACCAATAAGATGATAGCATTTCATGTCCAAGGATAGCATTAGGCTTAACAGGATAATTTTTGGGATATTTTCCTGAATATCCCAACAACACGACATTTTAATAACATAAAAACTATGAACTGATACGTCTTGTAATTGAGCGTATGGCACTGATTTTCCTAATCTCTTTCTAGTTCAATAATATTTCCAACAATTGGAATACGAACAAAAAATAAAAAGCCTGAACTAAGGAAAAAAGTTTCACTCTTAAATTTATTACCTATACATACAACATGGTTATTTGTAGAAACAAACTTGACCGTAAGATAATAGAAGCCTCTGAAAATTAACAATAACATAAAATTTAATTTTCGAAAAAGAAAAGAGAAAAACCAAATTCATCAAAACCATTCTTCAATGTATCACCACTTACAAGTATTCGAGTGGATTCATGCCCAGATGCCAGACAAGAAAATAATTTAACCAATGGAATTAAATGCTCCAAAAACTGTGTATGACTTTGCTGTATTATTTCGAAGTATAAACACATACACAAAAGAAATAAAAAACAGGGAATTATAATGTCATATTTGTAAAACATACTAATTAAGAACAATAACAATGATAATTTACCAGAATTTTTTGATGTAGGCCTTTCTCTCTTTGAATAGTGAAGCAGATCTATTATGTTTCCATAATTTCAAAGAAAAGAAAAGATGCAAATGGAACTATGATCAAAGAAATAGCCTGTATAAAAATAGTTATATCACTATATTATTATTATTATTATTATTATTATTATTATTATGACACCAATCCTTACAAAAGGCAGATAAATAGCGCTTTGAGTAGAAAAAATACATGGACAATGATAATTAAAACTGAATATCCTAAAGATATTAATACACCGAATTAGATTGATGAGTCTAGGATCATAATATTAAAGATATTCTAAGTTTTACGATGTACATGTCGAGGAATATCACTACCCCTCACACAAAACATTAGGCTCAAAAGACGAATTAAATAAACTCACCTTTAACAAATAAGTAACAGTATTACCATTTCTCAACATTATCACCAACGTACAACAAATATGCTCATAAGTGTTTGTTGAAATGTGAATCTCATAATGAAAGGTTATTTGCTGTCTGCTTTAAAATAGTAATGTCCATCGTAAAAACCAATGGACAATAATTATATTGTAAGTAATTGGCGGTCCCCAAACGTTGTTGCTACCTTGAAGTGGTGGTCGGGCTTGCCTATCGTGATGAAGCAACCGAGCTATACTGGCTGGAACAACCGTTCCTCAAGGTCCTATCATGTCAGACAGGTCGGTTGAAGAGCGGTAAGACTAAAAGCAACAAACCCAAGGTCCGAAGGCGAAGTCGTACTGCTGACTGTACAGAGGTGTGACAGCAGTAAGGTGTTTCCCTCGGACAACCAGCATGACAGCGATGCTGCCTTCCCACAAGGAGGAGTAGGGTTAGAAAAGGTCGACCCTAAAAATGCGCACCTCACCTTCCCTCACGGATTTCCGTCTCCGGCGGTAAGGCCCTTTGAAGAACGGAGCCAACACGTCGAAAACCTCCCGCGAAAAGGCCGTGCGCGACCGGCCTCAAGCAGTTGTCCCTTGGGCACTGCGGTCACGCTCTCAGGTCACTGAGACCGCCTCTAATCCAATTTTCTTTTCAGGTACCTCCAGAAGAACCCTTCCACAGTGTGGGTAACCGGGAAGTGATAACCGCCCTCATACCTCTAACAGCACTCAAGACCACTGTATTCATAATCAACCTTCCTCTTCAATTCCTATTATTCCTACTACATCGACTTTCAACTCTAAACTTCCTTTTTCGGCTTCCCCCTCAAGTGTCACCACAGCCAATGATTCTAGTGTGCAAAACACTGTCCTAGGTCTACTGAAATCTCTCTCCAAACTACACATTGGAGCCTTCAACCTACGCACCCTATGTCAAATCGGTCAACAGGCTTCCTTGGCTAGAACCCTAGAGTCTTTTACCATTGATGTATGCTGTGTCTCTGAAACACGCATACAGGATTCCAGTGTGGTCATTCACTTGACCTCACTTCGGCAAAATGGAGAGCCAACGAGATACACCCTCTCGTGGACTGGCAGGAGTTGGCATAGCACTAAGCATGAGGGCAGAACAAGCACTGTCAGAGTGGATCCCCGTTAACCGTCGTTTATGTGCTGTTCGGCTAAACGGCTCCGTAAGAACTCCGAAGGATAGGGACACACGTCATTGCCTTTTTGTCGTTTCTGCCTACGCTCCCACCGACTGCAGCTCAGATGATGTGAAAGATGAATTTTACAGAAAACTATCTGAACTTCTTCAGAAAGCTAAACGTTCAGACATTGTACTCGTAGCAGGTGACTTTAATGCCCAGATAGGTAGTTTAAACCAAACAGAAAGGCATTTAGGTGGGTATTTTAGTATTCCGGCACAACCAACAGATAATGGTGATCGTCTGCTGCAACTGTGCTCAGAAAACCGTTTATTTTTAGCAAGCACTAATTTGAAGCATAAATAGAGGTATCGTCTAACATGGCGACCACCTACACCAAACTAACGATGGACTCAAATAGACCATATTGCCATCAGTCATCGTTGGAGAGGGTCGGTAGAAGATTGTCGCTCATTCTGGAGTACCTGCTTGGACTCTGACCACGCCCTAATACGGGCACGCATCTGCTTGCGCCTCACTGGACGCAAAAAAGCCACATTAAAAAGACCAATTAGAACTGAGTTGAGTAACGAGAAAACCAAAAGTAGGTTCCAGGAACAACTGAGGTCACAATTAGGTAGTTCTGAAAACGAGGTTGACCCAGATGTTGCTTGGAAAGCTATACCAACAGCTGTGGAAACAGCAATGACATCTATCAGTGATTTAAACCACAGGGTTACAAAGAACCAATGGATTTCCTCAAGGTCTATTGTACTGATGGATTCTCGTAAACTCATTCCATCAGGCTCTGAACACGATGAAGAGCGACAACAAATCAGATCTAGGTTAAGCAAAAGTCTAAGGAACGACCGTGAGCAGTGGTGGGCAACGAAAGCAAAAGAGATGGAAAAGGCGGCGGCTATAGGGAACACAAGACAGCTTTACAGACTAACAAAAGAAACTGGAATTAATAAGTCAATTGTAAGTCAGACTATTTCCGTAAAAGATGACACTCTCATCTGCTCCCAGTCCAGACGTTTAGAACGATGGGAAGAACATTTCAGGGAACAGTTCAGCTGGCCTTCAGCTACTCTACAACTACCCTCCATTCCCAGACAGTGTGAATGAAATATTGAAGCAGGTCCCCCAACTCTAGCAGAAGTTCAAAAGGCTATAGGTAATCTGAAGCGAGGAAGGGTAGCTGGTCCAGATGGATTGGCTCCAGAGGTCTTTAGGGATGGTGGTCCAATTTTAGCCTGGGCTCTGAAAAAAAGCTGATTGGTTTGGTTTGTTGTTAACTTCAATAAATTATAGGGCTCCACTATCCTTCATCAATTGAAATTGATACAGACAATTTTATTATTTAGAATGACAATGTAATACACTTTGAAAATTATTTACAGATTAAGGAACTCAATAAAACTACTAGTTACCTATAAAGATACAATTATCAAACTATTACAAGTAAACTAATTAAATACATTAAAGTATTTAAATGAAAATGTAAAACATACAGTATCAGATGCTTCTTGAACAGCTTTTAATAAAGATGTAACACGATAGTCTACTTCACGTACAAACGAATTAGTATATACAGTCCACATATGCAATTCTGGACTTTTATCCAAAACAAGAACTAGAACATGGCATACCCATGTCATTATACGTGTTGCTTCTAAATGAAGACAACTTTCTGTAAGTGGCTGAATGATCTGAATAGAAAACAAAAATGGAAATTACAAGGCATTTATGTAAAAAAAAATACCAGTTTATTCTGTGATAGCACACGTTATAGAGAAAAAAGTAAATATCAACTTATTGTAAAAATTCATTTTAATACGATAAAGACATTGAAAATTTACACTAAGAAAGTAAATATGAGATTTTATGAAATAACCACTATTTTATTGGTAGCAAATATTTACTAGTATAACAAATATACAATGTAACTCAGCAATCAATCTTAGGTTTATAAGCCCTGTTACGAAATCTGTAGTCAAATAATTGAGAGCGTATATACATTAACTAAAAAGCCATCCATTCACGTGAGCATGGAACTTGAATGTTAAACACCATAGAATATTTTTCTTAAAAAATGCATTTTCCAGTTATCTGATAACCAGACTAATCTTAAATGACTCTTACAATGTATATGGAACAATTAGTAGCTGTGAATATAATATTTTATCCAAAGATTATTATTGACTTATAACTATGTGTAATAACATCTGAAACCAATAATTCATTTGAATAAGATTGACTTTATACTAACTAGAAGTCTGTATACTCACCTTATGAACCATGTTTACTGTAAAGTATAATATAGTACTACACTTATATGTGACCTGTTACTGATTGAAAACTAAACGTATAAATAAACGGAGTCACTAGCTGTACTGTAGAATAGGAATAAATCACTAAGAATTATCAAACAAATAGATAAACATATCAAACTAGAACGGAGTATAAAGTTCAATCTTGAAGTTTATATCTCTCAAACAATCAAGGACCGTATCAAATAATACCATGCATTGGTCTGATTGCCCTTAACGTTCTTCAGTGTAATTCTATCTTCGTTACCATAGCCACTCCTAATGTTGCACGTTCATAACTTCATTGACTAGATTTAACGTCGTTTGTTTAAACATTTTGTCCAGCCTAACATATGTGTACTTTGTTGCCTTATGAAACATGTGCGATGGTATAACTCATAGTCTACTTATCCAATCACAATAATTCACACAAGAAAAAACAAAAAAACATTGAAATCTTACTAATAACGTCTATCTAACTACCAACAAGTTTTATCACAGAAAACAAAACATGAGATGAAGGAATACGAAATTGTACATCGTATTTAGTGTTTTTAAATCTAAGATTAAGGTTTATGTCCATATGATTTCAAAAGGAAATTACGTGAATAATGCTAGTACTCAGGTGAATTTTTTAACTTACATAAATATATTTCCTTTGAAAAAAACACTTACTAATAAAGCAATATCATCCCCAGTAATTCCTAGACCAGCAGAAGTGATTACATGAGTTCCGAATTGATCTATCGCCTCAACTGTCTGTGAATTAGCATACTGATTAGCTAAACGCCAATAAATTAAACCACGAAGTAGACCAGTGAGAGCAAACGTCCCATGGTCTAATGGTACACAAGAACACGTTGAAATAGTTATACGACTATCAACAGGACATGATGATCCTGATTGTCTGTCAGTCGATGCAGTTGAATCAACAGAGTTCTGATGAAATTTTCGAGATGCATCTTTAAGATTAGATTCATTGGGACATGTAAAAATGACAGTAGATGTACCTGATGAGGTATCATGGTTGATAGGAGTATTATTAGTAGAATAAGTTGATGGGATATTACCACTAAGAACTCGCTTGGTACGTTGATAACGCGGTGTTGAATAGCAAACATTAGGTAATACTGGAGGCATAGTTCCTGTTAAATGACTATAACAGGCAACTAATTTAATCGGTTCTTCTTCATTGTAAACTAAATATTAAGATAAAATAAAATTCATGATAGGAAGTGAAACCATACATGGAAAGGATGGTAAAACGTAGCTTATACATGAAACAATTTCATGCAATAAATTCACATTAAAAACAACTGTCAGTAATGAATAGTTATGCTTTGAGAAGTAGAAATCGAAGAAAAAGTCAAGGGATTTTCATATTGCAATTATACAGTAACTAAGTAGGTTACGAATTTATTTACAGTAAAAATGCATTTCATGACTGATGAACACCGAAATAAACACACACACACACACATCAAATCATACTTATGAAAATCTATTTTTGGCGTATAGTATGGCCCAAACTTTTGAAATCTGTCTTTTTGGAAAATAGGTAATAAAGAAGTTTTGTACCGAGATAGACCTAATCGTTGCTTCTACTTCGACGTGTTGGTCAGGCTTGCCTATCATGATGAACTAATCGGACTATACTGGCTAGAACAATCTTTCATCAAGGTCCTACTGTAGTGAAGGAGAACACAGGTGAGGACAACCGAACTACATTTAGTATAACATTACATAGTTACTTGCTAAAATAGAAAAACCATACTATAATACTTAATTTGCAAAATGTCCAATAATTGTCTCGGACTTCATTGTTCTTGCATTTCCATACTAATTGCTTTCTATTCCGGTTCTTCCTTTCTTGATCTTCCCAATCTTCTGCTGCCATACATTATATTCCTGACTCGCATTATATACTACTTATGTCAATATAAGTAGCACACACCACACTACCATGCCAGGCAGTCGGTTGAAGGGCGGTAAGACTAAAATGCAGCAAACCTAAGGTTCGAGGACTATCGTAACCAGTAGTTGGACTATTGATGACATGGTTCAGAATCGACCACAATGGTGTAGGTGTATACACTATTTGTCTTCCCATAAACCATGAGATAAAATTAATTTATACCCTTCCTTTTTACGAACGAATTCTTTCTCCCTGTATTATATCCTTATATGCAATTGTTTTTTTTATATATTACAACTGAAGTAATTACATCTATGAATTCGATGTTAATATTGTTGTGCTAATGAGGCATGGTAATTTTGACCGACGCATATGTGCCTGGTCTTACGTTGTAGATGACTGACTGACTGAGATACAGGCAATCGAAATTCCAATCACACTTTTTTCAGTTCAGAGACTTATCTATTTAATGGATCAATAGGCGTAATTAAATGTTAGCGTGTTACACTCTTTGCTATAATTAAAGTACATGCTAATTACGGGGAATTTAATTATGTAGCAGAGATTTATCAAAGACGATTAAAATTACAACTCATTTGAAACAAGTAATTGTGATCAAATTTTGTAATGAGTTAAATTTTTTCCTTCTAGACAAGAGATGGGTGTGAAAAGCTAATCCTAGAGACGATAGATTGAGACAGAATATACTTTATCTGCCTCAACGTTATCCATGGATTGTGAAAACGGTACTAGGTGGCTTGAAATTGTGCACTGCCAAGTAGTGCGGTACTAGAACGAAACAGTTGTCTGGTACTTCCAGGCTTTCAGCGATTGTTTAACATCAGTTTTTGATGAGAACTTAAAGTTAAGAATATCAACAAAACCTTATAAAGTAACAGCAATCAAGTGCTCACTAGTGACTGATTTTGTGAGGTAGTTCCCGGAATTTTTGGAGGAAGTCATGAATAGTGCCATTTAACCACGCTGGGTGTGGGGCAATTACATACCAATTATATTGGAAGATGGTCGGGTAGTATCGCAATCCAACTGAAATTAAACATGTAAACCACTGGATGTCATCGCAATGGTCTAAAGGTTAAGGGTTCGCCGCAAGATCTAGAGGTTCCGGATCCAATCCCTAATTAAGTCGAAGCGCACTTTTGGTGAGTCATATACCAGAAAGAAATAATTACCCAGTACCCCCTGGTTTTCAGTAGTCGTTTTATTAAGATCAGTTCGTGATGTAAGCCTATACAAATGATAATAAAAGTAACTATGAATGTCAGCCCTGCTAGTGTCATATGAAAGCCAATCATTGAATTATTCTAATTATAATTTAAAGAATAGCTGATGACAGTTTCACATATCATTGTGCTAACTCTTTAAAAGTTTTGAAAAAATGCATTCGAAATGGGATAGGATAACAAATCGTGAAGTATGATTTAAAAGCAAAAGTCGACATTTTACTTAGAAGGTATTTTATACTTTCTGTGATAAATATGAATCAACCAATAAAGATATATACGAGATTAATAAATTGGAATCAGTCAACATCATTAATAATATTATCGAATGGTAGGTAACGTTTAGAGGTATGAGGAAACTTAATGGTAATGTGTGTAGAGGTAAAACGATAAAAGATGGCAGTATTCCCAATAATAAGAACGAAAATATTGCAAGGTAAAGTCATACATCTTGTATAACGTCCAGGAAAGAAAAAGTGGTTTATTTCGGGAGCTTTGCAATGAACAGCTTTTAGTTGAGATTCTTTTTTAAAAAAGACATTACAGTCAGCTGTGCTATATGTAGTGGTTGATATTAATGTACCGAGACATATAAACACTGAAGCTTAAAAAATGTTGGTTTTCTACTCTGAGCATCAATCAGCGACCTTCTCTATGCAGTTAGATATCAAACTGAAGAGAGAGTGAGAGCATTTTGTTCTTCCTTACAAACTAGGATGACTATTTTGACGAAATTACATTCAGATCCCAAACTCTAGCCACTATCTCAGTAATAAAACGAAATCATCGTCGCTGTATATCTTTGGGGTAAACCAAGCAAGTCCTGCAGGTGTATTGAAATGGCCATCAGCCAGTCGAAATAAACTTTTAGTGCTGCATTAGAAACAATTGCAAATAGGTCAACATTTCAGTAATATTGAGTAAAAATTTAATTTTTAGTGAAACTCGAGAATTTCGTTGAATTGAATTAAACAGAAAAAACACTACCGTAGATAATAATAATAATAATAATAATAATAATAATAATAATAATAATAATAATAATAGTTAGTAATAATAATAAAGATACGTTTATTAATGGATAATAAGAGAATCTATTAATAATATACAAAGAACATTGGTTAAATGAACAAGAAAATTTTCAAGTTCCAAAGTAGAAGTAAAACAACGACATGTCTATTAAAACAGGCTTACCTTTTTTAAATGAATCTAATGCATTTGGTAAATGGAAAAATAGATGTAACATCAATTTCAGTGAAAATCTAGCAGCCTGAAAAAAAGGGAATTATAAATGAAATGATTGATTATGAGAGTAACAATATCAATATGATATAAGTATTAATTGACAAAATTACTAGAAGCATGGAGTTGATCAAACTAATAGTTTATTCAGAGAACTAATATACAAACGCTAATTGAATAGCTATTAGAAGATAAATTATCAACTGAATAAATGTATATAAGGATTAAAAATATCATTTTAATACAAAATATTTTATCAATATATAGTGTGATTGACTTATTAAGTAGGAAATTACTAATATTAATAAATTTATCAAGTGTAGCTTCTCGAAAGCACCAGGGTTTTAATATAATTAGGTTGCAGATGCCAATTTTGTTACATCTACTTCTGTTTGTGTAAAAGACCAGTGTTTTAAACTCTTAAACACATAAACGTGGCTACACTAAAAGCATTTTTTGAAGATGGGTACATAGATCTTCACATGGCTACTCAGTAACGAGGATAATTAAACTATCATAGAACCTCCTCTTGGATTAATCTGTCTTCAGTGGGTGTATATTATTATCTTTTACAATATTATAACTCGAGATAGAACAATTACCAAATATTGACGAATTAAATCAAATCTGTGTGTCATTATCACTCCAAAAGATCATTTGAAATTATTTAGACATCAGCAATCAGTGCAATAATTCACGAAGGAAAATTCTGATGAAGCTTGAATAAATATTCTATTTTGCACTGCATGATTTAATGACGTTAGTGTTGGGAGAATAAGTAAATGTAAATCATACACCACTAACTACTATTAACAGATTAAACTTTATTTGAATATCAAAGTTGTAAGATACAGTAAGCAGAAGAGTGTAGGGTGTGTATCAAAAAAGTATCAGTAAATTTGCAATTTGCACGATGTAACAAGAATCAAACTAGCAGGATAACTACAAATTTATTGAAAACAAAACTGTACCAAGGTATATTTCATACATAACTCTACACCATACTGAAATATTCAGAAATGATACTTATGTCAATATTATTTATATATACATACAATAGTTTAATGGTGGGATAAATATTGCCAGTAGCATGTTAAATTAACTAGGATAAGTTAACAAAATAATTCCTTGTTCATGGTACATGGATATGATACATGGTTTATTATCTGACCTATGAAGGGAAACTATGATTTGAATTAGGAATTTACTATACTTAGTAGTAGGAGTACTAAACTACACTTTCATGAATAATTTCAATTATACCAGCTGTTCCCTAATTCAATATACTTTTGAACGAAGCATATACTTGGATATATCAAAAGAAAAATAGCCAATCTCTACTATTTCTTTATTAAGATATATTAACGCAAGCTACCATACTTGAAACAACTAACTAATATAAGTAGCCTGTTTCCATATAAAATATCTAGAAATATTAGAGATGATGGATTGATTACTAACTTCATGTTGAGTAGAAATACAACTGAAACAATTAATAAATGTTAAGTGTGATACTTCCATAGAAAATCTTACCAAAACTTACTGCTTAACTGAACAATAACTATTGTCATACATTGTAAGATAGTTATTATGCATCTTAATTTTCTTAGTGAATATATTTTGGGTGGATAATAATAATAATAATAATAATAATAATAATAATAATAATAAAGTGTAGCAAAGAAACAGGAGTAAGAGAAAGGGGATATAGAGAATCACCAACCACATACCAGTTGGTTACTTGGACTAATAGTACGATTACAACCAATACGATTGCATAGAGTTTTTCCTCGATCCATTGAGTTTGATTTGGGTTGATCACCTGACCAGAGGCGATGCCTACATGAAATGAACATAATGATTTGATGGCACAAATTCAATGCACCGCATCGATGAAGACGTTCAGCTAGTTCACAGCTTGTAGATAATACGGATAAAATTTCTATAAGTGAGCATCTAGCGTTTGCTGTTAATACAAGGGCAGATTGATTGGATGATAAGACCGAATTGTTGCTATTGTTGGTGGTGGTGCACTCCGAAATTGTATCGGGAAAACTGAATAAAAGTGAATTGATCAATACTTGTAATGTCGCTTCTGTGAAAAGTTCCTTCAGATTAACAAAGAAAAAAGATCAATAACTTGGATTTCATATAGATAACAGAATATAAAGTATTATAGGCAAAGATAAATAGTAGTTAGCAGTGGAATCCAGGACGCGTGTTCCGTCCTATTTGGGACTCGTCAGCTGGATGTACCTGCATCTCAGAGTTGATGTCCACTCTGAGACTCGAACTCAGTACCGTTCACTTCATATACCATCGCGTTATCCACTTAGCTACTGGATCCTGATAGCCACTTGCTTGTCTAGTGAGGTGAAGTTTACATTCACTTTGTATTGTTTACTTGAATTTTCCCATTGATGTTTAGAACTGCAATTGATCACTCTCTTATTGCCATATGTGCATACTGTGAGTATTGCCTTAATTCACAAGCATTATAAGCAAAGATGGATAGTGGCTAGCAGTAGAATCCAGGACGCGCGCTTCAACTGCAGTCCTAAACATTAGTGGGAAGATTGAAGTAAACATTACCATGTGAATTTAGAATACAAATTACTGTAATAACAGATTGTACACAATGAAGGTTAGTTATATATTAATAAGCAGGTTAATTAGATAATAAGATTTTGGACTATATATATATATAAACATGATGATACTGTAGTGAACACGAACACCAGTGGGGACAATCGAATGTGTTTAACACAGAATTACAGGACTTGTTAATAAAATCTAACAATCATATAGTAAATGCTTAATTTGCAAAATGTCCACCAATTGTCTCAAAATGACTCAGACTTCATTGTTCTTGCATTTTCATACAAATTGCATTCTGTTTCCGTTCTTTACTGTTCGATCCTCTTGTCTCTCCGCTGCCAGACCTTCTGTTCATGACTAACATCACATACTACTTATGTCAATATAAGTAGCACACAACACAATACAACAGAAAGATTATAACACAAAGTATACAGTGCGAACAATAATAAGAAAAGACTATGTAAAATTAACTTACGATAGCAATTTTTTCTCGAGGTGATTGTACAACTACTGAACCCAAGTCTCCAGCTCTGAAAAGACTACGCAGGAATAATAAATCTGCTTCACGAACCATCGGATCTGTTTTCTCACTTAAAATTACTATATATATAAAAAGAGGAAAAGAATAAGGCAAGACAAAAGATATTGAACCTGCATCATTTTATTTAAACCAAGTAATTAGTCCTTTTTATAAATTTTGATAGAACTCCGTTTTCTCATTGTTCTATCAAAATTTAGTGACCGTTCGGAATAAGAATAAGGATGTAATGCTTATACTAGTTTAAACTGTAGTCAATACACAATGATATATATACATATATGCTACAGATCTTATTAATTTAATGCAAGTGATCATCTTTGCAGGATATTAACGTTACTGAATTAGATCGGTGATGTAAGGAATGTTATCCTTTTTAAGACCTAATCTACAACAGGTTACATGTCACAGGATAATGACCAAGTGATATATGAATATTCATTAGTTTACAAAATATCATAATTTCGATGTAAAATAAATTCATTATATACTGAGACTTCTCTGAAACTATAATGAACTTATAATATAAATAGAAAATAATGAATTTTAAACTGTAGGTTGTTACATTGATCCGAACAAACAGCAATGATATTTGTTACATTTAGATGGCAAAACAAGACATCGATATTACAACAGTTCATGGATGGAAAACTCCTTTATTGAATATCGCATGACCACTTTTTTTTCCTTTTCATCAAAAGTTATTTTAGGTTATACATATTTCTTAACTTTATTAATTGATTATATATTTGTGGTTATTTTAGTTTACGGGAGACTAAGAAATTGAATGAATTCATGTTGTTCTGTACACGATATTATTCTAATTATCATCAAAATGATTAAACGAACTCAAAGGTGTATAAAGTTAAACCCTAAGTTTCATTAACTATGTAATAATGAAACTGAAAGATGATTGATCACTGAGCGTGGACAAACAGGTAATTAGCCTACCAAATATTAAATATATGATTTTCTTTTCTTTCATTGATTTCTACTGTGAACTCACTGAGGCTGACTGCTTTTAATTCTGTTGAATAAAGTAAGACGGAGGTTGGAGGTAGTCAACAGAAACCAACATCTTATCTTACCATAGTGCACGCTATATCGAGTCACCTAGACTAATGGCCACATTGTAACTTGGTCGATAGGATTCGATCTGCACTAAGAAGGACCTGAAATACATGACATTGATTACCACCCAGTGATCAATCAATTGTTAAATAAAGTATTATCTAGTCTATACTCTGGTTCTCTATTATGGGTCGTGAATCCTGGTTATGATATAAGTGACTAGTTTTATTATTGTATTAACGTATTATCGTGGTATACTTGAGAGAGAGAAATATTCTAAACACTCCTTTACATGAATCTACCATTATGAAACCCTTTCCTGGGTTTCTCTTGATTAAATAAACATCATTCTAGAAAGAAATAAAGATAATTCAGCGAAGAAAATGTCATCTACTTAAGCTGTACAATCTTATTTATGGTAAATTATTTAAATAAATAAATAACAGATATAAATAGGATATGACTAAATCCATTTTAGTCTGTAAACCTAAGTCATCCAAAGTCTCTACTACACCTTGTCATGGCACCCGTGAACCATTAGTTACACTCATACTTCAGAAGTATCAATAATAAACATAAATTCATACATAAATGGTAAACTTTTTTTCCACATATTTCAAAATATAAGCATACTACACATACAAATAATATAAATTTACAAACAGATGTACCAAATACTTCTTATTACAGGTATAGTACTTAAGTAATTATTACAAAGTAGTACATTAAGTAGAAATTGCCTTGAAGAGATATAAAAGGACAGATAAAATGTAAGATTTTGTCTATTGAATTATTCAAGTAACAGCTTTTTGGAAAATCGGATTAATACATTCAATATTTTACAGAAATAATCTCATTAATCTGTCTTATAAATAATATCTAATAATAAAAAAGGTAGAGTTATGCTTATCATAAGTAAGTTAGCACTGTTACAATAAGTTTCCAAATTATTTTCTCACTTTGATTCAGTATTTTCCACACCACTAAAAGGAGTAATCATTAGATTTATACAACTATTATATAATCAAGTAAATACTGTACTACTTTTCTGTTAAGGGCTTCTACGCAACAGTGTATGTGGTAGATGTGTGTGGGCAAGAGAAAGAGAGAGAGTAGACAAAAAGTATACTGACTATTACTATAAAAAGGGATTTATTTACTCTCGGTGAAATGCATGCATGTATAGTCAACAAAATTCGAACGACATAAACATGTATCCTGGAGCCTATTATATATATGATATAATATGAAACATGCTTTAAGAAGACAATGTTTGGAAATAGTTTGTTTAGTTTATTTTAACAATTAGAGGAAATGAGGAAATATTAATAATTTGTTCTACTTTGCCTTGATAGACACGATAGTTTTTATTTTAAAGTGGACACTAGGAGTTCTATATTTCGTCAGCAAGGTATGAATATTAAATCACTAGAACAGAATTCGATGGATAGTATTTTTTTAAACTTCATTTGATTTATGAAACATAAGTTAACTTTCTTTCATGCATTCAGTGAGCCATGTACGTTAGCAGAGAAATGATGCATGACACAAATATCATTTGGTTCCTATCTTTCTAAGACAAGTCAATAATGTAGAATACACGCTGATAATTTAGAAGAATTGCATCAGCATGAAGACAGTTTTTCTAAACGAAATGACGTTAATTAGACTGAAATATGGCTGAAGCTAGGAAACCTCACCGATAAATTTACATCAACTTGCAACCAACAACAGGTACAGCTCCTAAAGTTCAATCCCTAAAGAGACAGGATGTACACTATCAAATACACACTGTTTTTCAGTTTGCCTCTCCGAATTTTCTAAATATTACAAAATAGCGAAAACTACTTCTGGACAAAACAAATTCCCTAAATTAACTTGAATGACATCAATTATCTATTAACAAATACAACAACATGAATAATAAATTAAAACTACTTGTCTGTTTTAAGTAACAGGAGACACTGTGCATACTAGCGATAATTTCTAACTTCAGTCATATATAATAAGTAATTATAAAGTAATATTAGAAAAACATCAATAAAATGGTGAAGCAGTTATTCGCACTTGTCATTTCATAATAGCCTCCTCTTTCTTTTACATTTTTTTCCACTTTGTCAGCCTATTCATAAGTGTAACCAACTTATAAAGTGTTATTTACGGGTGAAAATGAACAACATCCCTAATCATTATCATTTTGATGTGCTTTAAAAACACTACAATTATAAAAGCTGTCGCAATGAATAATAATAATAATAATAATAATAATAACAATAATAATAGCTTACAATTCATGAAATTAGTCAAAAGTTCCGGGTGATTAAGAATATCCTCTGACAATGAAGAACAATCTCGAACTAGACTGTTGACCAAGCCAAATAAGTCAATACATACATTGATATGTGTGGCAGACCATTGATTTAAACGACCAAGTGAATTGAGCAACCTGAAATGTATGATAATGAAAAATGAATAAGCATAGAGTTGAAAAAGTAGAAGTAAATGAGAAATAAAAGCACGAATAAAAGTAGAGTGAAGCTAGGAAAAGAAAAAATGTAAAATTCCTCTAATAATAATTTATTCGACAAATTCATATACTTTAAATAGGTTACGATACAAACTTAGTTTAATGACTACAAGCCATATTCGATGTATCAACGATTCATTGTTTTGTGCTTTATTATCATTTATTATTGTAACATAAATGTCCTTAATATGTAATTCTTGAGATCTCTTCAATTAATTATATTTTTTGATCACACAATTCTGATGTATGAATGGAGTTATGACTTTACGAACTAAAAAATTGGCTTTCAAATCAAGTAAAGCATGATCAACTTAGATTCAACCTACATCAATTCAAAGAGATCGACAACCAGTAATCTAACAATACATGCTGCTGAAAGATGAGTATATCGATATACATTCAAATACTGAGCTACATTAGTGTTATATTACATACAGTGTGAAACATAATCATGAAGGTTTGTAGCCATCAGTTTTACATTAGATCGTTTTTGATTACAGGTTTGAAAGACAAATGTTATTAATGTTGTGTACCCTGAGATGAAAAATTAGTCGCGAAGCTCTCACCACCATCTTAAACGACATCATCAGCAAGATCTTAGAGAAAAGTATTGTAAACATTACTCCACAAGTGAATAAAAGATTGTCTTATTAATATGATTTTGAACTAGTCGAAACTAATAATTGTCCTGTCATTGATTAAACATTTATTTTGATTGCTTTTTCCATTAACAAAAAAAAACTTCAAACTAAAAGAAGATTACTTCTTGACATAAACGAAGAGAACATGATTTGATTTTAAAGGAATTTAAATCTAAATGACATGTAAAATAATTCATGATCAGATAAAATTACTACAATTATTCATTGTGAACGCATCTTTTATTAGCACAAAAATTTATATCATATCAATGTTCAATTGACGGTTACATAGACATCAGTTAACAAACTACAAACAACAGTAGAACTTCCAGAGAACTTTGCAACAGCGATAGTAATTATCTAGTACGAAATCAGGTTTCGTCCTCTTAAAATTGTGTATTAGATGTTTTATGCATTCAGACTTTGATCTGTCGTGAAGTCAGCTTGAGTTTCATTGATAGTTTAAGCTAATAAGAATTGTCTCCGGAAAAACAAACCAAACCAACAGCCTTGAGTGATTCTAAGAGTGATCTTGCGGTTAATCCTAATATCCTAAGCCCTGACGTTATAATCTTAACAATCAGAATGCAGGTTGTTTAAACGACTACCATTCCCAAAGCAGTGGTTACCGGTGTTTATCTAATCCATTCAATTATCAAAAACATCCGTTGCACTTTTAGTCTCGGTCTCCCAAAAAAGTGCCATTTGTAGTAAACTTGCTTCCCCCTTTGGATCACATATCTTACCTGAATATCATTTACTGGCAATAGAAATACATAAGATGCTATTCCCCAATAGTCCGAGGTTCTGTAAGTGACTGATGATCATATTACAAATCAAATTAATTAAATTAAGAAATCTGATCAAAAACATAGTTTCCTATATCAGACTATCGACATTTGTACCTCAGAAATCACGTTTCAGTTCTAGAATTGCGATATTCATTCCGACTGTCAGTTGCTTTTCGTCTCAAAACCATCAGCATAGTTTATTTCCAGATTTTTTAATTGTCAGCACATCATGTATGTCTGTAAACTTAATTATTAAATTTATGCCTGGTTATTTTTTGTCAATATTACTGTTTCGTTTGTGATCCCATAGTTTTGTCAACAAGATCTACTACCTTTGCTTTTGGAAACTCAATATCCTTAAACTTGAAAAAGAAGTTGCTTACTTATTGGCTCTGAAGACAGAGGTTAATACTCATGGAATATACTCTTTCCTTGCCACTGGATAATCAACGTTCAGTTGTAAAATAAGAATATATATCATTATATACCAATAAATATTCACACTCACCGAGGACGAAGAACAGAGCTATTTCCAACAACCAGCTTGTTCATTACACTAGCCACAACGAATTGACGAAGAATCCTGTTATAGTCAACAAATAACGCAAAACAATTAAAATTATGTAAATATCTATGATAAATAATCGTAGAAGTAATGGATTAATTTTATGTAGAAAAAGGTTACTAGCCATCCAGAAATTCTAGTAAAAACGATATCTATTAGGAAAGCTAGGAATTGCATGGAATCAGTATCCGTCACTAAACGAAACTTGGTGAGAATTAAAATTTCCGTAGGATACGATTAATTCACTGTATTTTTTGGCTTCTTATGGTTTTTACGCAAGCTTATGTAGTTCGGGATAGTATATTTAGCTGATGAGTTCATACAACCCGATGCTTTCAGGCAAGATAATCAAATTTCGTTTTTACAGATTGACTACTTACAAGTAACATATATTTCAAAACGAAATTAATCTGATAACATTATCAAAGCTACCTTACACTGAGGATAATGAGTCGTTGATAAACTTCTTTTTTCCAACTCTCCCCAGAAAAATTTAGGCGAAAGATATTTCACAAGATAAGAACTCTGTTAAACACATAGGATACAATATAGACACCTAACATTTTTACATAAGGAATTATGTAATTTTTTTGAAACATGTCAAACAGGACATAGAAGTTAAAGCAAGTTGTTTACAAATTCCAGTGTTAAAAGCAACAAGATAGAAAAACAGTACGAGATGACGTCAAATAAAGTCAAATTCTGACTCCTGAAAAGTAGGATAAGGAATTTTTTGTTCGAAACTCGACATTTTTGGTAACTATCAGCAGTTATATCTCATAGCATCGTAATGGAACTGAGTATAATGATGAGCTTGAAGATATTTGATATATAGTAGGATTCCTTTAGCAACATATTGAACATGCTAGTAAAGTTTATCGTATTAGTTATACGAAATGGTAGACACAAAAACATTTCACTTTTTAGTGCTAAATTACGATATTCAAACCAGTCCAAATATCACTCTAGATTTGACAAGCTTGAAATCATCTTAAGTATTGATCCATACTTAGATAAAACTTAAACGACCTTAGAGTCTGTGGCTAGCAAATATATTATGTATAAACCACAATTCGACTACGGTTTCCGAATAGAAACTGTATCTGATAGGCCAGAATAACAAGTTGAGTGTGAACCATGCGTCACGGACAGTTCAGATGAAGGCTCCCACAATTTAATTTAATTAAAGACATAGAGAAAGTGATAGTTCTGTTCAAAACTACCATTAGCGATTTAGGGATCAACTATGTAATACCGTTGTAGGGTTAGAAAATATGTTTGAAATAGAACTCTAGTAACTACAAATATGTTTCATAATATGAATGAACATCTGGTATGTCCGCTACTGGAATTAGAATCTTTGGATTTTAAGAATCATATAAACAAAGTTAATTTCTTTGGTGGTAAACACAATCATAACAGTCGAGAATGACACTCAATTGAAACATTGGTGAAATTATCCCATAAAGAATCGTATCTTTAACCTTAAGAAAGAAACCCATTAGAAGCTGATATTTTATCCAAACCTAAATCTGCCATATCATTTACGGTGCTACTTGCGGTTAAATGACATATCTTCATTTACACTTCAGGCTATGACCAGGTGCTAGGCAGGTAAAACTCAATCTAATCTGAGTCGAACTGGTATTCAAAGTGTTCTTCACATAAATTCAATGAACTGATCTGAAAATGCACTCAACCTTCAGCCATTAGGTTGCAGTTTTGAACCCCATCCCAACTATCTTAATTCGAACAATAAATTAGTCTTCACGTAAAAAGTATGGCATCAAATAAAGCAGAAAAAAATTTATTTGACTAATAAGTTGGATTATAAATTTCATTAATTTTAATAACCCCCGTTCAAAACCGATTCGCAAACATGGAACAAAGAGTCGTTTTTTGATTAGGTAGACGATTAAATGGTGTTTATTGCTATAGAGAAGGGATGTTTGTGGTCAGGTTAAATGAAAAGTATGAAGTAATATAACTACGTAATGGAGTAAGTTGTAAAACATATTTTATTATTTTAAAAAACCCTAATATTCTGAAAGCGACTGTTAAATAATATCCTAACATTTTTATTAACAGCTCCTTAGTAAGAAACAAAAACCTACAAAACCTAATTGTATTCCACAGAAGGACTGAGAGAGTCTTAAATTTTAAAGATAAGTGTTTTCTATCAAGTTATTGCAAAGATCAACTAGACCTATACGTGTTAACTTTCAGTAAATATAACTGAAACAATATGATAGCGGTTGAAATCAATATGTATACAATAGGATTTAGCACGTGTTTATGCGTGCATAAGATACAAATATCTATCTATATCTATCTAGATACCACGTGAATAACTTTTTTTTTCGACAAATCATGTAAACAAGCAGACAATATATAAAAGCAAATCCTTTTAATCAATAGATGCACTATAAAGTGAAAATTAAATCACTTTTTGGCATTTCTTTCGATTGATTATAGAGAATAACAAAGAAGATAAAGTGTTTTAAAAGTATTATTATATAGATATAAGATGTTTTAAGGAAATGACGAAGAGAATTTCACTCAAATAACGGATACAAATTAATAGTATATATTTAATAAATAATAAAAATATCAAAGAGAAATTATGACAGAAATCTCTAACTAAGAATTAAAAATAATAATAATAAGTACTAGAAAAACACATAACGATATTGTGAAGAGTAAAATAAAAATTTTCGTGTTTTATTATTATTATTTCCTTGAAAAAGCTTGGACCAGATTGCCAGGCGAAACCGTTGGATTTACTTTAAATTCTTTCGCTGAGATTTTACAAATACATTCTTCCTCTTTAATGTTTCACATTAACTCGGCGCCCAAATATTGTGAAACTATTCGATATTATTATTTTAGGCGAGTCTGAAATCTTTAAAAATTCTTACGGTAATACATTGATCTATTTATAAGAAATTGAAATTTGGTACAACAGAAAGATCAAGAGATGTGAAATATAAAATAAGATGATTATGTTTTGAAAAATAAAGGGAAAATTTCATTAAATAATACTAAGAGGAATATCAGTAATAGAGGATACAGCTCGTATATGAATACAAATTTTGTCTGATTAATAGATATCTGTAGCAGTTTATGAAGAACACAGTACAGAATCACAACAACATCACTGGTCTGTTCTTTTTTGAACTGTATCTGTAGTAGTAGTAGTAGTCATCTCACCTGATAATTGTGAAGTGACATATTGTAACCCAAAACAATTACATTTTATTTTGAAGCATAATGTTACGAGCTGACTGTATATATGCTTTATCTATTCAACTAAAGTGTTGAGAAGTAATTATCAGTAAGACACTATGGATAATATATGTAAGCGTCGACGAAGTTAGTGTTTTAAAATGATATCACCAACATAACTTATGATTTTTAATACATCCGAATTAATTTTGTTGAACGTGAGTATCGCTTACACAGTTTTGATATCGAATGTATGTAATCCCACAGATGTAACGATGACAAGGGATAAACAAAAGTAAAAGGCACATACCGTGCGCCAAATGATGAAGTTAGATTTTGGTAGCATGTATGTCACTGCATAAAAAAACGATTTCATCAACATAGTAAAAATTGAGAATGAATCCCTAAGGTAACAGATCTATATTCAGTTTATCACACATTTTCGAAAGAGGTATTCAGTTTTCTAACCAAACTGTTGCCTCCACCATACGAAAGAGAAACGGGGAAAGTGTATCCCCGACATATTGTAGCTTCAACTATCAACAATACTTTTCTGTTTTTGACGCTCATAGAGAGTTATCGGGTACGAAACGAACTCGTTAGATCTACTGGACCTGCGGGTCAGGTAAACTGTCACTTAACGTGATCCGCTCAATGTCCTTGATAATTGTTATTTAGCGTGCCATTCACTTTACACATTACGCTACAGATACCGGGTTTCTAACCACTAGTGGATTGAATAAGTTGGAACAACGCTCGCCAGATGCAGCTATTTTTCTTGTGTCAGTAAAAAGCTTAGAGCACCAAATTTCGAAGTCCTTAAATCGGCTGTGAAAGTTTGCATGCGTTTTTGTATTCACAGTCAGTCGTAATAGATATTTAAACATAAAGAAGCTTACTTCAGGTTATCATTACGCCTTTTATATAATAAGAGGAAATTCAACAAGTGTTGACATAAATATCTAGTTTACTTCAACAAAGTAGTAATTTGAAAGTGTTACCGGGAAAATTGTGTTTTTGACAGTGAACTTGTAAACAAATTTTTTCTGGACTATCTATACCAACCAAGTGAGTGAACAGTATGCAAAATGTCCTGAAATATTAAAAGCTCAAACAATATAAACTTAGACTATTGAAGAAGATAATATTGAACATTGATCAATTTTTAATGCCGAAAACTTACCGAATAGATTTTATTACTAATAATGGATCATCTGAGCATATATCTTGTTCGACCGAAGCTTCGAGACGAGCAACCACTTCTTGCCACAAACTTGAAACACCTGAACTGTTTGCTCGGTCTGTAGGTTGTTCAAAAGTGGAGAGACTCTGAGTGATGTTAGAATCAATAGATGGCGTCTAAAAGCAATCGGAAATACAATTATTCTTGACTATGTCATTACGAGAAACCAAAATTGGATATAGCTTTGAAAAACATAAGTAGTAAAAAAAATCCATACATATTTACTCATTAGATAAGTTCAGCAGATACACTTAAGACGCAAGTGTATCAAACATCTTTATTGATTCACAAGTGTAATGTATGACTAAAAGAAAAACATTTAACAAACAAGTTTAAAATTCAACATAAATTTGGAAGTATTTTATTATTAACGAACACAAAACATAAAGCTTGGGACTACAGTGTACTGCTACTGATTACTACATTTTACAAATACTACAGCACACAGAGAGAAAACAAAAGATGAAGATGCGCTAAAATGGAAAGTCAGTAGAGTGAGTTCATACACCGAAATATGATCCGCGCTAATGCAACAGTAAGTGGTGATTTCTACTTTTTTATTGAAAATTCAGTAAGTTATGTACAGTTATAACTCACCAGTTTTATGTCCAGACCGATAAGCTACAACAACGTCGGATTGCAATTATAGCCATATAGAACAGTTAAAGCCAGTATAAAAGATGGCAGCAGGGGCATAAAAGAGATATGGAGAAAATTATAACCCTAAGAAGGAATTAAGTGATATCGGAAACGAGTAACTAACACTTCCTTTATTTGTGGCAAAAAACGCTATTTCCTTGGGTAGATGAAAAACTACAGGAATACTTTTGCTGATTTTCATACAATGAATGTGATTATAAGATAAACCACTTGACAAACAAGTATCAATATGCTTAACGCCGCTTGTAGCACTTCTAGAGTTACTGCCGGTCTCAAGCCCACACAAAGGAGAATTGTTGGGCATAGGATCAGAAACCTCATCCCGCAGAAAATAAGCCTGATAAAAAAATGCTAACCAGAATAAAAAATCTAAACCACTTAAACTCTGTCCTCGGAGTTGAAGGACTTTCATTCAAAAGAATTACGACGCCTCATAGTAAAAGCGGAAATTTTTCGGAAGCCATGGGGCCGATGCCCTCTCTAACAAATGGGACAACAATTAATATAGGTACATGGAACGTCCGGACAATGTTGAAGACCTGGAGGATCAGCCAAATAGTTACAGAAATGAGGAGATACAACTTGGTGATTCTTGGAATCAGTGAAACCCATTAGACCCAAGCTGGACAGAAAAGGATAGATTCGGGAGAGATGCTACTGTACTCTGGTCACGAAGAATAAAGTTTCCCGCACACTCAGGGAGTTGCTCTGATGCTATCCAAAGAAGTCTCATGGATCCAGAAACGTCAAGGCATTATTCAAAACAAAGGAGGGGATTGCAATGAATGTTATCCAATGTTGTGCACCCATCAAAGATAGCAACGACGACGATAAAGATAAGTTTTCCGAGAGGTTTCCATCAATCACAGCGAATCGCCCATGAAAAGACCGGACCATCCTGATCGTAAACCTAAACGCCAAAGTCGGAATGAATAACATGGAGTGACTGGGAGAAAAAAACGAAAATGGTGACAGATTTGCAAATTTATATGCATTCAACAGAATAATTATAAGCGGCACAACATTCCCCCAAAAACGCATACACAAAGCTACGTGGGTCTCACCGGATCACACTACAGAGAATCAGACCTATCATATTTGGATCAGTAAGATTTAAAGGACAATGATAGACATGAGAATCAAGTGGGGATCTGATATAGGTTCAGATCACGACCTGGTGGTTGCCAAGATGAAACTGAAGATAAAGAAACACTGGACAACTGGGAGAACAACATTAAAGTACAGCCTTCCTTTGAGATACCGACACATTCAGTGAATTTAAGATAGCTCTCAACAACAGGTTACAAGCCTTATAAGATCTACTGAAGGAAGAAACTACTACGGAGGACAACTGGAAAGGGATCAAAGAAGCACTAACATCAACGAATCAGAAGGTTCTGGGCCGCAACAAGCATCGTCATAAAGAATGCATCTCTATCGAAACCCGAGACAAGATTCAAAAAAGGAAGAACAGGAAGATAGCAATTAACAATAGCCAAATAAGAACAGAGAAAGTCAGGGCACAAGCTGAATACTCTCAAGCATACGAGCGAATGGGGAGCAGTAATAGAACCGACAAACAAAAATACGTGGAGGACCTAGCAACGATAGCGAAAAGAGCTGCAACAAAAGGAAATATCAGAAAATTATATGAAACAATGAAGAAACTGGCAGGAAAATGTAGTAAACCGGAGAGATCGGTCAAGGACAAAGAAGGCGAGACAATCACTGAGATTCAAGAACAAAGGAACAGATGGATGAAACACTGAGAAACTCTTCAACAGACCGGCTCTATTGAATCCAACGGACATCGAAACAGTACGCACAGACCTTCCTATAGATGTCACCCCACCAACGATCGAAGAAATTAGGATGGCCGATCATCAGACAAATCAAGAGTGGGAAAGCAATACGACCTGACATGCCAGTCGATGCACTGAAGTTAGTCATAGAAGTGACTGAAGACATCCTTCACGTTCTACTCAAGTAGATTTAGGAGAAAGAACAAGTGCCGACAGACTGGAAAGTAAGATAAATCATCACAATATCAAATAAAGGAGATCACAGCAAATGTGAGAACTACAGAGGAATAACACTAATGTCAGTACCAGGAAAGGTTCTCAATAGTGTTGCTGAAACGGATGAAAGACGCAGTAGACACCCAACTTCGAGATCAACAGGTTGGATTCCGTAAGGATCTGTCGTCAACAGACCAAATCACGACACCACAGATCATCGTCGAACGATCAGTTGGGTGAAATTTGTCACTATACATCAACTTGACGTTCGACAGTGTGGATAGAAGAATCTTATGGAACCTTCGATACTATAGTATACCTGAGAAAATCGTCAACATCATATGGAATTAATATGACGGACTACATTGCAAAGTCATGCATAGAAGACAGCTGATACATGTATTCAAAGTGAAGACCAGAGTCAGAGAACGCTGCTTACTCTCCCCTTTCCTTTGTATTCTGGTGGTTGAATGGATTGTGAAGACCTCCATATCTGAGGGGAAGCACGGAATACAATGGACAGCTTGCATGCGACTAGACCATTCGAACTTCACGGATCACCTAACCCTTCTATCCCATACACACCAATAAATGCAGGTCAAGACCACCAGTGTAGCAACAGCCTCTGCATTAGTAGGCCTCAACATATACAAGGGAAATAGCAAGATCCTCAAATACAACACGGAGATCACTAACGCAATCACACCTGATAGAGAAGCTCTGGAAGAGATGAAAACTTTCACTTACCTGGACAGCATCATCGATAAACAAGGAGGATTTGATACAGATATGAATGCAAGGATTGTTAAAGTAAAAGCAACATTCCTACAGTTGAAGAACATATGGAACTCAAGACAACTATCTGCAAACCAACATTAAAGTCAGAACCTTCAATACGAATGTCAAGACATTTCTAATGTACCGAGCTGAAACTTCGAGAACTATCACAACCGTTAGCGGGACATAGATTGGATTAAATCATGCTCAATGCACGATTGCGTTGGCTCACGCTGATCGACTAATTCTTATACAATCAGCGCTAGTCGATACTTGGAGAACATTCTCGTATCTTCTCATGTAAAAAACTATAAATATACTAACGTTTTTCCTATTGTGCTTCTTACTTCCATCCAACCTTGTTATTTGGAATACAATCTCTTTCCTGTCAACCGTGTTCTGATTTGGGGACTTTTCGATTGGATTGGTGTCCGAGAATACTAAGCAATAGGAATAGCTGGGTTGTAATAAGAGAATTATAACAACAACCATCATCAAGAATGTACAAATATTTATAAACAATTGTCTGCTCAAGACACTGAATGTCCGTTGGTCGGATACCATCAGCAACAGCCTACTATGGGAGAGAACAAAGCAGCTTCCAGCTGAAGAGGAAATTAGGAAATAACTCTAGAGGTGGATAGGACATACATTGCAAAAATCACCACACTACATCACAAAGCAAGGACTATATTGTAATCCTGAGGGGATACAGAAAAGATGAAGGCCAAAGAACACACTGGGTCGAGAGTAGGAAGCAAACATCAAAAGTATGAACAGCAACTGAGAAGGATTACTCAGGACAGAGTTCGATAGCGAATGCTGGTGGGCAATCTATGCCCCCCCCGGGGGGTGACAGACGTAAGTAAGTGATTAATCTACATACTCAGTAAGAAACCCCAGTATTTTGCAAGCCCCAATGATACTACTAAGAGTGATGAATTGGTCCTGATGGTGACTACTGTTGTGAATCTCAAGTACAGCTCACATTCATAACCACATATGTTGCACTTAAATGGATGTATGTATTTACAAACAATATATCAACAGATCGGTTTGAGATTTAGATAAATAATAGATCTATAGACTGCAATCATGGAGTTTTTACCAAAATGGATTCTTTTTTCCTGGGAAACGTTCCATCAGGAAATTTTACCATACTGGGACTAATCTTTTACTTAGGTTTTGTGTTACTTCTGAGAGGATCCTAACCACATGCATGGTCAGCTGTCAACAACTAATACCGGGTTTTTCAGACGCAAAACAAGTGGACCCTAGTGTATACTGTCATAGCATTGGCTTTTACACGGTGAGCGAGGCTTGCGGTCAAGTATATAAACATATGGTGATTACTCATTTTTCATCTTGTAAAGATTAAATTGGCAGCAAAATTCTATGCATATACCTCCTACGATATACTTTTCGTTATACTAGTGACAACAACTTAGATTTTGTCGTGATGATAAGTAAAAAGAATCCTAGAAAACATTCAGACGGGAGCTGTATCAGCCTGACAAGTGCTAAATAAACACACTCTCTAACCTCTATGAGTTCCGAAAGACCGATACGTACACATGACCAAATAAAAGTTTTAGAGTTAAAAATATGACTAACTGGCCAAAATAATTAGTTAAGTGACTTTACTACCATTTAGAAAAGGAAATATACCGTTTACTTTAATCTTAAAGACCCATTACATGTTTAAAACCATCTTCCATATATTTATATAACACTAAGAATACTAGGAACGTGCGTGAGATAATAGGGGGAAAATGTAAGACCTAGGTCGGGAAACTATTTTCCCACAATCAAAGAAAACCCTAGATGAACAAATGCTGACACTTTAGTTATTGGACACAGTCAGAGACAAATGAACATTATCAAAATGTAAATACTAGCTGTGTTTCCGGAAGGTCGGTTAAATACTGTAAGGGTTTAGTCGGGATAGAACAGGTTCTTTTGAGGGTAGAGGTGGTTTCGAAACTATTATCAAAAATACGGAAATCAGTAATTCATATGGCTTGGATTTTCATGTAACGTTAGAAATGAGAAATCACTGACAGTGTGAATACGTTACTGTGACGATTAGAACATGATGGTTCGTCTTATAATTTACTGACCTTTTTTAGGACATAGAAAAATGAGTAGCCACTTGATCAAGAAAATGTGATACACCAGGTAGTCAATTCTGTCTGAAAAGTTTTAGCGGAGATTGAACGTGACCGAATAAGCGAGCGTTAATCGACGTAATTTTTATATAACAGTTTGTCTTGCAATGTTGTTATCCAGAGCTAAATAAGGTACCTTACATCCGAAACTAGTGATTAGTGTGAGAACAAAACTTTGGGTCATTTTGTCGTACTTAAATCAACCAACAGCGAAAACTTTTGCTGTTAACTCACGCTTTCGTACAGTCATAGCCTAGAGTGTTGGTAAAGGACTCGAAATACAAACCTGATACGACGATTTGGTAGGCTAGCTTGTAGAATGCATGTTTACTCATTTAGATGATTCACAAACTACGCGATAGTTAGTGACAAAGCCTTACCATCCAGAACTTGGTAGGTTGGATGAGTTTTAAAGTCACGGAAGGAGAACTACGACTTGAAGATTGCTGAATAATAGCCCAGGTGAGTTTTTATCTCAGATGTTTGACAGCCGGGATTCCGTTGATAATCATGGCTGAAACAGTATCGCGCAGGTGTTATCAACTAAGTTTTTTGGACAAAAGTGGAAGGCGGGGTACTGCCTGCTGAACTCCTATTAAGTTATTGAGAATAGGATGACACGAGCCGGAGTTGTATTAGACTTTATTCGAATATAAGATATAAGCAATATATTGTCGTTTCAAATCCAAAATGTAAGCAGCAAAATATGTCCAGAAATGAACTAATGTAGTCAGACGATGATCTTACATCGAGACCTGATATTGTGAAGAATCGACCAACCAGGGTTTTCATGATAGCCCCAATATTGTTGCCTGTTCATTTTTACGTTTAAGGAAGTCCAAGTACAGAAAGATAACCGAGAAACATGCTATGTTTTAGATATCACCACCCAAGTACCCGGAAACGCCCTTACGCTTTAAAAAAGTTGTAACACTATAACCAAGATTCCAGGGTTAGGTAACTATATTGTCCAAATGCATAATATCTCGATGCAAATTGGAGTTACCTTGCCATCGGTTAGAAATAGCATACAATCTCCTACAAACATTGCTGTCTTCAATGGGGAGAGTCGTAAACCTGAACGCAGAACTTAGAACTTCAGGGAAATACAGAGGGTGTCGCGGAAACTCTTTAGCATTTCGCAGCCAATCCTGTTTAATTGTTTTTGTTTTCGCTTAATTAATCTTACTGGTATCTAATGGAGTGAATACCAGTTTGTGCTATTATGGTGTTCCATATGTAACACCCCGTAAAAATCACTTATAAGATAACAAATTTTGCATGAGTTTCCAAAAGCATAGTAAATTCACTGAGACAGCAAATGTTATTTGAATACAGAAAGAGAATACACAAGTCAAAACTTGAATATACCAGATATAAATGGCGTGTAATCCTATCCTCACAAACCCCGAACCGAAATGAGTCAAAACTTCAGTACTATCGAACTTATTGATTTTAATGAAGAATACATTTGGAATTATTTACGAAAAACATGTCTCATAATGTTAACCGAAATAGTCAAGTATGAAAAAAAAATCTACCATTAGGCCAGCAGACCGAAAAAGCGCCCAATAAGGTCAAATGTACAAAGTACAATCAGAAGCTATAATGTGTTTGTGGTCCTTTGAGAACTTCAGAAAAAATAAAAATCCTTGATCCGTCTAGATACCATGGCTTTAATTTCTTCAAAGCTAGTGTTACTTTTCCAAACTCCATACGTATGTAAAACCAAATGAACAACAAGGAAAGAAAGAAATAAGTAAGAAAATAACAAATTACATCAGTAAGATATGACATCCGTTTGTGCAGTAATATTTTGCGGTGGTACCATGAAATTCTAAAGTAACTGAAAAGGATTATCAAATATCAATATGTATGAGCCATACATACGTAGTGAAAATTAAATGAATCTGGGAAGGTGATTTGTGTAAGTGTAACACAAGATATCATCTTAATGATAAACTTCAAACTTGTGAATTCCCTATCAGTGATTGTGAACCATCTATCCTAGATCCTTGTTAGTCACTGAAGGAGATTCTAATGAAATGTTTAACTACTTATTACATACGGAATTGAAGTGTAAATAAGTACATACGAATAAAAAGCTCTCTCACTCTCATGCGCAAGCAAGAAATTGCTGCTGTTGGTTTTCGGGTTTAAAAAGACAATATTCAAGAAATTCATTTATCAGAGTGGTTGAGGAGTGACTTTTAAATAAAGCTTCTATAGCATTTTCCCCCGAGGCTAGTTGTCCAGAGACCCACCGTGATAAGCAAGTGGTCATAATCCTGTGATTTTAAGCCGTATACTTTTTGGCGTGTAGCGGTAAATAAATCCCTATAACAAATAGTTTCGTAAAACTTAGATATTGATTTTGACCCCATTAGTTTTACTGGACATACCCTAATTTCAGGATATCCGTCACCCAACTTCAAAAGATCACCATTATGTAAATTATGCTGTGCAATTCCTATATGAACTAGTTGGCTTGCATCATATACTTTTCGACGCATCAACTATCTCCCAAATAATACTTCGAACTACGTTATCCCTGTGTTCCAGTTTAGCTGCTCTTGGAATTCTGAACTATAAAGTATTACGGAAAACTGTAATATCAGGTACTTAAGATCCGTGATATTTTTACTTGATTCTGTATGAAATTCCGTTATGGATGTCATATTTGTTCGCTTAACGCGATGTCTTTCGGTTTCGGACACAATGTAAACACGTTATACCGGGAAGCATATGAATATATCGATGAATTTAGGCTGCCTAAAGGCGTGTCCACGTTAGTTGTGTCTTTGGGTATTCCGATTTCTAGGAAACGCATACCAAATGGAGTAAAATTTTGAGGAAAAATGTTCCTAGAAAGAGATGGTGCATAAGGATGACTTGTTGGGGATGCCTTACTGCTGTAGATACATCTTAAGTGGTTCTTGAATTAATGATACCTACTTGGCCACCTACTAAATATGTGCACAATATTACACCACAATCAGAATACACCAGTGAAAGAATGATCTACAGGATGCTCTCATTCAGATATAATCGAAAAGTTTCGCCAGAGACTATTACACTAAAGTGGATTGTCGGTTTTTGATCCGGAATAATGAAACACCAATGAATCAAGTATTTTAAATGAAGAAAAACATGTCGGATATTTCAAGATATTTTTAGTTACTTCTGTGTCAAACAACAACTAAAAAGTCACTCAATTGAATATGAGTTGAGTAACTGTAATTTGCCACATAAAAGTTAATACTGGAGATTATTTGTGAATTCAAGAAAATAAGCAAAATAGTTCGTTCGATCAAACTTTTGACCTTGCTAGTTACATAGACCACAGAGAGTGGTAGATTAGTTTCCTGAAAATTATCTACTCAATAACTTTATAGTATCCTAATTTTAACATATCAGATCGTGTAACATCAAACATCTGGGTACCTCAAACGGATAGAATGTCTGGTTGAAGTACGACCACTCCATGTCTGTATATTCAACGAATTACGTAAAATTTGTCTCCTATGTGTTGTTGAAAACTGCAGTCTTTTAGTTATCGCTAGGCTTTTCGCCTACATAAGATCATATATCGGCTAAGTCAATAACAGATTTCAAATTTAGATTTGTTTAGTAAGGACAGAAGGCCTATCTCATTCCTTTTCTAGTATGCTTCTATGGGTGTTTAGTCTTCTTTTGAATCAATCTGTTGAGGGCGCGGACACCATTCCTTCGGGTAACAGGTTCCAAGTATTGATGACTCAGTGTGAAAATCTGTATGTCACAGGTATTTTTGTTCAACCTTGGCTTTTCTATGTACTCTGAGATGTCCCAATCTAGTGGGAAGAAAAAGAGAGGATATATTAGGTCCAAAGTCATTTCTTAGTATTCTGTACATCAAAACTAAATCACCTCTTAGTCTGCAATAGGACAGAGTAAGGAGGTCTAGATTTTCAAGCCGCTCTTTTTATGGTAAATCCCGGGGTTCTGGAATTGCACATGTAGCTGCCCTCTGTACTTTTCCCAGGATATCCGAGTCACCTATTAAACAGGGGATTGCAGCCTGAACGCAGTTCTCAGGCTTAGTTCTCACTAAGGTTGTGTATACTGTAGTGAACACGGTAGTATCTAACTTGGTGAGTATCCTTTTTAAAACCCATAAGGTTCTAAACCCCTTAGCTGCGACCTCCTGGCAATGGGCCGTGGTCCTAAGATCATGACTCACTGTCACCCCAAAATCCTTGTGAGTCCGTACTACTGGTACTTGTTGGATTATGGTCTAGTATTATATTAATACTGCTCTAATAATCGACCTAATCCTAACATTGTAGGTTTGTCATAGTGTAGTGCTGGCACTTCCCTCATGTTTTACTTGTTTACCTTTGTATACCCAAGGTGCATTTAGACACTCTTTGCAACGTTGTTAGGAATCAGCCACTCTTTAGACCGGTGAATCACATTATTTTAGTCTGCCTGAAGTGCGCATGCATCTGCGTCTCCGGTTATTACTCGCCAGATTTCTACGTCAGCCTATAACAACATTGGGGACTTTACTATGCTTGACAGGTCACTTACATACAGCATAAAAAGTGAGGGACCTAGAGCATAACTTCGCGGTATTCCACTATATGTATTTGTTTCCAAGTGAAGCGTTAGGGAATTACTCTCAATTTCTGTATACGACCCACTAGGAAATCCTTAAGGAATTTTAGTAGAGGTACTCAGTATCAAGATTTTCTAGCTTCGATAGCAGTTTATTCGTTGGCACCTTGTCAAATGCTTTGCTGAAGTCTGTGTAGATATCATCCACTCATTTTTTGTTGTCTGGAGCCTGTGGAAGTTTTCTTATTCCTGTTTTATGTATGGTGGTGCGGATTGTATCCTTCCAGTTCATAAGTAACACACCTTAGTCAAGTGACATAATGAATATCGCAGTTAGTGTAGCGGCAATATATTACGTTATTTGTCTCAGGATTTCAGGGTATAGTTAATCCGTTCCTGCTAACTTTTCCGTGTCTAAGGTGCTAAAAGCCTTAAGTACATCGTCGTGACCACAGTCGACGGTGAGCAAACGATTTGTTAACCTTGTGTTTGGGTGTAGTTCTTCGTCTAGAAGGGGCTCCTGAGTGGAAAATGTCCCGAAATAGTTTTTCATCGCCTCTGCCTTTTCATGATCATCCTCTATCATTTCATATCCACTCCCTTCTTTAATTAAGTTGTAAATCCAATGCTGCATTTTTGTCCTGTAGTTTGTGAACGAGACTAGTCTCTTAGGCTGCCTGATTGCAGATTGTGCTGACTCCCTTTCATATTTTCTCTGAGCTTCCCGGATTTTAATATCACACTTATATCTTACCGACCTATAGCGTTCCATATTGCTTGCTGTGCCATGGCTGATGGCAACTTTCCAACATTTCTTCTTATGTATAAGCAAACGTCGAATATCCCGGACTATCCAGGGATGGCTATACTTCTCCTTCGAGACTGTTCAGGGTATATATGGTTGAGTCACCCGATTGTATAACTGCCTGAAATGAGTCCATGCCTCTTCTACTGATGCCTCTGAGTCAATTTCCTAGTTTTCAGCAGATGCTGTAGAGTTTATCACCTCCATGTCTGCTTTTCATATGTTGGGACGGGACGGCGCAACTGTTTGACAGGCCATCTCAACCATGAATTTGGATAAGATAACTGCCTGATCTCATCTCTTTAGAAATGGTAGAAAAGTTATTTGGCCGGCATCATCACCGTGTATGAAGACTAAGTCCAAGAAAGGCGAGGAGCTTCGTGATTCCTATTCGGTGGGATCTCCAATGTACTGGTATAAAGTTAGTGTAATTGAGGTTTCTAACAGTTTGCAATCAAATGACGATGTCGATGACCCTATTTCTAAGTTGACCCAGTTTACAACAACAAAAATAATGTCATAAAGCTCAGCCATTCTTCAGTGATTTCTCAAATAGTGGTTACTGTTTACTTTAGTTAAGTGCATACTAAGGCGATGACATAAAGTACTATTCCACAAACATTTACATGACAGCTCTGATTGTTTTGCTTTTCGGTTTCATAGGTGGTACGGCTACAACCGTATCTTTCTATTACAACCAAAGCTCCTCCACAAGACAGACGCAAGTTCGTATAAATAATTCACCAAATCTGCAGGACAAAGTTTGAGGTTTGAAGTTATTTCGCGCCTAAGTTGATCATCTTCCCAACCGCGGTTATACAACTTTGGACATTGCCAGCAATGCTTGCTGTACATTCAGAACAAGGTGGTACAGTCGAACATAAAGGTAGGAGTACTAATGGGAGCAAAATATACAAAAAGATCGAGCTCGGACAACTTACTCCTCATAATATCAAGCAATTCAGATTGATAAATCAAACTGTATTCCCAGTCACATACACAGAGAAATTTTATAGTGATGTTCTAAAGAATAGTAAGATGTGCAGACTTGCTTACTTTAATGATATCGTCGTTGGAGCTGTTAGCTATCGGGTAGAGAATGTTGTTGTGAAGCATGTCGATTTGGCTACGGATGATAATAACGGCCAAGCTAATCAAACTGTCAAGAAGTGTTATATTATGACTTTGGGATGTCTTGCACCATACAGAGGCTACGGTGTTGGTACGCTTATGTTAAAACATGTCATTAAGAGCTGTTTAAAGCACGGTGGTATTAAAAGTATTTATCTGCATGTTCATGTTGGTAATGAAGGCGCAGTAGCGTTCTACAAACGTTTCGGTTTTGAAATAACTGGAGAAGTTAGTGATTACTACCGCCGTATTCATCCTCAAACTGCCTACGTGCTCGAAAGGTCCTTATCAGCTACAGAAGCTAGGGAATCCGACTCTGAATCCGATTAAACACTCCAATGTAAATACATCATTTATTTACACTGTTAATAAATACACCAACAGCATCTTGTCCACTCTTTTTTTGTTCAACTTCATATACTGCCAAAGTGCAGGTTTCATGAAGGTAATCGCTTAGTTCGTATCTTTTGGGTTAGTAGAGTAGTTCATTCACCTCAGTCCACTGGTCACTGATATCACCTACTTCAAAACTTTTGTTACATATAATCTAGTATTTATCGTGACTAGGTACATGTTGGTAGTCCGTAACTAACGTGACAAGCTTTATTATAGTATATTGGTTAATATTATGGTGGTACGGTTTGGATAGCTGTATTATCATCCGAGAGCGGTCATTTTAGTGATCTGGTTATACTACCAGTTCCTCGTTTGTACTTATGAATAAGTCTTTTCAGTAAAACTGATATGTCTATGTGCAATGCTTATATTTATTCACCGTTTCCTGTTTTTATCTTTTCGGTCAGTTTTATCAAGTTATGTCTAAGGTCTCCTTATTTTATTTTTCAAACTCACATTCGCCAAGCAAGTGCGTTCACATTGTGTAGATGATATAATAAAACGCCCCCCCCATTATCACTACATATGCTTACTAATTCACACCAATGACAGGCATATGGTACCATTATTACTGCACCAAGCTAGGTTTTCACAGTTTGTGGAGTCCCATCAATATTTGAGTGTAATAAGATTGTCATGTTTAAGTAGCCTTATATATGACGGTGCAAATCAGTGACCAACCATATGTTCGTATGAGGAGCTTTAGACGAAGATAAGATAAACTTTAAGTGACTGAATATCGTGTGATAAGAACTATGGTTTGTTGTTTAGAATTCGATAATTCAGATTGATAAGCCGTAAATTTGGGTTTATTACCACTAAGAGTTTTTAGTTTTGTTCTGAAAGATTGGGAGCATCAAAATTCACAGTTAATAAAGCTGACCAAACATAACTTATGAAGCGTGCATTACTGGTCAGTCTATGTTTTTATTCTAGTAATTATACATTTTCAGCCTCACTTTTTTCTCATGGATTGTCGTTTCGCTTTGTAATATATTTGATTGTCTCTCTTACGACTGTTTGTTTGGCGGAATTAATATTAGTAAAAACTTCTCATAATCCTACTTTGTGTTTACGTTTCAACGTGATCGAACCAATACATATGTAGTGTTCATCTGACCTTAAAGAAAATTTTCGCTTAGATTACCCTTGAAAAGAGTTGAGATAACCGAGCATAAATTCACCAATAACTTATTGATTCCTTCAATCAGTTTGAGACGCTTAAAGTATTGATGGCTACCAATGTGAATGTAAAATTCATAACGATAACAAGATCAATCTAAGTTATCATACATTACACAAACACAGTTGAAGGAAATCAAAATAAGAGGCATCAAATTAGTAAGTGTTAGTAGCGGGAAACTGGATGAAACAAGTGAGAGCCTAATAGGAAGTATGAATAATCCGATTATTAGTACTTACTTGAAGTTAGAGAATGAACTGGACATCATTTATGTCATACATATAAAAGACAAATGCAGTCTTATCGCCCCGACAATTTTCTAGTCATGTGAAGCCTTCAACTATCAATAATTGCTCTCGTACTAAACACATGGCATATATAAGTGGTTCCTTAAACGGGTAATGTCTCGTGGTTTGAGCAACTTTGGCGTTGAAAAACTTACTATGCTACCCATCGCTATTCTCTAAATTTACAACCTTATCAGATGATTTTCCAATTTTACAGAGCACTCTATTTACGAAATAACCCTATTAACCTGGCTATCATTATTAAAAGCGTCTAGTGATTCGAAAGCACATGATCAAATACACTACTTATCTTCTTTCAGTGACCATACCCCATAACTTTAGTGCATCTTGAAAACAACTAATACCCAGGATACAAATACAGGTGGTGTAAGTTGGTAACAACTAAACATGACATTTTAGGTCGTGCAGCTCGCTTGTAATATAGCCACTAGCATTTGTGATTTAAGAATTCTAAGGTTCAAAACCATAAGCAATTAATCATTGAATCACTGTATGTAGCTGACTGGTAATTAGCTTTTAACTATGAAAATATTTCTCTAATGACTCGTCTCAGAACACTTCCTATATTGGCACAAAAACTAATTTGTGTGAAATATAAAACAAATGAATGGTTACGAAATTTAGATATGTTTTATATCCGTTAAATTGGAAACTAGAAATTAAGCATGCGAGTCTATAACATTATATTATTATAAACTTAGAAATTTATGAGCCAAAGTGCTGCTCATTCGTGTTTAAGAGATCTTATCTGTAAATTTATAAGCGTTCTAAATTGCACCACAATTTCAGATATTACTCAGTTTTTATCGAAAATGTTTGACTAACTCATTACTATATATATTGATGTTGTGGCTTAACAGTCCAACGCCTAGCGTTCGACTGTTGTGTTGCGATTCTATATTCTTGTTTGCTTTGGTAGTCGTCCGCACACACAATAGCTGTAAACATACTATATGAATTGTTTACGAAGTTTAATTCACATATATTTCTAGGCCATGTATTTACGCATAAGAAGTGTAAATAACTTCCTTTACAATTGTAGTCTCTAATGACCTCATCACTTTAAATTAGGTGCCCTGACCAGAATTCTGATTCCACATTTGAAGAGCGACAGACAAAATTACGATCTTTTTTACACTAAACTTCCGAAGCCAGGCTTCGTTGAGCCACTCATCAGTCATTTGAGATAAGGTAAATTCATTAAAGTTGCTGTAAAAATGAGCCAGATGATCTGTTCTTTCAGTAGCTCCACGCAGAATCTTTAGGAACTGATTTTTTGGGCCATTATCTTACTGATACCAGGCTTTTGGCTACTGGTGTCTCAAATGTTCTTGAACAACTCCCAGCTATTACCAAATTTATCTGTGCCGGTAACTGGTTATAGAAACCATACTTTCAGGTTCTTGCGTATACCTAAATTTAAAAACATTTTTTACACTAAATCTTTCACAATAGACCACTAAATGTAAAGAATTTGTTAGGAAATCATTAAAACCCAACACTGCTTTTTAAGTTGTGAACGAGAATTTCGCAAGTGTCAGCATATTTTGCAGTTTATCAGAAACAGCATAGTTAATTTCAGGTTGGTTACTTTCTGAAATCAAGTCCATGATCTTTTAGTGTTAGTAAAGTATAAGGATTTCAAGTCATTTCCATCTGAAATAGCAAGTCGGATTCAGGCTTTTCATGTCCACGATGAACTAGGCTCTGGAAAATTGAAATATAGTTTATGAAGCACCCCTATATATTCCAAGCAAGCTGGCACTTATCAGAGCTGTCTGACCAGACTGTTACAATAAGTCAGCTCAAAACTACATCTTTCATACCCATTAGTGTAGATAAATGATTTGACAATGAGAACCTCTGTTTTACGTATCTTACTGATGGAATATAAGATACGTGTACTAATAGCAAAAATTCACGATGATTAATGTTTCCAGTTAGCCGTACAGCGTCTCGTACCTGAAGGTCACAGCAGAAATTAGAATAACACAAAACAGTCGATTTAGGCAAATAATGATAACGATGTTCTGGATTCGAGGTTCCCGAGTTAGATACTATTCAATGTTATACTTGTGGGACGTCGTTAATTAGTACTGCAAAATTTCCTTAATATCGCTGATATCAATGCAAATATTTGGAAACATCGATCCGGGCAACTGCTTAGCTCGTGATAAAGGACAGTATGTCAAAAGCCCACTAAGTCGATAGCTTAAGTGTATAGTAACTTACAGAATTTTGTAATCTATCAGGAACAGGGAAATGCTTTGTACATTCAGGTCGATGATGTTCTTAACGTTCTTTTTTCCTAACGAAATATAAAGTTTAGTGCAAACCCTTTCTAGTTATTAAAAAAGAACTTGTATTTTATAACTGAAACTTTCAGTTTTGTATGGCTTAATTGAAACTCTGATGTGATGATTAACTGGAGATTTCTCTAAGGGAAACAAAATGAGTGATCCTTAGTCTGAGTCGTGTTGGGGATGCACTTTTCATTGTTCCAATCCATTCCTTTTGTATTATATACATTTTCCTACTGTTCATTATACCATTATTACATCTTCATTTTATTCACTTACGCTTCCCGTGTTAATGCAACAAATAATTGTGGTAGGTTAAGATTTGTTTGTCTGAGTTGTTAATAAACAGTTTCATAACAGACTGTCCACTAAACTAACCCAATTTAGTATCAAGATGAATTAACAATTATATAGTAGCTTACTACCTATTACCAACATAATCCATCTAATATGTGTACCAAATAACTTAAAAATTTGATCTTTGTAATTACACTTAAGGAAAATGGTAGTTGAGAATGTCAACGATTTTCGATAAAATCCTATTCCGTAGTGTTACTTCTTATGTAATCCACAAACACCATACAACAATAATCATACCGGACAGTCAATATACCAACGATTAAGTATATAAGAACCTACGTTTGAAGGATATATGGGATTCTAAAAGACTCAATCAATATCAAAGTCAAAATCCCCAATACGAACGTCAAGTCAGTTCTACTATACCGAGCTGAAACTTCGAGAACTATCACAAACATCATCAAAAAGTACATGTATTTATAACAATTTTCTACTCAAGATATTCAATGTCCGTTGGTCGGATACCATCAGCAACAGCCTACTGTGGGAGAGAAGAACCAGTTTCCAGTTAAAGCGTAAACTAGGAAATGACGCTGGAGGTGGGTAGAACATACATCTAGGAAATAATCAAACTGCATCACGAGGTAAGCGCTAACTTGAAATCTTTAAGGGAAACGGAAAAGTGAAAGACCAAAGAACAAACTGTGTTACGGATTGAAGCAGACATAAAGAGAACGTATAGCAACTGGAAACAACTGCCAAGGACAGAGTATGCTGGTAGGCGGCCTATGCCCCTCTACAAGGGGTAACATGTATAAGTAACACAGTACATAATTAAGTGTACTCAAGAATGTGACTCGAGAAATTTAAACAACTAAAAGTCTTGATCCCACTGTTTATCTGACTAACTAACCATAATTAATGAATTAATTGGACATAATTATGCTTTTTCGTCTAATCGAAACCAGAGTTAAATTGTACGATTCAAAGTATACAGTGAATATATACAAATATAAGTTTACAGATTCAAATCTTTGTTAACTAACAATTTTGAAAATAAAAGTAAACATGCAAAAATACTTGATTAGTCATAAGTTATTATAATTATGTCATAGATCTACGACATTGTTCAAGTCATGCATCTTTATCATTCAGGACATAAAATATTAGTAGCAAACAAGAAATACATGTATATATATAATCATTGGGTTTGGAAGATAAAAAAAAGCAGGACAACTGGAAAAGTGGTTAATTAGAGTAGAGAAAAGACTGAAGCAATAAAAAAACCATCCGGTTAAAATTCAAGCAGTCGGGTTCCTTTGAATCCTGATTCTGTATGAATTGATTCTGAAATGAAAATGATTTATGTTAAGTAGTACATATATATATATATATATATATATATATATATATATATATATATATATATATATATATAAAGAATTCCAATTAGATAATTTCCACTGATATTTATGCATGACGTTAGAACTTGCGTTTAATGTGCCCATTTATTAACGATATATTTTTATTTATCGTCTTTTTATAATTATTTAAAATATCTTATACCCTTTTCTTTTTATGATTTCATCTTAAACATACAAACAACAATAATAATTTTAACTATCATGTTAAATATGTTGTTTCCGCTTGTTTTGAACTAAACTTCATTGATTTGGGTATGTATTAAAAAAAGTCTGGCGAGACGAACCAATCACGTATAAGATAACAGGCTTCGGATTTTGGCGCGAAATTCACTCACCCATTTGGATAAAACAGAGTTTTGTGATTATAACTGATGTCAGTTCGTGATGAAAACCCTAAATATAATTTCTAACCTTAATGAACAACTGTAAATCATAGTTTTGATTCCTCACACAGGTTTATAATCCTCACTTCGTCTTGGTTATTAGGTCAGTCTAGCGTCACTCAAAGGTCGTCCATAAATCATAGTCTCGCCAAACGTTTTTTTCTTACAATAATATTACCATTTCAATAGTTGAGATCATGAGTGAATTGAAGCCAGGCCGCCATGGAAACCTGGAAGTACTGGACGGCCATTTTGTCCCATTATGGGACTCCTCAGCAGTGTGCATCCACGATACCGCTCGCGGGACTCGAACCCGGGACCTATCGGTCTCGCGTGCGAGCGCTTGACCACTAGACCACCGAGCTGGCATCTAACGTTGTTAATTTCCAACTTCGACTAATCCACGAAATTGAGCGACACATCCATCTTTGTCATCAGTGAGTTCCTATCTCACAACTGACCCGGTTGAACTCCACTGGTCACTGCTCACTAGAACTCTAGGATGTACATCCTCAAGCCAGTCACTATTGAGCATATGTTGATTAGTATCAGAATGGGTTTTGTGGAGATTGTAGTAACTTCAATAGTTGAGATCATGAATCTAGTTTCAACTGACTCATGATCTCAACTATTGAAATTACAATCTCCACAAGACCCCTTCTAATATTACTATTGTCATCTTAGGTTGTTTGCAACTGGCGAGATGCTATAAAATACAATGAATTCATGTTATTTTGCAAATCTTGTTCTTTTTGCTTTATTTCAATTAAAAATTATTGTTGATAATAAAAAAACTAGTGGTTAATTTTATAAACGTGATTGATATGGTGACGATCAACCCTATAAATTTGAAAGTTTTTGAATAATAGAGAGTGAATAGAAAACACATGGAGAATAAATGATTAAATCTATTCTCAAGTTACTCAATAGCATATAGATTTTATCTGTTAAACCAAAAATTAGATTAACAAATTAATAGTTGGGAAAAATTCAAAACGTAAGTCAGTTTATCATTGTTATATTTTACAAATACACGTGACTGCAGAACAGCTATCAATATTTACTTAATTAAATATTCTGAAGTGATGAGATTATGAAAATTATTCTTACATAACATAATGATTTCATGAAGATAAATTGACTAATGCCAAAATGCTAAGACGGAAATTATTGAATATTAAAGTTTTTTTTGAAAATTGGTTTCTGTTAATTTCGTGGATTGGTTGAACTTAGGCATTAACACCATTGGATGCCGTCTTAGTGGTCTAAAGGTTAAGCGTTCGCGCGCGAGACTGATAGGTTCTGGGTTCGAATCCCGCGAACGATATCGTGGATGAGCACTGCTGAGGAGTCTCACAATAAAACGAAACGGTTGACCAGTGCTTCCAGGTTTCCATGGTGGCCTGGCTTCAATTTACCCATGATCTCAACTATTGAAATTCCTATAATATCCACAAAAACCCCTTCTGATATTAATTTATAATGTCATGTCCATTAAACAATGAATCCATATCAAATGACTATTATTTGTATAAAACTGAAATTTCAGAACTTTAAACTGGTCAATAAACTAGTAGATATTTTAATGTTACATTCTAAGCAGGATACTTTGTATGAGATTTTAGTGAAAGTTAAAATTGAGAATTCGGTAACATAAAGACTAATCATATGAATGTAGAGAAAAAAATTAGAATAATAGGATGACATGAATAGTAGAAGCATTTTTGGAAAAAAACTTACCAGAGTTTGATTTACATGGACTATTTGATTTCAACTTTTGTGTCGTTAACTTGAATGTACCATTATCAAAACTTGTTCGATTAGGATTCCATGTTGGATCATCTGACCATAAATAGAGAATAGTCTTGGGACAAATACTTAACTCTTGTAATGTTTTCGTATGGTCAGTAAGTTCTAGACCCTGAAAAAAAGTTAGCGATATTCATAAAACACAGGACCTTAACAGCTTTACATAATTTGTTGCATAAATAGGCTCAGATGTAGTTACAATAAGTCATCTGTTAAGATTTCACAAATTCACTGAGATTTAAATAAGGCAATTATTAGACACGAAAAAGAAGAACCTGAAAAAACTCAGAGTATAAAACCGAAAAATGTGGAATCTACACAGAGATAGGGAAAAGAGATTCATGTAATAAATAAATATTCTATAGAACACTAAGATATGATAATACATATTGCATCCTCTATTATGACCACATGACATTCTGCCAAGGAGCTAAGATTATTTAAATATCATTATTTAGTAGCGAAGCCGCAAGCGGCTTTGCTCGCCATTTTGATGGCGTCATGTAATTGCAACCAATGCTCATCTATACTTTTCGTGGGAGTGGTAGCTAGCCTAGAGGCTAGCTCGGTTCGATACTTACTTGCAACAGAAGTTGCAACCAGCTTGCTAATATCAATCCGTTGATGGCGGTCACTTCGTTGGCCACTGAAACGTAAGGCAAGATTGGCGCAGACCAAGGCATGGTCAGAGTCCAGATAGGTACTCCAAAAGGAGCGGCAGTCTTGTACACAATCACGCCAGCGGTAGCTGATCGCGATGTAATCAATCTGAGTCCAGGCTTGAGATGCAGAGGGAGGACGCCAGGTGGCACATTGGCGATGACTGTGCCGGAGGTTAGTGCTAGCCAGAAACAGGTTGCGGTCTGTGCACAGTTGCAGTAGACGGTCCCCGTTATCTGTCCTGCGACCAACAAGTCCCCTTCGGCCACCTAAACGATCCTCTTCTGTGCCTAGACGCCTGACATGAGCATTCATGTCTCCGGCTAGTACTACAATATCTGTCGAACGCACTTTCTGTAGAAAAACAGCTGGTGGAAGAATTCATCCTTGATTGCATCCGGGCTGCAATTTGTCGGGGCATAGACGGAGATGACGAAAAGACATCGTTTCTCATGCCGATTTCTTCTCACTTTGATGGAACTTTCTAATTTAACAGCACATAACCGACTATTAATGGGGATCCAATAGATTAGTGCTGCCTCAGTTCTAGCGCCTAGTGCGACACCAACGCCAGCACGACCAAACGAAGATGCCTCAGGGTCCACGGATAAACGCACGTAAAACAAGCTTTTTGAAGCGACAGATGGAGATCGAATTTGTAGTACTTCACCAGAGTCTTGAATACGGGTCTCGGATAGACAACAAACGTCGATATTAAGACTTTTCAAAGACATAGCCAGCCCTATCTGTTGTCCGACCTGCATAAGTGTGCGAACATTGAAGGTAGCCAGTTTGAATGGTGCATGTGGTTTCAGAAAAACTGCTTCAGTATTCGTATTTGGTGGTAGCATTCAATTTTCAACCGGACAGTGACTCGAGAACGTTTAGATAGAACCGAGTTTCCATCATAAGCGAGCTGCTATATAGGTCGAAAAATAAGGATACACAAAGTGGGAATAAAAGAGAGTGGATACGTGACATGGTAAATAATAATGTGAACTGTTTGACTGGTAATCGAAGCGTGAATAGGATTTCAGTAAATCTCGTCACTTTCATTTTATTTGTGTATGGGCTGTGATACTGCCCGGGTGCCCAGACCGAAGCAGGGGCTTTTCTTAGGGGGCCACACCTCGAGCATTTGACCTAGAGGTCTGACCCACAAGGTAGTGGAGCATCGTAAATGAATAAGAATTATAAATGAACAAGAATAAATCATATTATGGCATTTTTCCCCTCTACAAAAAAAAAACACTTTGGAAACATGATTTCAATTGTGATAAAGTAATTTACAAAATAATAATTATAACCTTACATTTGACATAATATGTTGATCGGAAGGGATAACACCTAAATTTTGCATAATTTGTACTTTCACATTAAGAAGAGTATCACTACTGTTCACTTTGATCAATAAATCTTTAGGATTAAAACGTTGACGTGAAGAACGTCTAATATAATTTGTAGATGAAGACTCTAAATGTTGATTAGATAATTGACTATTTGTATTATCATAAAGCACATGTTGATGCTGATGATTAGATGATAAAGGTAATTGGTCTATTACACTAGTTTCATTAACTGATGAAAGACGTGGAGTGATATCTTTGCTAACAGAATTGGATAATTCTAAATTATTACATCGTTTATTGAAATAATCTTTTATTTCTCTCACATTATCCATTTCCTAAATAAAGAATTTTTCAACAAAAGAAAACACGATAAGAAGTACAAGAGAAGCTCATAATGTTACGTGAATTTGAAAACCTTTGTTTCTTTGATAAATTTAGATAATAACCAATGAAAAGACGAAGTTTATCAGAACAATTTAGTATACTAAAGTAGTGCATTTCAGACAATTCGATCACATTGACTTGTAAATGACATAAAAATTCCCAACTCCCCTCAATGTTCAAAGGCAAATATATTCACGCCAACCTATCCTTGTAGTATTGTTTTGTTATTCAGAATGGCGTGGAGCGATGGGCTGCTAATTATAGCGTATAATTTTCAAACCTTAAGTACCAAGTTCGAATCCCGCACATCCTACTTCGGTTAGGGCAACCAAGTAGTATTATTGGTCCCAACACTTACAGTATGGCTTATACTCAGTTATCTGGTAAGTCAGTCAATTAGTTGATTTTTCTAGAGTGCTGTGGTTCATATTGTTTTGCTCCTTATTTTCTTTTATCTCACAGTTTGTCTGGTTTGAACTTTTATTTCCCATAGATAAATATCTTTACAAGTTAATGTGCGGTTCGATTGTTTGAAACAAACTGTGGTGATATATCATAAATAAGATTCATCTCATTGAGTTAAAACAATTGAAAAGTAAAAAAAGATGGAAGCTGTTAAATTTATTGTTAATGTATATTTCAATTTTCCTTTTCAAGAATTAGAATATTTAGGGTATTTTAAGAAAGTTTCACTTATAACCAGAATAGTATTATAAACATTAAAGAAAACAGATGTTATCAAACAAGGTATCGTTTATAGTGGATGACTTTAGTCGAAAAAAATCATAATTGGGCACTGAATTACATGTGACACAAAATATTTACAATTTTATTTAGGAAAACCCTAAAATTATTAAATAATAAGTTATAAAGCAGCACGATTATTGCTAAAGCAACGCAGTTTGCTTGTAATAGCACATACGGAGACTTATTAAACACGATATTAATGGTTAGTTGGCGTGGAGAGCACGTAAACTAACCACGCTGAAGTTTGCTTCCTTAGGAGTTACGACACTAATGTTGACAAAACATGGGGTTCCTTTTCGTTAAGTAAAATTTTACAGCCCCTTATCCCCATGCCGCATACCTACCATAAAGCATTCGAGTATTGTACTTGAAAGTCTGACATACGGTGCAAATACTAATTTCGGATCGACTGTCAAAACCCATGTCTGTGTTGCACCAACCTGATCAGAATTGTTCGGAATTATGATGTCAGTTGTTGGTTGAGCACAAATTTCTGTGTCAGTTTGAAAATCCTGTGGCACACAATTCAAGGATTCCTGAACAGAGGTGAGTTTTGACTGGACGCAACTACTTAATGCTTCATCGAATCCAGATACCAGACGTATACGGATTCTAGCATTATTAAAAATCTGATCACTGATTATCTCAGGTTGACAATTTGGGCATAAACTGCCATAAGATGATGGTTCCAATCTCCACTTCAGTTCAGAATCATTCTGTGGAAGTAAATACATCGGTGGATAGAAAGTTATTTTTGTCTCCGGTCCATCATGATCCAAAGGTATTTCGTTTTCCTTAAAACGATGGGGATATGCGTGAGACAAGACATCCCATTCATAAAAAGTTAAGGGACACAATATTGACTCATTTATAAGAGCATGCCATGTTTTTAGCATCTGAAATTAATTATTAAAAACAAGAAAACAAATGTTAGAAATGAATTGCCGAAAAAATGCAGTAGAATATATATATATATATATATATATATATATATATATATATATATATATATATATATATATATATATATATATAAACAACTAAAAGTTCGCTTCAAATAATGAAGATTAAATTAAACTATGAAGCGGAGCAAAAAACGATATATATATTTCAATAGAAATGGGTATAATTGTATATGAGGATTTTATATTGATCTTATGTCTGTAGGATGGTGAATTTAACTGATTACAGAAAAGAGGTAACTGGAGGACTAAAGGAATTTGTACTCTTTTGGTTGAAACACCTATTAGTGATACCGTTATATCCGGACAAAGAATAAGTGAAAGGTAACGGCTAGGATCTATTTATGAATTATTGTTATGTATATTCTTTTGTATAACTATTAAGTAACCATATCATATGTATATTCATATTCCTTTTATTATGGATTTTATTTGAACTATTGACTATTATTATATGATTTACTATTCTTAAGATATTTTTCATTTATTAGTAACAGTCTGTCAAAGTCACTTTCTGGCTTGATCTTTTACGATTATTATTTTCTGTTCTATAGTATGACGCGGTTTGGTTTGTTTCTATATAAACCCAGTATGTTTAAAATATGATTCGTATAGCGGAGGCTGATATCGGCGTCCTGGTTTGAACCGGCTGGGTTGGGAGAGAAGCTACTATCTCAGAGGACCAATAGGAACTTCAGGGTGCTCGTACTGGTTTGTGCATCATTGGTTTGGTCGTATAAGTCGGTGTCTAATAGGCGACCTCATCACGTGTTATATTCGCAGGATATAACAGATGCCATTAGTGATGTTATTCTTTAGCTTTTGATTAAATGTGTGCTAGTGAAGTCGGTACTCGATGCGTAACCAGTGTAATTCTTCACACAAGGGTAGTGATAAAAGTCTCTGTATCGTTAGTCATAAACAACGTAGTACCCAGTGTAAGAACATATAAACTCATATTGATCCACTAAATCACCACAAAACGATAAATAAATGAGTGAATAGCAGTGAGAAACAGTAAACGTTGAGAATATGGTTAGATAAGGGACGAAATAAAAATATATAATAATACTTAATCATAAGTTCTAGAGAAAGATAAAGAATGAATCTATCCGCGCCATTGTGACTGGCTTAGAACGATGTCATCCGAGTTCTCCGACAACTGATCACCAAGCAGGTAATTTACATCTACCCACATGGTTTAGACAGACAGGTAGTAATTAAATGGACTAGCGTTACATATCGGTTTGGGTTCTGTTAGCCTTTTTCAAAACGAATCCTACACTAGTTTCAAGGTAGACGGCGGCAAGTGAACTTGTAGAAGAGTAACGGGGAAGCTTATTACGTATGAAACATTTGATAGTATCCTCGCAGGCACGGAGTGAAGTAGTGGCTGGTTAGGCTACGTATGACATTTCTGGAGATAGTTTGCAATAAATTTTGTCCAGAGCTATGTAATTAGGTCTGTATGTGTGGTCGAATTATGATATACAGTATACCTAGTGAACAACAGAATAATTTGTACATGGCACATTGTATAGTTGACTGATAAGAGAGGACGAGTTCTGACTAAATGTGCTGTTAATCAATAATTTATTCGATTAATTAAGAGACCGATAAGAAGAGAAACGGTAGCAGTAAAACAAGGATGGAAGACTTTCCAAGCTGATATTGCAACGACCTTCCCAAATCTTTTGGTAACGAAATAAATACACCATCCTTTCCCATGAACAAAGAAAGATTTAGATGCTCGTGCCACTTTTACCTTAAATACTTCATTTTAAAAACTTTATATGTTGCCAGGTACAGATCATTTTAATTGGAAATTTCCATTTCATGAACCACTGGACAAGCTAACAACATTATTAAAATAGCTTATTTAAGAGCTCATCATTACTGAAAATTTTAGTTCGAATTGAAACATTTGAACTGACTAAATGACTGCTTTCTTCTTCCCGACAACTGTGTCTGCGTGTAGCCATTCTTGAAATATATGCAACAATTAATCATGGCATTTTCTAATATTTGACTCTTTATGCAAATATCGAATAACAAGCAGATTTAGTTGGGATTCTAGAAATCAATACTACTAACGCATATTATGCATATGAGCTTTACTTGTGAAGGATAAGTGTACCAACAGATTGTTTTGACCTAGAATTCAACAATTCAGAATGTTTTAACCATTCATTCGTCGATTTTCAGTAGACTATATACAAAATAGATTACTTATCCAAGATGATCCCATTTCATGTCGATCTGTTTGCTTGATAATAATAATAATAATAATAATAATAATAATAATAATAATAATAATAATAATAATAATAATTAACAATAGCATGTGAAAAGGTGTACATGGGTATGCTTATTATGATCATTTAAATAGTTTTCATTTCATTGAAAGAAAATCAAACAATAGAGAGATGTGACAATTAATTCATTACTTGGCCATGTTCACAAAGCACGCCATCTGAGTTAAAGCCAGATAATAGCGAACTAGGTAAATTATCTGCTGTTGGATTTCGAATAAATTTTCTCCATTGTATAATAAAATTCATTGGAATCAAGTAAAGAACGTTGGTATTTAAATTATTTAATTTCTTATCGGTATCTGTAGAATGACCGTTTAAATTTTCTGACTTAGAATTATTGACCCTACAAATAAATAAGCGACATTAGTAACTAAAAATGTATTAGAAAAGGTTATATAAATGACAAACGTTAAGGTTAATAGTTAGTTCCTGCTTCGGTTTGGACACCCAGGCAGTATTACAGCCCTCACAAGAATCAAATGAGATTTGTGTGGCGCATATGTATTTGGTACCTCCTTGTACCAATATCTATGTGTTAAAATAAATAATAGTTAGTTAGAGGTAGTCGCTATTTTTGGTTGGTTAAATCTGAACTTAAAATTGAGACGATTTACCTGGAAGAAGAATGTACTTCATTCACAAAATTTTTAAAAAAAATCCACTGATACTTACGCACATCAAAGAACTAAACTAAATTTATAGGTAAGTGAAGTGAAATCATCATCATGGGAAATAATAATTTATTTTATCAATTTAAAAAAAGAGTGCAAATTACCCTTCAAAGTTAAATTTGCATTCGCTTAAAGTGTCTTCTTTTATATTTACAGCTGTATTTACTGTTTGACCGGTAGAGTGTAAAAGTCGCATACGTTGAACATTTGACAAGAATAAGCCAGGAAGCATTTGACGTTCACATAATGCTCGTTTTGTCAAGTCATTTTGTACTGCGTTACATTCAGAACAAGATGACTCTGATTTATTGAATATACTAATGGAATTGATAGATGCATTATTGTTATTGTCATAAGGAATATAAATAGGGAATGTAGGAATCTTTACACCAGGAAATAAATCGACTAATTTATGCCAAAGTACGGCTGGTAAATAACGTGTATTTTCTGTACAAATTTGACCGTGAGGACAAAGAATATCATGATTAAATGTTGTTTGTGTATGATGGCCAGTTGTTGGTGACTTAGAATCATCATCATAATCAGAGTAAAAAGCTCGTGTGAAATGACGTGCAAGAGTTTTCCATTGACGAAGAGATCTCTTACCAATTAAATAATATCCAGGTTCAGGATTCAAAGGAATTGAGTCTGTCTTTAAAAATTTAAAGGAATATATTAGCATAAACTTAAAAACCAGAGATGATAGTAATAAACTATTTTAACAATGTATTTTTGGAAATCCGAAGCATTTAAATGAAGTACAGGCTCAAGTCCCACAGATAGCCAGTGATACCATCTGACTGCTTAAACCAAAAGTAGGTGAGACAAGTGGTTGAAAATTGCAATCATATTTATTTATTTGAACACAGATATTGAGACAAAGGGGCACCGAATACATATGTACCACACAAGTCACTTGAATTGTATGTGGGCTGTGATACTGCCCCGGTGCTCAGACCGAAGCAGGTGGTTTCCTTAGGGGGCCACACACGGAGCATTCGACCTGGAGGTCTGATTTACAAGGCAGTGGAGCAACGTCAGGAGATGCAGTCCCATGGCATCCAGTGACCAATAATTGGTTCATATACCATTTGTTCCCTCAGGATCCTGGAGCCCATGTACCCCATTGACTTAAAATCAGGGTTTGCCAACTCCCCTATGTGGAACAATATAAATTGAAGTTCATACACTTCGAATGAACACAGAAAATAGTAGTAATCTGTTTGGATGTGTCGCCAAGATCACTACTAATTCACTTTCCTTTCAAGGTACCCCGAAAAGTATCCTTCCACAGTGTGAGCAGCTGGGAAGTGACAACTTCCCATACACGTCTAATAGTACAAGAGGTCTAAAGCATAGTCAAAAAAGGAATGTAGTTGTATCGCGTTTCTAATCTGTTAGTATTAAAATGAATTAAATCCCAAGGAATATGATAAGCTTGAAATACCGGTGATTAAATATGCTAAACTATGACTTAATACTATACTTAATGTTCGGCGATCAAGCCTAATTTATCATATTCAAAAGAATGCAAAAAAAGGCGAAACATGCAATTATAACTTTAAACTGAGTCTCATAAACAACAAGAAAGACAAATTATTGTACCTGAACGTCCCATGTAAAGTAATTATTGATAAATAAAGTGAAAATTATACTTATTACCTTAGAGTTATTGAACTAAGATTTGACTAGGTAACTAGCTAAAACAATATGTCAATAAGTTTACTAAAATACACTAGCGAAACGTTCATCAACTAAACAGTAGATAAAAAATCATTAGAGAATCCATGGAAAGAATCACATATTTCAGTAATTTAAAAAAATATAGATATTTACCTTTTGACTTTGAAGACGTTTATAATATGAGGAAGACAAATGATTAGTTTTTATAAAATAGTCCAATTCTTTAGATAATTCTTTAATTGCATTTTCAACTTTTAATAATGCGATATTTAGTGTAATACACTTTCGACACGGTTGAAATCGATTAAACCTTGAAAACAATTATTAGATGATAATAGACTTATATAAGGAAAATAGATTTTCATAAAAAAGAAGTATTCTAGAAAAGATATTTTAAGTTGTATCATGTTATAAGGATGCTTTTCTATTCTTAACCTGTCAATTAAAATGAACGAATATTTTAAGATCTTAATAGGCTACAAAATAATAATCTCTGTAGTCTGAAAGCACGACACAACCTAGAGCTTGAGCGTCCACACGCGAAACCAAAAGTCTAGGGTTTGAATCCCGTGCGCGGGATCGTGATCGTCCCATACTAGGACGAAACGGCCGTCCAGTTCTTCCAGTTTTCTAATGGTGGTCTAGCTTAGATCGACTTGTGAATCCAACTGTTAAAAATACTACAATCCCCACAATTCCCCTTACTGAAAATAATGAGCTTTTAACAAAAGATTACTTGTACACTATGAATAACAATAATAATAAAGATGATATCGTTATAAGACAAAACTGTGTACCTATCATCTTCAGATTGAATGGCATCAAATGATTTTGGGAAGAGAATCTCAATAAGCTTCTTAAGACCTTCGCTAGAAACAGCTCTGTATGAACCTGCAACAAGATCTGTAGGAGCATGGCCATGTGAACAGGTGCGTAAGGTATAAGATGATTGATTCGATAAAGAAGAGGGAAATATGTAGTCTCTGAGTTTTGAAAGCGATTTTATCTGAGCATCAGTTAAGCATGCATCTCCCAATAACAACGGATTATTAAGGCAATCACATAACCACGATGTTGATACCAAAGATACATTATCGAGAGGATTTATTGATATTGAAGTACTATTATTCGGTGATGAATTGATAGGATCAGGTAATTTCAGGTTGGATAGTATTTCAAGTAATTGATTTTTACGATTTACCTGTCAGAAGAAAAAAATTGTCGTTATGTAGATAATTGAGGAATACTGAACATTATCTTTGTAAAATGGCAATCGTTACAAATAATCCTAGTGGTTTATGCATTTCTCTGGAAAGACAAATAAACACCAACCTGTTATTAATTTAATATATATCCTAAGAATATTGCTTTGCAAAGTAGGAAAGCATATCACAACTGTTAAAAATAACTCGCAAAACCACATCTTTACTTCAATATGTGAAACATGAAATTACAAATGTGCTCAATGAATCGAAGTTGATATCGATAATTAAGCAGTTAATGAAATGACAGTGTTACTTACTAAGTCCATCGATGCTGAAATCTTCAAAAGTAACACACAATTAATGATAGTCACTATTTTCTTGTAAAATACATATACTAGGTTCTTACTTTCTACTATTTATATGAGCACAGAAGCATATTTATGTAAAGTTTCAAAATAGCACGGAATAGCTATGCATTCCAAGGCAAATAAAGACAGATAAGAAAACTAGACTGAAGTTTAAATGATAATTAAACTAATATTTATTTGAAATGTTTGGTACTTTAAACAATAATCTTTACTTATTCAAATTGATCAATTCATTAGGTACAAAGAAATAAAGATTAAGATTAATACATTACATTCTATTTAGTCATGATTTATATTTCTTTAGACACCTAATTTCTCATAATACATTCGTTGGCGAAAAAAATCCGTTCGCTGAATTTCGGGTTTTGAATTTCCTAATAAGAAACATAAATTTATCAACTAACACGTATAGCCAGGAGAAAATTTTGCAATGACATACTTTATTTTGTTGTTCAGATAGAAGCTTTTGTTGTTCAGTTAAATTTACTTCTTCAATTGTTTTGCGTAAGTCACTAGGAACTGTAATATCTATAAGGAAATAAAAATGGAAATATACAAATAATTATGAAATTAGTCAAATATAAACTAATTTTAATTTATACATTAATAAAAAATTCAAAATAACTAATAGTAAATTGTTATTATGTCATTTATGTAAAATTATCTTTTAAGTGCAATACGGACACTTTTGTAAAACATACTTTCTTAGTACACACCAAGTAGTCTGATGGTTACATTTTTTCAGTTCTTGAAAGATATTTCTTTTAAAAAAATATTCATTTGCCAGGCACAGATTACTGTACTCGGCTTTGAGTCACATTCTAAATGTGAGGGCTAGAGTGAAACTAATCAGTTGCTGAAACCGGAGTAGGTGGAGCGCGGTTCAAACCCACTTCATAGTGACTGAAACTCAACCGCTCCTGAGGGATATGACTTGCATTGTGGTTAAAGATAGAATTAGTGACTACCATATGGAATCACCTGAGTATACGTTCTCTAATTATGTATGCTATACTTAATACAACGTGCCAACATGCACGTCACCTTGATAAATCTTAGATGAACAAAAAGAAATTGAGCGATAAGTTGTAAACATATAATGACTAAAGCGAAGTTTTGTTTACGAAGCACTACTTATAACGTAGGAAATAATGATATGTATTGAGAACTACTAGTCTATTTTGATACATACCTAAAATAGTAAAAGGAGCTAAATGTAGCAAACACCGAAATAACTGAAACTTCAACATTTATAGTTGATAGGTCGTTAAGTTCGTTTATAAGTTGATAAGATTGCCCATGAAGCGAAACTGTGTCACAATAATTTTTGAGTATAACGAACAATCTTAACGTTAATACATCAATTTCATATGACAAACCATAGTTTAAATTAGTATAGTTCGTAATCTCCTCAAGTCACGAATGGCACGTGTTACGCAAATAATGTGACATCTTAACAATGTGTGACTTTTAACAGACAATTAAACTGACTTTGAAAAGCGTAACAACACCCAGCTTAAATGATACGTAACTACAAAGATACTTATGTTTAAAGTGTTATGCTTAATTTTGTACAGAAAATATGCTAAAGAACACTTGGCTTATTCGAACATAAGTAATCTATATATTTGAAAACTTAGTTTGAAATGGCTATGAATAAAACAGAAAGGTATTACTAACAATCATGCAAACTCAAATATGAGATACAGAATTATTCGTAGAGAGTGAATCACTCCTACATTTCGATAACTACTGCCATCATTCTTTTACTTTCCGAATACTTCTTCTGTAAATATACATTATTTTATATTTGTGATATTTGATTCAATTATGTGCTCACCAATGACTAATTTCAAGAGATGATTCCCCGAGGTTCTAGTGAGAATCCATGACCGGTGGAGTTCAACTATTTCAGGTGTGTGGCAGTTAATTAGCAATGAATGAAATTGAGAGATGGTTGTGAAATAACACAAATAAAATAAGATTCAAAAGATAAACAAGTAGATGTTGATTCTGTTATTAAAAGGTAAGGGCCCAGTAGAAGGCTTGTATGTCTTGGGTTCGACCCCCGTTAAAGTTTTGGGTATATACTGCTGAGTCTCACACTAGGACAGGAACAGCTATCTAAAGTTATTTGATTTTTAATGGCTGTTTTACTAATGCCAGTTAGTGACGTAGTTGAATCTATGATGTACATAGAAACTATAAAAAGAATTCACATAGTAAACATCAATTGTTATACGAAAGAATATACGAATTATACTACCTTCATCCATATTACAATTATCCACCGATTCATAAAATACCATATACGCATTAGTTGAACTATGCCATAAATCGTCCTGTGACATACACTTAGAAGTTGTAGAATCTCTACTTTCATTAAGGTCAGTGAAACTAAGATCATTTGAGGAAGTATCATGACGAGGTTTTTTGGCTGCTCTACGACTAGAACACTTTTCAGAAGATTGATCAGATTTAGTAAGGTTTATTGATGAATCCGATGTTTCAGTAGTGGCTAGATAGCTTTGCAATGATTTAGCTGATCCGTTAATTTTTGCTAATTTAAATTGATTTGACGGTACGTTGAAGACCTTGAAAAAAAACAACATACGTTCTGTATTCATTATATGAGAGAATTGAAAATGAAGTAGAAATTGGTGTATAATTCGGAAAAAGCTTATTTAAATACATAACGAGTGCACAGAGTGAATAATTTGACGGTTGAAACATATGAGTTCCAATAATTGAGACATATTATTAAACCCGAAAACATATTATCTAACCTGGAAAAAGAAAATCGTACCCTTATGCTGAATAAATGGGAACTGCACCTAAATACTGAGTTCGTTTGCTGGGCGCTTATTTAAACTGTTAAAAAAGTGCATTAGATGTGTCAGATTAATATGAAATCCAGTTAAGATACTAAGTGATTTAAATTGAAATAAGAAAAAAAGGTGAATAACTATGTCTGTCGATATAAGTAGTACGTAACACCAATAGGAAGTGGAAAACCTGGCAGCAGAAGACTAAGCATATCGAGCTGAAGAGAACAAATACGGATATAGAAGTGAATTGCGAATTGAAAGAATCGTACAGAATGTAAAGGACAAAAGATAGAAATTTAGAAATGAAGTATTTAATGTACGCTTTCCACAATTTACCAAAGAACTCAATAATTGTGTGTAAAATACAAATCAGTCGTTCCCACCTGTGTTCTTGTTCACAACACTTACATCTATATCATTGCAAACACTCCAACATTCATTTGATTTTAAAGAAGGATCATCTTCAGTACTTGATTCTGTGTTTTTATCACCTGATAAATTGATTCTTTTGTAAGAATCTCTAAGAACAGCTATATAATGTCCTGATGTTGGTTGGTTGCCAATATGTAAAAGTACACCACAGAGACGATATGAGCGATGACATGGATCTGAAATAAATATAAAATTACTATATAAATGGTAGTTTATTAGCAGCAAACTCAATATTACACTTAATCAGTCATATGCAATATAGAACTTGACTTATATATGTGCCTTGAATCAAGTTCTCACACGACATTAGCAGAAAAAGGCTGAACTTAACAAGGCAAATACCAGAGTAGAAGTAGTAACAGTATCAGTAGTAATAGAAACGATTAGGTATAGGAGGGGAAAAAGTACAGGGTTTCGAGGCCCAAGAGGGAAAGAAAGAAACAGAGCTAATGCATCAGTGCCATTGAGGTAGATGATGGCTGGGGATATGTACCACACAACACGACCATCTCGGTCGATGAAGATTCACAATTTCATCAACCAATTTCTCGTACTTACTTAGTGCCCGATGTCTAGCACACCACTGCCCACTTAGCTGTCCCAAAATACACGAGCGATGGTTTGGAGACATTTATGAAAGGATATAAGTAACTTAAGAGTATCCATTCTTAATGGTCATGCTCCACGCCTATAAAGTAGAACAGAGCGAAGTGTTGAACATTAAAATCATCCTTCGATTGGTAGATGAACATTTCACCCACGCTACAAATGGTGCAGCTTTGGAAAAGCCAGATGAGTTTTCAGGATTCATGCCGAGATTTGGTTAGACATCAACCCACAAGGGGTGACAAGACCAATATAAGTGAAACGAAGAATGAACAAGTACATTGAAAACGTACCAAGTATTGTTAAAATTACGTGATATTTAATTTATGAAAAGTAATCCATTTACGAAGCACAGATTTATGTACTTGATATTGAGTTACAGGTTTTCTACGACGTGAGAACTAGGGACAATAATGTCTAGCCATTGACATCAAATTAAGATTAACCTGGTCAGAACTTGTTACTCTATTGTTTCAAAACTCAGTGATTTGATCATTAGATTATTTATTACAATTTTAGTTAAATAATTTAACAAAATTTTATTATTTGATAGATTTCTGACTAAGGAAACTAATAAAATAATCAACATGTTCTAAGTAGTATAAAATTTGTGAAAACAGGTATTGTGCAGGTGCACAATAAAATGTTAACAAAATCTACCACAATGGCAATTTGACGCTTTCATCTATATTTTGTTGTTAAAATTCTATTGTACTAACTTGATGAGTATGATAAGAATAGAGAAATAAGATGGAAATTACAGGTTTGATGGATTGGCATCACCATCTACTGTATCTCACATGACATCATACATTATGGTTTGATTTTAAGCTACTACGCAGCAGGTTCAAAAGCTGCTCCAGCTAATATGGTTTGGAAAACCGAATAGTATCACCAGCTCTCAAACCTACAGTGTAGTTCAAAGTCAAGTACCTGGTTGATGAGTTGATAATGATGATAAATTATCTACATGTATTTTTCCTGTATACTAGAAGTTAATGGTTACGACTGGTTTGTCAAATACAGGTTTATGTACACGGTTTCGGGCAACACTGTTTGTATATAACAGCCAACCTAAACCGAAAAAAGTGGAGCGGGGTTCAAACTGGTGATGTACTGGTTCAAAGCCAAGAAACTTAACGAACTAAGCCACTGCTCTATATGAGTCATGTCCATATTCTTAACTTGGTTATTAATATTGTAAGGATTTGATCGAACGCTTCTGACACAGACACATAAAGTCGTATTATTTTATATTTAAATTCCATTATAATGCAAAAATTGGTTTAATAAATAAAAAGTATGTCATTTCAGTACTTATATATATATATATATATATATATATATATATATATATATATATATACAACTATTTTATAAAACGACAATAAATAATACCTGAATCTACACTCAAACATTCCACAGAATGTTCACAATTCAGATGTTTATTACTTTTTGGATTTTCAACAACTTTTGTCAACTCAAGAAGATCAGGCAGACGAATAGAAGCTTTATACTTTTTACGTTGACCAGTGTTTGAATCGTAGGTGAATCTAAGCAACTGAATGCATAACAATGGTGGAGCACGTGTTATATAGGCTCTCCTAATACCATCTCGTTTACAACCACACTGTGAACAAGCATACTGATTGTCGCCAACTAATTGTTCTTCCTATAGAAAACAATAAATATGATGAATTCAGTAGACGGAAAAACAGCCAACGATGACGACATTGAATTAACAAATTAAAACAATAAGATCAGAAAATAGGCAATCGAGGAGAGATTAACTTTACATGAACATTCATTCATCCATAAGAAAATATGCACATACTCATAGAGGGCCATCATTTTTTAAAAGTTTATAACCATTCATGGTGGATTCGGTAACTTATCAAGTTAAAGAGCTTTTTGAGTTAATCTAAGTGGAAAGCCTCAATATTAATCAATGATAAAAACCGATTTCACTCGTTATTTGGAATCCTCATCTAAACCAACGTAGGACTTCTTTAAAAAGGACATATTCAGATGAAAACCGTGAATATCTTCAAGTTACACAATAACAACAATATTTGGTTTGTTCAGTATCATAAGTCTAAATACACAAAAGGATTTTCAGCAGAAAATATGCAAAATTGCAACCAAATTCCTGTTTTATAAGCATTAAGTTTGTGAATATTAAAAAATATGTATAAAAAGTCTTTAAACATCCATCAGAATGTAATTATATTCAGCCACATATGTCTATGATCAGTCTTGCCTCATCGTACCTCTTTTTTCATCGCTGAATACACTTGGCGTACGAATTCCATGGTAATCATCTCTCGTTTCTCCGAATAACAGGGGGAATGGAACATAGTGGAATGCGTTATCCGCAAATCCGGAAGTTCCTGGATCCGCATTGCTGAGGAGTCACAAACTAGAACGATACAGCTGCACTATTGTCTTATCTCGATACATTTTTACTGAACTAATAACAAGATATAATAAAGAGCAATCCATATATATATGCTAGCAACCTTGTAGAGTACATGGAATATGATAGATTCCTAACAAAAGACATCAATAGGGTATACTTTCGAAAGAATGAACTTTATGCTTTTTGTGCAAAAGAATCTTAATTAGCAATCAGAGGATGACTTTACTTGACCCATGCATTTAATCACTGCCAACTTAAAGTGTTTATATATGTAGCTAAGATAAAAATAAACATCACCTTTAAATAATCCCGTATACAATCTGGAAGTGACTTTGAAGAAACTTTCAATGATAGTTCTAAAAACTTTGAAGGTAACCGAGATGTGAAACCGCATTTCAGACAGCTAAAAGCAAAAATAAGTATAGAGAGAAAAGATCTAATTGGCTAAAGTAAATATCATACAAACGACGTTATGGAAAGATCAGTTGGAAGCGTTAAATACACAATATAAAGATTAATAACAGGGGTGGCGAAGTTAGAAACTTACTGATCATTAGTTGCATTACTTAAATACAATCATAGAAGCTTAAGTGGTGATAACGATTTTGTTTACACTCCACTTATTTTTGGAATTTTCTTGTATCACTGAAAAGTTTTCATACAACTTGGTTGCAGGATTATATTGAAAATTGCTCCAGAGCTCAGTTGTCAAAAGCTTGAATCAAGGATCATTTTAAGAACAGAGAAAACCTGATCAATACAAAACGACACCAAATTCGACCAAGCATGAAAATATCTACGACAAGAATATAAGTTATTGACAAACATAGGAACAAAAATCAAACCAATGGGAGATACAACCAAAACAAAGAAGTAAACAATGACAAGTTTAAGGTCAACAAAAAACAATCAACACCGAGGTGTACAGGACAAGCTGTGAACCACATGTAGAGAAATTCGAACACTTCACTTCTACCTGAAGTTTGTGCTGATGCTGTCGTTCAGAAGTACTATGAAAGTTCCACGACCAAACCATCCAGATCAGAGAACAAAACTCCATAAAAACCATCCACCTTGGCTACAAATCTCCACCATCTCAAATTATTAGCAATAATTCAGTGATAATCTGAGAAGCAGCAAAAATGACCGTCGGAAATCCTTCAGTGCCATTAGAAATTTAGAACTAAGTAACCAGCAGAATAACTTTGTCAAAAGATGTCTAAATTATGTAGACTAGAGGATGTAACAACAAAAGAGAACGAATTCAACATCAATTAAAGAGGCGTTACACTAAACAGTATTCCCATCTACGCATTTGTGAACATAGATTAATAATCAAACTCCAAGAAATATTATCCGTATTGACAACCACGCACAAACGTTTGGGCAGCAAGATATCACAGATTTTGCATAGTAAAACCAAAAATGATAGAGAAACGATAAGAACGTCGAATATAATAAATAACTTCAAATTAATCTCCGATCAATCAGTATGATGACTTGAACTACCTATCAACAAACTATTTGGAAATAAACCGTTTCCCAAGAATTGGACCCGAACAAGCTTGAAAAAGATTTTTTAAGACGCTACCCGAATTTTTAAAACATCCTTACATAGCTAAACTCCGGGCATCGAAAGTTGTATCCCTAAGGGCTGGTTTTCAAGATCATCATTAAATTTCTAAGAATACCTACATGTTTCTCACTGTATTATTGTCGACAGGGTGGTAATAAAACGCCTGATTTATTTGTGTTCTCAATTTTTAGGGGCTGGGTCAGAGAGTTAATTGGACAGTAGTGCAAGGTTCGGCTGAAAATTATGTGCGTCATTATATCATTATTTCAAACTCAATAGTCTACAACTAGGTCATAACAGATAAAATAAAGGCTAATCAAGAACAGGATAAAAGACCGTTCTAAAGAAACAGACGATGAAAATGCAGACACACATGAACATTAATAAAACTTCTGAGGTCAGCCAATCAGAAATAATATTATTGAGGCAAATTGATTTGATAATTGTGCAGATCTGCTTCTATTAGAGATTGGTATTGATGATATTATCTAAACTAAAGAAAGCTTAACAACCAAAATTTTCAGGTTAAACGTTGACGTATAATCTAAAAATTATATTCCATTCAACCCTGATGTTCATTAAATATAAACTTCATCAGGCATTGCTATAATGTCCTTACATTCAATTACCATCTTCGAACTGTAAATTAATGTTAAAGGATAAGTGAAAGCCTGTGTTTGTAGTCAGCTTCAGCCACAAATAACTGGAGGTAGTCAAAAGGTTTGAGTGTCTGGATAAACGTACGTGCTGATAATTTATATCAGATGAAGTCACAAAGGCATATGATAATTTAGACTATATTTAATCCTGTCGGAAAATTACTTTGGATGTAAAATATTGGGTTAGAAATGAACTTGGTTCTGAACGCTTATGAGACAGTGTTTTAAAATTGTTGTTCGATAGGTTTTATTTTCAATTACCACAGCCCCAATATTATTTTTGATGCTTTTACACATACATATATCAACACGAAACTGAGTAAGAATCAAGACAGCACGTTACTAAAACAGTAGCAATTACAGCAGATATTAATAGTAGAATAGTATTCAAATAAACTGAATGAGGCGTGTTTAAGTACAAAGGAAAGAAGAGAAACAAATTGGTGCGATTCCCGAAGTTCATGGAAAATAAGAATGGATTCGTATTGAGTTTCCATCATGTCGTTTAGGATCTTTAACCATTAATGCCAAACCAACTGCTGGTCCCAATCCAGAGACTTAAACAATAACTGTATGGGTAATAAAAAATCGACTACTAACTCTGAGAAATTCAAAGACACTAAACAACTTAGTTGTTTCGATTCAGTAACTATTCTACTTTCACAACGCTAACACCAGACTCATAATGTTTACCTTACAATTGAGCCACATAGCATAGAGAACGAAAACTTTGACAAATTCATCCACCCAGGCAACAACTTTTCTCCTCCATTTCAATACTTTACCATTTCACCAAGAAAAAGTACAACATTAATCCATAGAATTGGGTCACCATAAGATTGTACACTGATTTAACGGTCTCGATAGTATAATTGTAACCTCAAGTAATACATATAACATTAAATCATACGATACCTTCACAGTTCTGACTGTAGTTTGTCGAATTATTGATTAGTAAATTTTCCAATAATGAAGGATCTTTGAAAAACAAGAAGAGACGTTGAATAAAGTCGCCCAGTGGAGAACATTTCGCACAGAAATAAAGAATGCATGAAATTAAACACTTTTTAAAGAAAAATATCAACTACGCAGATCGATGATGAACAGAACAACTAACCACCAGTGCATATACTCTTTTATCCTCTTCTCTACTGCTTAAATCAATAGTGTAAACTACTATTATTAAAATTGTAGTGTTTGAATAGAAACAATAGATTGTAGTTAGACGAAATGACAATCTGTTAAGTGTGTACTTCTTTCATGATAGTTTGGTCAGTAATCAGGAAAATAGTTATTTGAAGCAAAAGAAAAAGGTAAAACGACAGATGGATTATAAGAAAAAAAAGCATGCACACAACTGAGGAGGAGAAGGATATCAACTTTGAAATCCTTTTGTTTTTTTAAAAAGGATAAGTATGACATTAATAAGATAGATTTCGTTTTGTCAACGAAGTGATATACATGAATATTGACAGTTTGACATAATTATTTAGTATCTACTACTTCGAATAAAATTCAGTTGTAAAAAATCTGGGAAAAGTTTTACTAAAAAAGAATGATTTTGTAATTAGATACATATACTTCTATCAAGAAATGAATATAGAGGGAAAGAAATCTTTGTGATTAAGGAAGGGGACAATTATAGCTAGTTAGATGAACTTTAGGAAGTTTATTAAGTCAATGACAGCTTAGTTATTTCACGAATAAAAACAACCATTTTCGTTTAGTCATGATAAACATTACAACTGAAAAATCGGTCATAGATAAAGTTTTCCTTACTTTCCGTCTGTGAAACCTTCTAGTCTCAAACAACCAAGAACTAAGAAATACCTACATGACAAGAAAGCTATCTAGGGTTGAAAGTAATATAAAAGGGTTTTTCATAATCGAAGACGATTATATGCATCAACAAATAAACATTGACAGCTTCGAAATGAAATATTTATGAAGTTTCAAGAGGAAACTGTGACCAAGTAGCAACGAAGGTAGTTACTCTTCAATGTCTTTGGATGGTAGTCAAGTTATATTAGAAATTGACTGAACCTGATAAATTTTGGATCACAACTCAACGGCGAAATGGTACAGGTCAACTGTGGGAGTTATAGACTTCCTTTAAGGGAGCCTGAGAATTAACAACCTTCCAATGCTTCCTGCTCTACAATAATTTTCCCAACTATCAGTGTATGAAGAGAATTAACAAATGCAATAAACTTAGTGTTACCACCACTGTTGCTATTACTATTACGAATACTAATACTGATTCAGTCTGCGTAGTCACTGAGGAATAAGCCATAACAGTGAAATACTGATGTATCACTCACCTATTTTCATAAATATATTCTCCTCTAATCAAGTCGTCAATAACAGATACACCAACTTGCTGGAAACGTGCTTCTAATAAATTCATAAATAAACAATGGAACTCAGGAGCATCCTGAAAAAATTAACACAATTTTTAAAAAATGCAGCAAATTCGTTGTTTGGAAGAATTTAAATAAGAAATTACTGTGAATTGTCAGTAATGTCTTATGCGATTAAAATCAGCATGTATATACCGCAAACATGTATTTTCTTACTTGTTGCTCTGTATCACACAACCGCAATGCTTCAATCAAACCTCCTGGATCAACAATACTAAGAAATGAAAAAAAATACAAGGTGAGTGGTGATTAATGTCAATCACTAATAAAATGAATAACACAATGCCCACAATGTCTAAAAAAGGAGGAAGTTGAAGTTGAAAAGTTCAGTGTTTGAATAATTAATAGCTTATGAAGAGTTGTTCAATTTCAAACAAGAAACAATGTCGACTACATATATAAACAATAAAAAGGAGAAATATTGAAGTATGATTTGCCAACACTTTGACTGCCATTAACCTCATTCTAAACAACTCTATTAGTAGTGGTTATAGATACATTTGTAAACTCATAGTTGCACATCAGTTCCTTTAAATGGACAGTTAATTGTTGAAGAATAAAAGCCTAATCGAAATTTGTTATATTTATTAGATGTGTATTTACGATTTTTGAACTACCTATGACACAACGTATAATTACCGCCAACTAGAAAGATGATGGGGTCCCATAAAATCGAGTAGAAGCGAAGCAAGCAGGTGATAGTGATAATAAAATGTTTAACGTCCGAATCAAATATTTCTGTTTTCACCCTGGATTTTTCCAACTTAAAATCCACCAGTTACAAATATCAGAATCTAAAAAGTGGAATGTACAAACACACTTTGTGTCGATATACATACACACATATTTAAATAAGTATGTGTTAAAACAGAGAGAAATCGCTTCAAAGTAATCTGAATAAACAAATTTACCCTGAATTGTTTAACTGAAGTTGACTGAATATTAATTGTAGCTGGTGTATTATACCGGTTTCGTCAGCTGTAAAATAGGATAAACAAGTAAACAAGTCAATTGGTACTGGATAAAACACGAAGACAGTTTATTTTTATCACCGATTGATATCGACCAGAAGACCATAGAAAATAAAAAAAGCATTGAAAGGTTTGTTTATTGTTGTTTAAAGAGTCTGGTTTTCCATAGTTTTTCTACTAATGTCTATCTCTAAATTTTAAAAATCTGCGTAAATGATATTGTATAAAAGTGTTTTTATTATTTACGGCTGATATGTTCAAAATAATTAATTTCATACCTTGAAATTGTCATCAGCTACGAATCAAATATCCCGATGCAGATGAAAACTATTACTTTATCTCCTAATTCCTAATTAATTTTGACCAAACAACCAATTATAGATACATCTAGCAGGAGTGGATCTACAAAAGGAAAGGGTTCCCTTTTGTATGGAGCTGAAGATATGGATAAACGATTTTATTTAAACAAATCACAGGTAGACTAAGGTTATAATAGCTCGGTCAGTAATAATGGGAAACTTGAAACTCGACCTAAGTAATTATTGAGATATTTCAAACAAAACAAGTGGACAGTATAAAACACTGGGGTTACTAATGCACAGAACTTTATGAATAAATAACCCACCTTGTGATGGGATATCATATATTGCTTTTCGAAGTTCCTTGAACCGAAAATAAAGCTGCAAAAATGCATTTAAGTAACACGTACTCCCATAATTCTTCAAACCATTACGGCTATGCTAAATGTTTAAAACAGAAGAACATTGACAGGAAAAAATACATTAAAGATGCATATTATTTCACACTACAGTTTATTTTAATCAGAGCCAAGATAAGAACGTGAGTTTTGTAGTAAGCTTCAAGGTCTTACCAAAAGAATCAACTGGGAACTTATTCACAGAAATGTATGGATATGAAATGTGGCGCGACCTCGAATGGATTTTTAAAGTATTATGTACGGTCAGCTTATGTGCATGATACAATGTGTGGAATGAAAAATAAATGAAAATACCAGAATGATTAGATGCGTATACATTTGGCAATAACATAAAATTGTAATTCAGCAACATCTTACAAAGTTGTTGACTAAATTAGGATATATTTACTGTTAGAACTAGTGTTATCATTTGACTTCCTGAATTTATTAATTGTAGCAAATACAGGCAAAATATGCAGGAGGAAATCAAAAGGGACAGGACTTTAAACAAGGAGGAAGCCTGCACACTACAACCGTCGGATGCCGGCCCAGTGATCTAGAGGTTAAGCGTTCACTTGCGAGACCGAAGGTCCTGGGCTCGAGTCCCACGTGCTAGATCGTGGATGCGCACTGCTGAGGAGTACCGCAGCAGGACGAATCGGTCGTCCAGTGCTTCCAGGTTTTTAGCGATTATCTAGCACTGGTCGATTCATGATCTCAATCAGAAAGGAGAGAATTAAATCTAAGGTGAATGAGATGCTCACGAATTAGAATGATTACACTAACATCATTCTGACTGGTTTGAAAATATATAGGTCACGGTCCCTAACTTATGATTTTAGAAAATCATTGGGCCCAGCCAAAACCCTAAATTTTCTTGAGTCAAAGGCTAAAGTGAATGACTTTATAGTGACCTTAATAACAATTGATTACTTCGTTAACTGGATTAGACAGTATATTCGGAACTATACTTTAATCCTAACATTGTTGTTGATAAGATTCAACAACACCTGAAAAACACTGTGAAGCTGTGGCTGAATACTTGTAACCCATGTAGACTTTATTCTCCACATCTCGGTAGTAGTTTGTTAAAAACGACTACTGTACAGTATACATTTTCTTGAATAAGCTAGACATTGTTCGAGTGCTATGAATGACGAAAGATGTTAAAAAGCAAATGTTTATTAAAAGTTCATGCTGGGATTTTGGTCAATCAAATTTTGTTGGGGCTGATAAAGTGACTAATTCATGTTATTATTATAGATTCTTCTTACAAACCAGATTTAGAAATAAGAAACAATATGATTAGTACCAATTAAGGTTAAAAAAAAGTCGCTTTATTGTTCCTAACATAGGTGTGCACTTTGACTCGCATTGCTAGTTTTGATTGAAAACGTTTAAGAACCTTCTACATGATCGAACAAAACTAAGTCTAGTATTTAAAGTTTTCCATAAAAATGATTAGCTACTCTTCTCAAACAGACAGGTTAGACTATATCTAACCTTTCATTCTTTTTTTGCACAATATATACAATTTAGAGTATGTTTAATAAGACTGTATATTCATCACACTACTCAAAAACGCTGGTTTTGTTTCCCAGTTTTAGTAATAGTTGAAAATATATAGGGGGTAATATTACTGACACAAATTTCTTAACTAATAATTCATACAAACAGCAACCAAGGACGTAAGAAAGGATTATTGGAACAAGTGTGTGTGAGAATCACAGGTGTTAAGCCCAGGTAACGACGCAAGTTGGTGAAGCGGTTGAGTGTGTCGACCGCTTCACTTATCTTGGAAGTCTCATCAGCCCTTGTGGCTTAGTGTGTGACGAAATCTCAGCACGGATACAGAAGGCTCGACTAACTTTTGCCAACTTGCGTCATTTATGGCGTAGGCAAGATATCCGTCTATCAACCAAAGGACGTGTTTACTGCGCAGCAGTTCGTTCCGTCTTACTTTATGGCAGTGAAACATGGCCGATAAGAGTAAAGGATATTCGTAGGTTACTAGTATTTGATCATAGGTGTCTTCGAAACATTGCTTGTATATCATGGGACCATCGAGTAAGTAACACAGTTGTTAGGAAACGGGTACTAGGTAAAGATGGCAAACCAATTGATGAAATAGTGAAACTTCATCAGTTGAGATGGCTGGGACACGTGTTACGTATGCCCAACCACCGACTGCCACGACATGCGATGTTTCATGATGTAGGTGTAGGATGGAAGAAAGCTAGGGGCGGCCAAACCAAAACATGGCACAAATCCATGAAGTCACTGACAAGTGAACTGAGTCATGTTGGTAGGTGTAGACTACCTGGTTGGGGACCGCGAGATGATAGCAACCGATGGTTAGAGACCCTGAATGACATGGCTCAAAATCGTTTGCAATGGCGCAGGTGCATCCACTCTGTGTTCTCCCAAATTCTAATCTTCTGAATTCTTCATGTCCCTTTTTTCCTCTTTCCAAATTTATTTCACTGGATTATACTCTTTAAATAACATCTTCAAACCCTAATCTTCCCGATTACTGCTTATACTCTTATTACCTCTACCACTACGGGATTTGAATCGACAACTGCATCTCTGTGCTAATGTGGTGTGGCAACTCGAACTGATGTACGTGCGTACGAAGTTCTACGTTGTTACTGACTGACTGACTGACCAGGTAACGAAAGCCTTTATTCCCAGTTATGCATAAAATATGTTGGCCAAACCATACTATGTGGGAAAAAAGTACGTGTTCACTGTAAAAGCTGTAAACTGAACATTTTTAGTCAGATACAACCTACTTTGACAATAAATGGTGGTTTTAACTGTGAATTCGCAAAACAGTAGCAACTTTTCAAATGAGTTTATTTTAGGAAGCCTACAAAGAATTATGTTAGATATAAGCACAACTTCGAATATCATGAACATAGTTCCTAGCTCGGAATAATTAGTAGAATATCAAACAAATAAGGGGAAAGGATCTACACCCTAAGATTATGCTTTGTCGTCACATGGACTCAAAAAATTCATGTAATAATAAACTTACCGTCAGTAACTTTTCAACAGGAGACTCTGGTTCAGTTTTATCACATGTTTCTTCGTTCAGTACATTTATTTTGAGTAAGCCATTTAGGCAAGAAGATAAGTATTTACATGTCGTTCTGTTGAAGAAGTGAAAGATATAATTTAGCTAATCGGGAAACGTTAGAGTACTTATTTATAGGAAAACATATCTAGATGACAAAGGTTTCTAAGAACTAGTAGTTTCACCAACGATATCTGCAGTTTTCAGCATGGAAATTTGCGAGTAACTTATGTGGTTATTTCGAGTGTAACAGTAGCAATCTACCAGGAATGTTTACAAGGATCAGACGAACTGTACGGAAAGCAATGTCACTTGTACTTATGTCTGAATTAGATCTCAGAATTAGGATATACAGGTTACGAGCTACGTCACGCATCATGATCAAATCCTTATTATCACTCAGATTGCGGGTTACTATTTCAATGCTTCCATGAAGACTGCATAAATCAGGATAACCTGGACGGTTAGTGTGATAAAAGCTAACTGGCAGCATCTTAGCTCAAAAGTTTGACCCAAGTCAACATGCATTTGTGGACTATGTTAAAAACACACATCGGCCTATGACTTACTGGCAATTTCCAAAAGAACACGCAGGTTGATTAAATCTATATACTGTCCGTACAACATCTGTATTAACAATGACAGGAGCGTTTTCAACTTTGTTCCATAAACACTGAAGGTGGTGTCTCCTAAACCATGAAAAATAGTCAAAAATATGAAACAAACTCACATTACAAAACTTTCTGTCTATATTTTAGTCGTAGGGAAGATGAGTTGTCAAGAGGTACGTCGTTGTCAGGCAAGTTGCTGATGTGTACGTTCAGTATTCTCCAAGAGAACAAAGGAGAAATTCTGGCTATTATTTGATGATCAAACAAAATTTGCTTACATCTGGTAACAATGAAACTATCCAGCGATAATATTGACTAATTCCCTGTATTTCTGATGCAACCTAGAAGTCCATATGAATCAAATTGTAGTGTCTCAACCAAACCAATAAGCGCGCCGACCTTCGAAGTCGAATGCAAGGTTAGTTTCGAGTGGATAAAGGAACTGAACTATTTTCTACGACCCTCGGTTGACAGACATAGCACAAAAGATCTTTCTGAGGATGGGTATTTTTAGAAGTATGTCAATGATATGAAATAATGTAAGAACGAACGGTGAATTGACTATGAAAATAAATTTTCCGTGTGATTTCGTATATTTTATCCAGGCTAACCTCGTTTAAGATATAATGGTTTTAAAATGCCGAATACCAAGATAGAAGAATTTATTTCAGACATAAATCTTGCCTACAGGTGATAAAAGGTGCAAAACGGAGGAAAAATGTGACGACTCATTTTATTTAAATCATGATTTAATATTAATGGGTGTGAAAAGTACAGGTAAACATGTAGACACATACGTGCTAACGTACACACGTATAGATTAAAGAAAGATTTTAAAATATAGGGTTGTTCATATGTCTAAAATTAGGATAAATCATTTAAGCGTTAGTAGACGGCTATGTTAGATAATTTGTCCGCAGTTTCTGTAACAATTAAACATATTACTCACTTATTTACGCCTGTTACTCCCAATAAAGAATAGGCCGCTGACCAACATTCTCCAACCTGCTCTTTCTTGAGCCTTCCTTTCTAGTTCTATCCAATTGTTGTTCACACTTCTCATGTCTGTTTCCTGATCGTAACTGCTACCTTGAAGTGGTGGTCGGGCTTACCTATCGTGACGACCCAAACGAGCTATATTGGCTGGAACATATGTCCCTGTAGGTTCTACCATACCACGCAGGTTGACTGAAGAACGGTAAGACAAAACAGCAACTCAAGGTTTGAGGGCGAAGTAATACTGCTGAATGTAGAGGGGTATAATAACAGAAAGGTGTTTCCCTCGAGGCAACTAGCATCTGCAGTGATGCTGCCTTCTCACAATGAAGGAATGTGTTGGACTATAAAAATACT